GCCTTCAGGCGCACATCGGACCGCAAGCTGGAAACAACCGAGTCGAGACCGTCGGAATGATGGTTCATTTCCGCGTCGTGATACGGATCGGTAAAGACCAGCGCTTCGGTGATTGCCGGAATTTCGATATTGCCGGCAAACAGGCCAACGTCCTTTTTCTTGTCGGGACTCTTCATGGAAAGCTCAGACCCGCGAAATGCCGTGCGGGCACAGAACCTGCCGAGAAAACCGCCAAGCCCCTCGACCTTTTCCCCGTCGATCAGTTTCCGGCGCAGAATCTTGTGCGGTGCCAGGAATTCCATGACGATCAGCGCCTGCGTTTCGTCGAAATAGTGGACCTCCGGGACGGACCCGGGATCCCTTTCCGCCTGCCGCACCAGTGCATGGTTTTCAAAAAAGGCACGGTAAAGCGGCAATGGCCAGCTGTCCCCGACGAGGCGGACATATGGCAATGCCTGCTTGACGATGACGGTTCCTTCCGGGCCTTCGACAATGAAAACCAGGTTCAGATTGCCGTCGCCAACTTCGCGCACAACCCAATCTGCCGGATCGGATCCGATCCGTTCAACAACGGCGTCAATCGAGGCAAGACGGCCTCCGAGCGTTTCCGGCGTCAAAGGCTGATACTGGTCCGGCGTATCCATGACTGTGATCATTCCTCCCTGTTTCCGTCCCGATAATGATCAAGATTGTTCAAAAGTCAACTTGGTTGACAAATGACTATATTGCGTGTTGTAACACTATCCAACGGGAGTGGAGCTCGTGAAATATTGGGAGGAACGGTGAAAAACGTCACCTGCAAACTCCGCGGTCTGGAAAAGTCCTTCGGGCAGAATCACGTTCTCAAGGGCATCGATCTGGATTTGCGGTCCGGCGAAGTAACGGCATTGATGGGAGCCAACGGCGCGGGCAAGTCGACGCTCGTAAAGGTGCTGTGTGGCTATCACTTTGCCGATGCCGGACACATTGAGCTGGGTGGCGAACCATTCGCTCCGACCGACGCGGCCGACGCCATTTCAAAAGGCGTGGTTACAGTCCACCAATCCATCGACGACGGCGTGATCCCGGACCTGGACGTGGCGACAAACCTGACCCTCGACCGATTGACGGAACCCGGTGTCGGCTTGTTCGTCAATGACAGAAAGCTGCGCCGGCAGGCACGCGAGGTCGCAGAAGGCATGGGGCTGACGATGGATGTACGCATGCGCGTCGCAGATCTCGATGTTGCCGACCGTCAGATGATCGCCATCGCACGCGCCATGGCACGGGCACCGAAACTGCTCATCCTCGACGAGCCCACTTCGTCCCTGTCGTCATCGGAAGCAGAACGCCTGTTTGCTCTGATCGACAGGCTGCGCGCGGAAGGGGTGGCCATCCTCTATATTTCCCACCGCATGTCGGACATCCGTCGGGTGGCCGACCGGATCATTTCCATGCGCGACGGGGCTATTTCGGGCCTGTTTGAGACCGATCCGCTCGACTATGTCGGTGCGGTCAATGCCATGCTCGGACACCAGATGACCGAAGTGGATATCGATCCTGTCGAAGGTGGTGAACCTGTTTTGCGGATCGAAGGCCTGAAACTTTTCGAAGACAGCCGGGAAATCGACTTCGAGGCCCGGGAGGGCGAGGTTGTCGCGTTTACCGGACTGCTCGGTTCCGGCAAGACACGTCTGGCTGAAATCATCTACGGACTTTCAGAGCCCGCCGCGGGACGTCTTCTTCTCGACGACAAGGACTACCGGCCGCACGGGGCCGGTGATGCGGTTTCAAAAGGCGTGTTCATGTCTCCCAAGGACCGCAGCGTGAATGCCGTCGTCCCCGATTTCGATATCGCCAACAACATGACAGTACCGTTCCTCGGTGCCTTCAGCGGCCTTTCGTTTTTGAACGACAAGGCGCAACGTCGTTCCACGGATGACATGATCGACAAGATCGGTGTCGTCTGCCAGTCCAATTCCGATGGTATCGACACGCTGTCGGGTGGCAATCAGCAGAAAGTCATGATCGGGAGGTGGCTTCTCAAGGCTTCCAGGGTCCTGTTGCTCGACGAACCCTTTCAGGGTGTCGACATTGGCGCCCGGCGCGACATCGGGCGGTATATCCGACAAACGGCAAACGGGCGGACAACTCTCGTCTTCGTTGCCGAGATCGACGAGGCACTGGAAATAGCAGACCGGATCGTCGTTCTGAACGAAGCGGCAATTGCCGGTGAACACAAAAACAAGAACGTGGACCTGAACAGCCTGGTTGCGGATGTGTCCGGCCCCGGTGAGCGGCTGGCTCTCGCAGGATGATAATTGAAAAATGAACAAGAACGCACTCGATTTTGCCATCAAATACGGCTTCCTGATCCTACTCGGCGGGCTCGCACTCTTCTTTTCGCTTTACGCAAGCGGCTTTGCCAGCCCACGCTCGGCCGTCTTCATTCTGCAGTCCGTCGCCATCACCGGAATTCTGGCATTGGGCGTGACCTGTACGCTTGTTGTCGGTGGATTTGATCTTTCCATCGGCTCGGTTGCGACCTCCGCCCTGATGTTGTCGGCCTACACGATGGTCATTCTCGAACAATCCGCCTTCGTGGCCGTTGCAGTGTGCCTTCTCATGGGTGCCCTTGTCGGGCTGGTGAACGGTCTTCTGATCGTCAAGATGCGGGTCCCGGACCTGCTCGCAACGCTTGGCATGATGTTCCTTCTGATCGGCTTGCAGCGCATTCCGACACAGGGCAATTCCATCGCAACCGGCATGAGCCTTGAAGACGGATCCGTTGCCGAGGGTACTTTTTCGGCAGCGTTCCTGTGGCTTGGCCGCCATCGGTTCGACCTGTTCCTGGATCGACTGGTTCCCGTGCCGGTCGTGGTTTTTCTGCTGATTGCCCTGCTGATCTGGCTGTTTCTCGGCTACACACGGCACGGTCGGCTGATGTACGCGATCGGCTCCAACGAACGGGCGGCAGGTCTCGTCGGCACGAATGTCCATCGTTACAAGATCGTTGCCTACATGATTTCCGGAATGCTGGCGTCCGTCGGCGGCATTCTGCTGGCTGCGCGCCTCGGGCGCGGCGACATCGCGTCCGGAAACAACCTGCTGCTCGACAGCGTGGCCGCCGCCCTGATTGGATTTGCAGTTCTGGGCGCGGCACGCCCGAACGCGTTCGGGACGGCGGCCGGTGCGCTCTTTGTCGGGATTCTTCTGCAAGGGCTGACCATGATGAATGCCCCCTACTACATGCAGGATTTTGTAAAGGGGGCCGTTCTGGTCGCGGCCCTCGTTTTCACATTCTACCTGTCCTCGCGACGCGGCGGCAGGAGAACAGCGTGACGCCCGCAAGGCGCCGTTCATATTGGGAGGAAACAATATGCTCAGACGTGATTTGATGAAAATGGCCCTTGTGGCCGGACTTAGCTTCACTGGAGGCAGCGCATTTGCTGCGGATATGCCGGCTCCCTTCGACAAGCCGGAAGAGGTAAAGATCGCGCTCGTCCGTTATCTCTCAACCGGTGACTTCTTCCAATCCTACCTGTCAGGTGTCGAAAAACAGGCCGAGGCGCTCGGCGTCGACCTGCGTGTCTTCGACAGCCGTCAGGACGCGGCGCTTCAGGCCGACATGGTGGATCAGGCAATTGCGCTTGGTGTTGACGGGATCGTCATCCAGCACGGGCTGACAGAATCCATGAAACCTGCCGCGCAACGTGCCGTCGATGCCGGTATCAAGGTTGTCGCCTTTGACGTGAATGTCGAAAACGATGCCATTCCGCAGGTCGAACAATCCGACTACATGCTCGGAAAGCTGGCCCTTGAGCAGGCCATCAAGGACAATGGAGATACCTTTACTGCGGGATATGTCTATGTTCCCGGTATCGCACCGCTTGATCGCCGGGACGTTGCCTGGAAGGAAGTCAAGAAAGACAACCCGGGCATCAAGGAAGCGGCCATGTTCGGCACGCTCGACAACCCGATCGCCAATTCCGTTGCCAACCAGGCGCGGTCCGTGTTGCAGGCGAACCCGACGATCAACGTGGTATTCGCGCCCTATGATGAATTTGCAAAAGGCGTGAAAATCGCGGTTGACGAAGCCGGCCTGAGCCAGGATATCAAGATCTATTCCGCAGACGTCTCAACAGCCGACATTTCCGCGATGCGCGAGCCTGACTCCGCGTGGGCCGCTACCGTCGCCACCAACCCCGCCGTGGTTGGCGAAGTCAGTGTTCGCACACTTGCCCTGATGCTTGCCGGTGAAGACCCGGGCAAGCAGGTCATCGTTCCGCCAACCCTGATCACCCAGGACTTCCTCAATGAGCAGGACGTGCGCAACATGGGAGACCTTGGCGAAAAGATGCCCCAGTTCCAGCACGCGGACGTTTCTGTCGCCGAGTGGATCCCGCTGCCGAAACGCTGAGTTGGACGTCTTGAATCATGAAACCCGGCACCTGGTGCCGGGTTTTGTTTTGCCTGGCAACATTGACGTCTGTCTTGCAATCCTCATCAGTTTGAAGCGCTATCAAAACCTGTCTTTCATTCAATCTGCTCGACGCCTAAGCCACTCATATTCCTTACTTTTCAGTGCATTTTTGTTCTGTTTGCCATGCGCGTCATGCAACACTCGATGCAGAACTCAGCATATCTGCGATGCGTTCAGAAATCGCCTTCTCCCGACGGAATTGCAGTGTTCAGAAGTTACAGGAAGACGTGTTTTACCGGGTCAGCGCGACCGGTGGCGGAGGATTGCAACGGCCAAGAATGAAACGCAATCCCAGAACGTCAGAAATCAGGATTGAAGACCCGGGGTTGTTTGTTTGCAGATATGAGCACGGCCGGGACCCGGCCGGATTCCCAGGTTATGTCCATAACAAGTTCTGAAAATCAAACCCTGTTTCCCGAGCCGCACAACCGGTCTTTGACATTTCAATCCAATTCTTTACGCTCAAATTCATACGACGAGTACCCGCCTGGTTCACGCGGTCTCAAATCTCACTCCAGACAGAATTGCGAACCCCATCATGACCGAGGCCAAGAGCGGCGACACGGTACAACTACACTATAAGGGCACGCTGGACGACGGCTCGGTTTTCGACAGCTCGGAAGGACGCGAACCACTGGAATTCACGGTCGGTTCAGGTCAGATCATTCCGGGTCTCGACCGGGAAATCGCTGGAATGAAGGTTGGTGACGAAAAAACTGTGCGCATCGAACCGGAAGACGCCTATGGGCCTTCCGACCCTGCAGCAAGGCAAACGGTGCCGCGCGCGACGATACCTGCCAACATCCCGCTGGAAGTCGGACTGCAACTGCAGGCGCAGACCGAGAACGGCCAGACAATGTCCGTCACCGTCGTCGAAATCTCCGACGACGAAGTCGTGATGGACGCAAATCATCCACTGGCAGGAAAAGCGCTGACATTCGAGATTCAGCTGACGGGGATCAGTTGACCTGACATGAGAGACGGTCGAAACAGTCTCTCCGCCATGCCGGTAAATCCGCGGTCGGGCCCTGCTCGACCCTGGATTTGGCAAGCCGCAACGTTTGCCTGCCTCCCTCGCTCTAGGTCCAGGCATGCCGGTTAAGTATCGGGCGATTGGTCCTGCAGGCTCGACTGATCCACCAATTCGCCCTCGGGCAACTGATAATAATCGCCCTTGGTCTCGGGATAGAGCTGTCTGTCCATCTTCAGACCAGTGTTTCCGTCGATTGTTCCAGCCATAACCGAAACATAATCACTGCCATGCCTTCTCCAGAAAAGCTGGCTGCCACAGGTCTTGCAGAACCCTCGCTCTGCCGTTTCAGACGATTGAAACCATGTGACATTTTCAATCCCCTCAAGTTCCACGAAACTCTTCAACACCTGTGTTGCTGCAACGTAGTGGCCTGATGCTTTTCTGCATTGGTTGCAATGGCATCCGACAATTGATCTTGGAGAACCCGAAATCCGGTATTTCACCCGGCTGCAAAGGCAACTTCCGCGCATTGTTTTCTCCCGAACTGAAGACTTCAGTCTAGATCCGGCAGGAAACGTCGCGCCTATCAAAAACGGAGAATGATTGAGAAAATGCGACTTCCGCAAGGTACCCGCAGTTTCGGATCTCGCGGAATGTTCTCCTCAAGAGTTTGCTTCCAAAAAAACGAAGGCTGCCAGCGCGCCGAAAGAAATCACGCTGAACCAACCGTCAGGCAAAGGCTCCTAGCCGCTCGGGCGATCCCGCACCAGCGTCTCTTCCATGAACACCACATAGATGACAAGGCCGACCGCCGCTGTCGCCGCGAGGCTTAAAAAGCCGACCGTGTAGCTGGTGTATTGCACGATATACTCGGCAACTATGTTGCTGAGGGATGCCCCGATTCCGATCAGCATTGCCAGAACGCCCTGGGCGAAATTGAACCGTCCCGTCCCGGCGGTGATATCGGCCAGAACCAGGAGAAACACCATTGCGAAGATACCATTGGCAACCCCGTCAAGAGCCTGAATGGCAACGAGCGCGTATGTGTTGTCGAACTGGCTGAACAGAATTCCCCGGATCGGAAGCACTAGAAACGCGATCAGCAACAAAGGCTTGCGCCCCCAGACGTCCGCTTTTTTTCCGCAGAAGATCGCCATGACGATCATCACCAGTTGCGCGGCAATCACACAGGCCGCCGTAAAGGCAACCCCATGCTCGGCGTCACTGTTGGACGAAAGTTTCTGGCTGACCAATGGCAGCATGGAGGCATTGGCGGAATGAAACAGGAAGATGCAGATCGCGAAAACAAACAGCCGCCTGTCTTCGAAAAGACTCAAGATACCTTCCGGGGCTTTTTCACCCGCATTTTCCTCCGCGACACCGCCACGGGCCAGGTCGTGATCAATCTCATCCTTGTTGATCAAAAGCGCGCAGATAATCATGCCGCAGGCCATGGCCGCCACTAGCCAGAAAACCCCGAGCGCTGACCAGGTCAAGGCAAGAATGGCCGCAAGCATGGCCGCGATCATGTTACCGGCATGGTTCCAGGCCTGGTTGGCGCTGGTCTGCCTGGTGAAATAGGCGTGCCCGACCAGCCCGAGGGTGACGGCGGCAATCAGGGGGCCAAGAAAGGCAGACGCCGAGCCGATCAGAATCTGTGCCGTATAAACTGCAAAAGCATCATTGAACACCAGAATGCCGATCGTGCTGCACGCAATCGCGATGGCGCAGCCGATCAACAACGTCCGCTTCCACTTGACTGTGTCGACAATGGCACCGGCCGGTGATTGCATGACGACGGTTGCGATACTGCCGGCAGCGAGCGCGATCCCGATCGAACCGGGCGACCAGTGTTGAAGCGTCAGAAGATAAATTGCGAGATAAGGGCCGATCCCGCCCACGACATCTCCGGCGAAGAAATTCACGCCGAGCAACGATCTATTCAACTGCATGACTTTCGCCCCGGAACCGGTATGAGTTTTTACGTAGTACAGGACTATCACAAACGGAAATTTAATTTTGCATTTATATCCTTGCAAAAATAGACTAACAACGGTCTTCAATAGAATAACCATGAGAAATAGTTAGATGCCTTTAAGTTTAATTGTATCTATATTTGTTTTTTTCATGATTGCGATCCGGCAATGGTTGCCGGATTGGCTCAAGATCTGGATGATCATGACAATCGGCGCAGTTATCGTGCTTGTCACAGGTAATATTTCGCCTTCAGAAGCATTGAATGCGGTGGATTGGGATGTAATTGCCTACCTGTTTGGTGTTTTCGCGATCTCTCACGCGCTGTTTGCCTCCGGGATATCGGAAAAGGTCAGCAACTGGATATGTGCCGACTCACGTTCCATTCCGCAGATCCTGTTCTTCTTCATCCTGTTCGTGACCGCCATCTCGGCCGTCCTGACCAACGATGCCGCCGCGGCGATTGGAACACCAATCGCCATTGCCATCGCAGCGAGCCTCGGCATTTCGGCAGCACTGCCATTGATCGCCCTTTGTGTTTCCGTGACGGTCGGAAGCATGTTTTCGCCTGTCGGCAACCCCCAGAACCTGCTGATCGTCGCAGATGGACACTTCACCAATCCGGTTGGCGTCTTTCTGGAGTGGCTCGCCGTTCCGGCGCTGATTTCACTCGTCTTCACGCTGTTGTGGTTCTGGTTCTGCTTCAAGAGAGCACCGAAGGGAGGAGCTCCGGAACATGTCACTCCGGACGAACAAACAATGCGCCGCTGGCCAGCGCTTCTTGCCACGGGTCTGTTGTGCGTACTTGTCCTGACGGACAGTATCGCCCATGACAGCGACTGGCTGCCGGATCTGCCGCTCGGTGCACTGAGCCTGATTGCGGCAATCCCGCTGTTTGTATTTTCATCGCAACGGGTTCAACTGGTAAAGGAAGTTGACTGGCACACGCTGATCTTCTTCGTTTCCATGTTCATCGTGACCGGCGCCGTGCTGAAATCGGGTGCCTTGCAGGAATGGCTCAGTCCCTGGCACGACCAGCTGGGCGAACCCATCCTGGTTACATCCATTGCGTTTTTCGGCAGCCAGGTCTTCTCGAATGTTCCACTGGTGGAAATCTATCTGAACCTGCTGCGGGACCACGACGTCCCGACCCTGATGCTTTTGTCGGGTATTTCCACCCTTGCCGGCAATCTGTTCATTTTGAGCGCGGCCAGCAACGTCATCATTGTTCAGCAGAGCGAAAAGCACGGCGTGACCCCGTTCCAGTTCTGGCAATTCACGCGCTATGTCTTGCCCGTGACAGTCGTCTCCCTGCTCGTCTGTTATCTCTGGGTCGCATTTCTGGTCTCCGTTTCCGAGTAAGGCAAGATGCCGGATATGTGGTGAATTATTGCCACCCCTGCCCGAAACCGCCGCAATCTGATGCCAAAGTCGGATTAAGCGATTGCAATTTCCACGCCACTCACCCTATGTATGCTGTTGGTTTTCATAGGATCTTAGTCGGAGCAAACTGTTCATGCCTGTTGATGTTGACGCGCTGGTGGATAGACGACGTTTGCGGCGCAAGGTGACTTTCTGGCGCGTCGCGACATTCATCGTGATCGCAGGAGCTCTTGTCGCTGGCCTCGCCTACGTCTCAGGTGTTTCCGGCCTGTCCAAGCGGTCGGCACATATCGCGCGGATCCCAATTGAAGGCGTGATCATAGAAAACCGCAAAACGCTGCAGATGATCGAGAAGATCAGCAAGGCCGACGCGGTCAAGGGCGTCGTGATCTCCATCAATTCGCCCGGAGGCAGCACAACTGGCGGCGAAGCGCTTTACCTGGCGCTGCGCGACCTGGCCGAAAAGAAACCGGTGGTCGCCGAGATCCGCACGATCGGAACGTCCGCAGGCTACATGGTTGCCCTGGCGGCCGATCACATCGTTGCGCGCTACAACACCATTACCGGCTCGATCGGTGTGCTGTTTCAATTCGGCAATCTCGAAAAACTTCTGGAGACAGTCGGTGTTCAAATGGAAGCGGTCAAGAGTGCACCTCTGAAAGCCGAGCCTGATTTTTATTCGGAAGCAAGCCCACAGGCGCGCGCCATGCTGCAGTCTCTTGTAAATGACTCTTATGAATGGTTTGTCGGACTGGTCGCCGAACGACGAAAGCTGGATCCCGCGACGGCAAAACAACTTGCCAACGGTCGCGTCCTGACCGGCCACTCCGCGCTGGAAAACAAGCTGGTTGATGCCATCGGCGGCGAAGACAAAGCTGTCGAATGGCTGGTCGCGGAAAAGGGCGTGACCAAGGATCTTCCGGTCGTCACATGGACGACAAATGAAAATCTTGACGAGCTGCCGTTTTCCTCCCGGATCTCCCGTGAATTCGGAAAAGGGATCGGATCTGCCATCATAAACCCGTTAAATGACGCTAAGGGGCTGATTCCTCGAGGCCTTACGCTTGACGGGCTCGTATCCGTTTGGCAGGCTTCTGACGCGGCAGAACAAAAACCGTAAGCCAGGGGGCTCTCCATGATCAAATCTGAGCTGGTTCAGCATATCGCAGAACAGAATCCGCATCTCTACCAGCGGGATGTCGAGAATATCGTCAATGCGATCCTGGATGAAATCACAGAGGCGCTCATGCGCGGAGATCGTGTCGAGCTTCGCGGCTTCGGAGCGTTTTCCGTAAAGAACCGCCCGGCACGCATCGGGCGCAATCCTCGCACCGGACAAAAAGTGGAAGTGGACGAGAAACACGTTCCCTTCTTCAAAACCGGTAAGGAAATGCGTATACGTTTGAACGACGGTGTTGATCACGGCGACGACTGAATCCGGTTCGCACGATCACCCGTTTCAATTCGAGTTCCATACTGACTATTCCGGGAGACCGCTGTGACCCGTTTCATCAAGAATGTGATCCTGTTCGCGATCGCGGTGGTCCTGGTTCCCTTGTCTGTGGCCAACAGGCATACGGTTTCCCTGTCACTGAACCCGTTCGACCCGCAGGACCCCAGACTGACAATTCCCGATGTTCCGTTGTTCTGGGTGATTTTCGCCAGCCTGGGTGTCGGTATTATTGTCGGCGGACTTGGAGCCTGGGCGAGACAGGGCCGGTGGCGCAAGGAAGCGCGGGTCAAGCGGCGTGAAGCCGACAAATGGCATAAGGAAGCCGATCAGCTTCGCGAGATGTCCGCTGCAAATCAACCTGCCACAGGTGTCAAGGGATTGCCGAGGCCGGGCGATCGGTCTGCGGCCTAGAATCTGCTGATGAATGCGAATTATCTCAAGCGATGAGATTGATGCCTGTCTTGAGGATCGGGATGTTCTCGAGACACTTCGCCGGGCATTCCGTTCGAATATCGTGGCGCCAATTGCTCCGGATTTAAGGATCGACCGGCTTGACCAACTGGCGGGGCACCTCACTCTCCAACCCGCCTGGACGAACTTTGCCGAACAAAATGATGTGACACGCGGTTATATCGGCTGCAGCCTGAATCTGGACCTTCCCGAGAACAAGGGCTTCGCTTCCAATCTCTATCTTCTCTATTCAGGGACAGGCGGCCAGCCGATAGCGCTCGTTGACGGCATGCGCATGAGAACCTGGCGCACCGCCGGTGTTCATGCGCTCGCAGCATCCTACCTGTCGCGCGAGGACGCACGACGATTGCTCGTGATCGGTGACGACCTTCGCCTGCCACGTCTACTTTCAGCCTATGCGACAGTTCGGAACCTGACATCCATCCTGTTCGCCGGAACATCACCCGAAGTTCGCAAAAAAGCCGCGAGCCAGCCGGAACTTGGTAATGTTCATTTCGGAGTGACCTCCGAAATTCATGCGGCACAAGAAGGCGCGGACATCATCTGCGTGGCGGGTCCCGACAACAGCTCCGGCAGCTATGACACCCTGACCTATCTTGATCCACCGGTCGGATGTCACGTCGACATTCTGGATCCCTCAGCCACGCTTTCCTCCGAGTTGCTTCAAGAGTCCCGACTGTTTTCGTCCGACCTTACGGCGCCCGCGCGTGCGGAACTGGAGTGGGCAGCAGACCTTTCGGATCTGGCCAAGGGATCGAAAGCAGGCAGGCGCTACTATGGCCAAAGAACGCTTTTTCTCCCCGGTGCCCGGACCGGTCTGGCGGACTTTGCAATCGCCGCACACATTTTTTTGAGATCGTGAGATCTGGAATATTCCCCGACAATAGCCACATAAGTGCCCAGTGGAGGATGATTCATCAAAGCGAACACCTGGGGGCCTGCCGAAACAATCGGTAGCCGGGAATACGCTTTGCCAACGTCGTTTTGCAAAGGAGCAGAACATGCTGACGACCCTTGCCTATTCGGCAAGCCTTCCAGCGATTGCGATCGGTCTGATCTTTTACGTTTCAGCCACGTCGGGGCTTGTCTATTAAGCCAAACGAAAGCCGGTTCCCTGGGAACCGGCTTTGTTGTTTCTTCTCAAACTTCATCCAGTCATTTCCGCCGGGGTCATCCATCCCATGACGGCGCCGCCAGCGTCTTTGAGGATTGCAATCCGGCCGATGCCTTCCACATCGAACGGTGGTCTGAGAACCTCTCCGCCATGAGCGACTGCCAGTTCGAGGCGTTCATCGACATTGTCGACGGCGATGTAGGACATCCAGTGTTCGGGAACACCATCGAAGTGAGGACCTTCCATCAGGAACATGCCTCCAACGTGTTTGTCACCAAGGTTTGCAACAATATAAGTGCTGCCACCATCCATTGGCATTTCCGCAAACGTCCACCCGATGGACTTGCCGTAAAACGCTCTGGCTTTTTCCGTGTCCCTGGTCATCAGTTCATTCCAGTAAAAAATACCGTGTTCAACCATCACGACCTCCACTTGGCAACAAATAAGATGGTCAACAGGCTAGCGCCATTGTGACGTCAAGGCCATGGCTCAATGCATGAATGGAAATGAACCTAACCGTCGCGCCTCGTGCCATATCCCGGCAACGTCCATCCCCGCAGGATCGCGCCGCCACGCAGGATCAGCGCCACCGCCGCCGCCAGACATGCCGCGACGATCTGCGGTGTACCCATTGCCGCCAAAAGCACGAAGCTGCCAGCGCCGCCAAAAGCCGCGCTGACATAGATTTCAGGCTTGACGATGGAAGATGCCTCGCCTGCGATCGTATCGCGGATTATTCCGCCAAACGTCGCCGTCACCACTCCCATCAGCACCGCCACCAGCACCGTGTCTCCAACGGACATGGCCTTGGCAGCGCCCATGACCGAGTAAGCCGAAATCCCGATCGCGTCGGCCCAGCGCAGTGGCTTGCTCAAACGCTCGATCAGATGCGCAAAAAACCAGACGAAAATGCTGACGAACAGACAGACCAGGACATAGGCTTCGTTCTCGACCCAGAAAACCGGGACTCCCAGCAAGAGGTCCCGCAAGGTGCCGCCACCAATGCCAGTTACCGTCGCGAAAAACAGTAGTGCAATGAAGTCAAGCTGTTTGCGGGAGGCAACAATGCCGCCGGTTACCGCGAAAACGGCCACTCCCAGGTAATCGAGCAGCTGAAGCAGCATCGTGTTCTCCAACAAAAAAGCCGCTTCAACACCAGTCGAAAGCGGCTTTCAAGAAAAGAGTCAAAAGAGATTGCCGTCAAGCGCTCTTGTCGACGGTCTGGCCCGCGTCGCCGTTGCCTTCGGAATGTGGCTGCGGCACTTCCTTTGGACCGCCCTTTGATACGCCGACCATTGCCGGGCGCAGAACACGCTCACCGATGACGTATCCGGCCTGCATGACCTGAACAACAGTATTGTTCGGCACTTCAGTGTTCGGCACTTCAAACATGGCCTGGTGGAAGTTCGGGTCGAATTTCTGACCTTCCGGATCCAGCTTTTTCACACCATTCTTTTCGAGCTGGTTGAGCAGATCACGTTCAATCATTTCAACGCCGTCGATCAGGGCTGCAACACCGGCATCAGCGTTCTTCCGGTCGTCTTCCGGCAGCGCTTCGAGCGCCCGGCGCAGGTTGTCGGATACCGTCAGCATGTCACGCGCAAAGCCCGATACGGCGTATTGCCGTGCATCCCTGACTTCCTTTTCGGTCCGCCGGCGCAGATTTTCCATCTCCGCCATGGTCCGCAGAGCCCGATCCTTCAGATCCGCGTTCTCGGATTTCAGAACCTCTGTCGGATCAACCGCCTCTTCTTCCGCCGTTTCCGGGCTCGATGCCGCGGCTTCGGTCTCCGGAGTTACGCCTGACGGCTGATCTTCCGGGGTTTTGTTCTCGTCACTCATGAATGTTCCGTTTGGCTCAAACTGTTTGCGGATGCTTATACGACCGGTTGCAGAGATTTCAAAGCAAATCGGCGGACACGCCGTTGCCTGTCCGCCGGATGCGTTCATCTGCTCCGCTGCCGGAGCAACCGCAGCAAATCCAGATTAGATTGCGCTCTTGATCCAGTCAGACAGTTTGCCCTTCGGAGCGGCTCCCACCTGGGTTGCCATGGGCTCGCCATCCTTGAACAGGATCAGCATCGGAATGGAGCGGACGCCATACTTCATGGCCATGTCCTGGTTCTCGTCGATGTTGAGCTTGGTGATTTTCACCGCCCCGTTCATCTCCTCGGAGATTTCCTCAAGGGCCGGCGCAATCATTTTACACGGACCGCACCATTCGGCCCAGAAGTCTACGACAACAGGATCTTCTGATTTCAGAACTTCGGCTTCGAAGGAAGCATCGGTAACTTGGGTGGTAGCCATATCAAGATCTCGTGGTTCGATGTCTCACGCCTACCCTATGTAAACGTGTCAGTTGGCCCGAACGTAGGTAGCGTCACGCCCCTCGTCAAGCCGCACTGCCGTCTGGCTTCAGCGAGGCGAGGGTTCTGTCGAGAATATCGCCGGGAATCTCCATCAACGACGGACCTGAGGTCCACAAGAGATACGCCCGGATGTCACGACCGGGGAAAATCTGGCGCAGCAACTCCCTGTAAACACTCAACTGCGCCCGATACTCGAGCGGAACCGCATCCGTTGTCGAAGGTGGGTAGAGGTTCGTCTTGTAATCCACAATCACAACCCGTTTATCCTCCACCAACAACCGGTCAATCTGCCCTGAGACCTCCACTTCCGTGCCATCGGCGGCGCGAATCGTTCCGACAAGAGGAACTTCTGCCTGCGCATCGCCTTCGAAAAGCGGCGCGAAGGCTTCGCCCTGCACGATGGCGACCACTTCATTCAGAAGCTTCTCCATGTTCCCGGAAAACTGAGGTTTCAAGGCTTGCTTCAGGAACCTTTCGGCAGCTGAAATGCGCTCATCAACCGGAACACCGGGCAAAAGTTCCAGCAACCGGTGCACAAGACGGCCGCGTTCCAGCGGCCACGAAGCCGGTTCCGTGCCTGCCAGCAACCGGTTGGCCGCCGGAACAGGAACGACACCGTCCTTTTCCTCCATCTCCTCGAAGGCTTTTGAGGGTTGCAGCCGTTTTTTCTTCGGCAATGGTGAAACGGTTTCTGTCAACCAGCCGGGCAGGCTTGCCGGACGATCTTCCGGCTGCTGATCCAGAACCGATGTTTCTTCCGAGATATCCAGCGCGCTATCCGATGCGCTTTTTTGCCAACGCCAGGCTACAGTATTCCCTGACGGGTCGCTCAATTCCCGTGCCTCAGGTTTCAGAGCCCGTTCGACAAGCGAATACCAGCATTCTTCATGAGCCCCCCGTTTCGGCTCCCAGCCGCACACGATCAGTCGATCCTCGGCGCGGGTCAGCGCGACGTACAGCAGGCGCCGGTACTCCTCGGCCTGGGCCTCGCGCAGGGTCTCGACCGCCTCGTCGTGCCAGGGTGTCCGGCTGGCTTTCGGCGGCAGCCAGATCAATGCGGGAGGCAGCAATTCGTTTGCCAGTCGTTCGTGTGGCAAAAAAGAGGGGTCATGGATGGCGCTGACGGGCGCAGCACCGGGGTCAACGAGCACGACAATCTTTGCTTCCAGGCCCTTGGAGCCGTGGACAGTCATGATCCTGACCATGCCCTTGGTGTTGGTCAGCTCTCTCTTGATTTCCGTCGGAGCAGCAGCCATCCAGGCAAGAAACCCTTCCAGGCCCGGCGTCCCGGCCTGTTCATAGGCGATCGTCAGAGCCAGAAACTCGTCCAGAACGTCATCCACTTCCACGCCAAGCCTGGCGCGGAACGCCTTGCGGCCGCCATCGCTCCCCAGAAGCCGGGAGTAGAATTCATAAGGTGGAACGAAGTCGGCACGAGCCCGCCAATCTTCCAGCCGGGTCCTCACGTCATGCCATTGCGGGGACGATTCCGACCGCCTCACCAGCATCTGCCACAATGTACCGGGACGAATTTTCGCCGCCGTTTCCCTGGCTATTTCGAACAGGTTTTCGTCGGTCAGACCGAACAGCGGGCACTTCAGCACAGCGGCGAGCGACAGATCGTCTTCAGGCAACAACATGAACCGTCCGAGCGCAGCAAGATCCTGAACCGCTATGTGGTCCGTCAGAACCAGCCGGTCACTGCCGGCTGCGGGAACATTCAGTTCCTTGAGTTCCCGGTTGAGCGCTTCGACAAACGGCCCCCGCTTGCGCACCAGGATCATTACTTCTCCCGGATCCGCTGTGCCTTCGCGCATCCAGCCGGCGATCTGCGCTGCAATTCGCCTTGCAACCTTCAGCATCGGGCTACCGGACCCGACATGATCGACCGGCAGCCGCCAGTCCTCGGGCTCCTCGATGTCGGCTTCCACCTCGAGAGGCCAGAGATCCACTATTCCGGGATCACGCCTGATGGCTTCATGTACCGGAGCACTGACCTTCTGAGACAAACCACGATGGGCGGATTCCTCTTGAAAAACCCTGTCAACGGCGCCGAGCACGTCGGGTGTCGAACGAAAGGACAATTGCAGATTGACCGAATGAAATTCCTGCTCCGCGGCATCTGCCTGCTTCGAAAATGCGCGCCGCATGGCATCGAAATAGGCCGGGACAGCGCCCTGGAAGGAATAGATCGACTGTTTTTCATCACCGACCGCAAAGAGCGTTCTGGTCCGTTCATGCGCCCCGGCTCCAACAAAAAATTCAGAGGCGAGCGAAGTGACCACGTCCCATTGCCGCGGGCTGGTATCCTGTGCTTCATCGACGAGAATATGATCAAGCCCCTGGTCAAGCTTGTACTGGACCCATTGTGCAGCATCCGATTTCTGCAGCAAGGTCGCCGTCTTGACGACAAGATCCTCAAAATCGAGAAAGCCTCGTGCCGTCTTGGCACGTTCGTAGTGCCGTATCACCGCATCTGCCAACCGGAGCAGCGACGAAGTCCCCTCAAATGTCGCGATATTTCTGCGCTCCTCCAGAAGCGAAAGCAACCGCGACTGCTCGGCGGTCAGCGCTTCCATCATCTCAGGGAAATTCTCTGCCACCTTTTTTGTCGCGAGTGATTTTCGAGGATCCAGTTTCGATGTCAAAAAGACCGGCAGCCACGCCGTCCGGAAAGTTTCCGGGTCTTTCTGACGGGCAGCCTCAACGAGCGCTTCGGCACGCGCCTGATCTGTCTTGGCCCCCGTTCTCAAGGCTTCCGCGTAACTCAGGCAGGTGTTCCGATCGAACGGACAGCCGGTCCTGAAACGCGCGTCGAATTCGTCAAGCCGGTCGGACCCGTCAACACCCAGAAGCCCGGCAAGTTCTTGAAGAGCGTCGTCAAGGCTGCCTGCGTCAACCGTCCAGCGGCGGAACGCATCACGGCTCTGGATCAGTTCCTCCAACGCCTTCTGTGCGCCGCCATCGCTCATGAGCGATATGACGGAAGCAAGTGCCTGGCCAAGGGGACTGGCCGGTTCAGATTCCGCCCGGTGAAGTACGGTCCCGCGCGCTTCTGCCATCAGCTCAGCGGCAACCCGGTCGTCAAGCACGGAAAAATGACCGGCGACGTTTGCTTCCAACGGGAACTGGTGAAGCAAGGCTTCGCAAAATCCGTGGATCGTCTGGATCTTCAGACCACCTGGTGTTTCCAGCGCCCGGGCAAACAACCGACGCGCCATTGCCAGCCGCGCAGCATCGGGCTTGCGCCCCTCAATGTCCCGAAGTTCGGCGGCGAGCGTTTCATCGGGCATGGTCACCCAGGCGCCGAGGTTGCCGAAGACACGGTTCGCCATTTCCGCCGCCGCAGCCTTTGTGAACGTCAGCGCCAGAATGCGGCTCGGGTCTGTCCCGTCCAGTAACAGCCGGACCACCCGGCGCGACAGCACGAATGTCTTTCCGGAACCGGCATTGGCGCTCACCCATGCCGATGCGCGTGGACGAGACGCAAGGTCCTGGCGTTTTCTGGTCAGTTCGGGAACCTGAATACCGCTCATGTCGGTTCCTCGCCTCCCAACGCCCATTCCTGGGTGCGTGCCAGGTGATCGTAGTCACCATCCATCGCCCTGCCGCGCATAACCCGGGCACGGGAGAGGTAACCGGTTTGCGGATTGCAATAGTGAGCGATCAATTGTTCCAGGCGTTGCCAGGCATCCTCAATGAGGTCTTCCAAGGATGTTTCCCTGGGATTGCGTGGAACCGGATCAGCACCGTCTTTCAGTTGCAGATAAAGCAGTTCGGAGATCTGCTTTCCTGATGGAACATCCTTGAACCCGGACCTCCTGATCATGGCAGCTTCCAGAGGCAATTGGGGAGACAACAACGCATCGACCTGCTTCTGGGACGGGATCTGCCCCGTCTTGTAGTCAATGACAGCCAGGTCTCCGGTTGTCATAAGATCGATACGGTCCGCGCGTCCCCGCAGCCGGAAATCGAAGCCCGGCAGCGTGAGTTCCACACCGCCCCCAATCTCAAGAAACCGTTCATCGACCGCTTTCGAACGCCGTTCCTCAAAGGCCACAAATCCTGTCGCGATCTTCTGGAACCGTGGCCACCACAACGCCCGAACGGCCGGAAAGGCATCGAGAGGCTCGAATAGTTTTTCGCCGATCTCCTTGAGGGCTGCAACGGCGCTGTCATCAAACGGTCCCGACCAGGTTGCGAGAAACTCGGCCAGGGCGTCGTGGATCAGGGTTCCCTTGTCGGCTGCTCCCGGTTCGCCGCCGATGGGATCCACCGCCTGCAGCTCCAGGACGTGACGGGCATAGATCGCATAGGGATCGCGGATCAGTCGCTCGATCTCCGTGATCGACAGCGATTTTGGTCTTGCATCGAGAGCGGGAGCTGGAACAGGCCGATTTGCCGGCCGAACCGGGCCATCCGGCTGGTCCAGAAGACCAGCCAGTTTTGCGTATGTACCTCCGCGCAGCTCCATCGAACGGGTCGCGTCGGGACCTGCGAGCGTCGTCAGTCGCTGCAGCCAGCGGGAGGCGACCGTGGGGGCGCCGTCAGCGCGTGCGGCTCGAGACAGGAGTACCCGTCTTGCTCCGAGCCCCTGAGCGAAATCATGGGCCGCGGCACCAAGTCGCCTTTCCGGCGGCTCCAGACCGATGTCCCGCTTCATGGGTCTGCTCAACCAGGGATCATTGCGGGTTCGTTGCGGCCAGATACCTTCATTGAGCCCGCCCAGGATCACGAAATCAAATGTCTGAAGACGCGCCTCCATCGGACCGAGTATCTGTACTCTCTGATCTCCCGGAAGCCTTCGGCGCACCGCCTGTCCCGCCATCAATGCAGGCAACACGGTCGGCCATTCGCCGGGCGGCACATCCAGGCCGCTCGAACCACCTTCAAGAAGGTCACTCAGAAACTGTGCGAGGCCCTCACCCGCCTCTCCGGCATAAAGCTCATCAAAGGAACCGGTATCGTCCGTCGCCACGGCCTGGATGACCTCAATATGAAGCCGCGCAAGGTCGGTGACCGAGATCGCTTCAGTGCTTTCACCGAGATCTTCCAATGGTGCCAGGGCGACCGCGAGCCTTTCGACAAGGTCGACAATCACATCCCAGTCCGCTTCGTGCACTTTCTTCCAGCGCGGTATGTGCGCGTTGTCCACTTCCTCGCGGCTGGCTTCGACCGCAGCACGCAAACCGCCGGTTCCGGGTCTTGCACGCGGACCACGGATGACGCCGCGTTCCAATGCACGCGCGGCGGAACGGATATCCTTGAACGGCAAACCGAAACGTGCGAGCGGGTGCTTGAGCAACGCCAGAAGGTCGATCGGTTCACATCCATTCAAGGCCAGCTTTGCTGCAAGGACCGACAGGATGGCCGGAGCAGTCTGGTCGAGCGGACGCCCGGCACTGTCATCCACCTGGATGTTCCATCGTGACAATTCCGCCGCGACCCGTCGGGTCAGCATCCTGTCCGGTGAAATCAACGCCGCCATTTCATTCCGCTCAATCGCCTCACGCAAGGCAATCGACAGGCTCAGGGCTTCATCCGCTTCGTTGCGCGCCACCAGAATTGCGACATCTTCGAGAGCTTCTGCACGATCGGACTGTCCCGTTTCTGCAAGGAAGCCAGTCCAGGCGTCGGACGTATCGGCGGGCCGCAAGGCTTCAGAAACAAGTGTTTCCCTGAGTGTCCTCGTACGATCGGGAATCTCCCCGAGAGTTGCGACATCAGGACGGGAAACACCGAGCCGGTCGAGCAGTTGCTTGAGCGAGTATTGCGGATGAGACGGCAAGGTCGCCATGCCCTTGCCGATCCGCGCGGCGTTTGTCGATGCACCGGCGCTACGTTGCCCAAGCGTTGCCCAGGACCTGTTATCGAGATGCTGATCAAGCCCCGGAAGCACGATGACGCCCTGCTTCAATCCGGCAACAACTTTCAAAAGTTCTGCGGTTGCAGGCACTGATCCGGTAACCCCGGCGACGATGACGGGGTTACCAGGTGCTGCCTTTGCAAGACGCTGAGCTTCCCGCCGTATCAGCGCGGACCTGCGCGCCTTCGGATCCATCTGTCCCCGTTCGGCAAGATGGGCCGGCCAGGCTTCCTGCACGATTTTCAGAAAATCCAGCGTGATCTGCCAATAGCGCGCAAAATCCTCCGGAACGAGCGCGGTCAGTTCACTCCAGTCCGCCTCCTCGGTCTCAACCTCGTCCATCAGTGACAGCAGATCTGCGGCGAGCCAGGCGGCATCCGCAGTGGAAGCGGGAACACCCAGGGGTTCGTCCAGACGCAAGCTCAGCGCTTCCCGGCGCAGGGTTCCCTTCCAGGCCTTGACGAGCCGGGTCATTGCCAGGTGACGCTCTAGCAGGGGCATCGCCGGCGGCAGGGGCGCAAGATCGATGTCAGCCGTGAGGCTCTGAGCGTCTTCATCCGCATCGCCAACGGGCCTGATATCGGGCAGAAGCACCGGTATTCCACCGAACTTCTTCTGAAAGACCTGCGGAAGCAGCCGTGCAGAGCGCCGCGTCGGCAGATACAGTGTCACCGAAGGCAAAAGGTGTGGATTGTCCTGGGGACAAAATCCCGGAACCAGGGCGCCTTCAACAAGCTTGTCGACGAGAGTTTCGAGGAAGGGAACGGATGGCGGAACCGAATAGAGACGCGCGCGCTCGGCCATTCTAAAACCCTTTTGAAGAATACGGAGCCGCTCGACCCGGTCTTCGGTTATGGCGACACAATCGGCTTGCATCCGTGCGCGCGTGTTTTGAAGCGCAAATTTGTCCGCCTTCCAACTGGCGAAGCATTTGATCGGCATTCCATTGGATGCGGGATGTCTTGCGCATATTCTGCACTTTGACCCCAGTGGCAACCAGCGGAATGGAAAGTCGCCCTTCTGGTCCGAAACTCGGCCCATCTTCCTCGCTGCCGAGCAGGTCCGATACCGTGCACCGAACGTCGCTCCGCGTCTCGGAAATGAGCCGATCTGGATCCATCAAGAGGCTCCGTGTACTTCAATTGGACTACCGGCCAAACGCTCACATACGACTTTGAATCGTTGAATGTGGTCTTGCCCGGATACAAGGCGCAAGCTTGCAGGAAACAACCCGATTTTCAAGAGCTTGCGACGCTGTTGCCAGGCTAATCCACCTCGTCGCCAAGCGGGACCAACACGGCTTTGAATTGCTTTGCCAAGCGCTTCAGCTGGCAGCAACATTGCTGGTTGCGTTTTTCCCGGTCGATTCTGGCTGTTTCCAGCACCGTTTCGACTTTTGTCTGAGCGCGCTGCCTAGGCAGCGCTGCCACCAACGGCATATTCCGCAGCACGGATTGCATCCGGTGTGCCTATGTGAAGCCACAGACCTTCCATCTGAACACCGAACAGGCGCCCTGATTCGATTGCCCGGTCAAACAGGATGTTCATCGAGAACGGTCCCTCCGGTGCGTCCTCGAAAAATCGCGGATGCAGGATCGCCGCCCCCGCATAGGCAAAGGGTGTCACGCCTTTTTCCAACCGTCTGGTAAGACTGCCGTCTTTCGACATTTCGAAGTCTCCCCGACCTGCATACCCGACGGACTTGACGGTTTCGGCGACCAGGAGAAGGGCATCCATGCGGTCCTCGTCCCAGGCATCAACCATGTGTTCCAGGTTCGGTTTGACGCCTTCGATCCAGTAGCAGGTATCGGCGTTCAACTGGAAGAACGGATCTGCACCAAGCAGCGGAAGCGCATTCTTGATGCCGCCCCCGGTTTCCAGCAGTTGCTCGCGTTCATCGGAGATGAGGATTTCCATGTCACTGCGGCGGCGCACATGAACTTCGACAAGATCGGCAAGGTAATGCACGTTGACCACGCATGTCCTCACTCCTGCCGCGGCCAGCCGGTCCATACCGTGGTCAATCAGCGCCTGGCCATTGACTTCGATCAGCGGCTTGGGCGTGGTCGCGGTCAGAGGACGCATCCTCTTGCCAAGGCCTGCGGCCAGGATCATTGCTTTTGATGGGCGGAACCGCTGTTGATTCATTTTTTCACTCGAATGATTGTGCCCGGCATCGCACGACCTGTTTTTCAGAACCGGAAACGTCCGTACCAGTCTTTCAAGCCCGACATGCCCGGCCTTTCAAGAACGCGATCCAGATAGCCTATCATGCGCGGCAAATGGCTCAAATAAGCCGGCTTGGCATCACGCCGCGCCAGCCGGACGAAAATCCCGAGGATCTTTGAAACTCGCTGAACCGCCATTACCGAATAGGCGTCTGAAAAGCTGGCCCTGTCGAACCCCGGAGACTGCTTCTCCATCCCGGAGACATAAGCATCATACAGACTGGTTTCCAGCTCGACACTCATTTCGGTTCGAGCGTCCAGCAAAAGAGAGGCAACATCATAGGCGACGGGGCCGATCACCGTATCCTGCAAATCGATCAATCCGATCCTGTCGATGCCGCCTGCCGCTTCCTGCCACAGCAAATTTGGGGAATGGAAGTCCCGAAGCACCCATCCCCGTTGCGCACCGGAAATACGATCCAGGTTCTGATGCCAAAGAGCTGCAAATTCCGCGCGCAAGGACGCATCAACAGGATCTCCCGAGATTTCGGGGACATACCAGTCCAGAAACAAGGCAGCTTCCGCAATGAGCGCCGCATCCGAGTAATGAGGAACCTCATAGGTCCCTCCCTCCTTAAGCCGGACACTCTCGGGCCAACTTTGCCGGTGGAGGTGAACAAGGATATCGATGGCAACACGGTAGCGCGCAGGATCCGGACGGCCATCGACCACAATCGTTTCGCTGCCGAAGTCCTCGGAAAGAACGAGACCATTTTCAAGGTCGGCCGAAAAGGTTTCCGGCGCCCTGATACCCCGCCGGCGTAGCTCAGAACCGATCGCAAGAACGGAGCGGCAGTCCTGCGCCAGATGGACACGGGTCATGTATGCCCTGACGTCTTCCGAAACGGTACCTTCCCGAAAAGGCCAGCGCATCAGAACAGATCTTCCGGATATCGATGCGATGCTTTCGAATGTCCGCAAGGAGGCATCTCCGGCCAGAAACCGGCGGTTGGCACTACCGAGACCTGCATTTTCCAGGAAATTTCGAACACCGAGCGTCTGCTCGATGCGCTGCTGCCAGTCCGGGTTTTCGGAATGGAAAACGAACCGCCTGTTGTCCGTCTCTTCATCCGGCTGGACAATCTGTATCCACAAGGCATCCCGCGGGAGCAGGCTTTCCGCCCTTTCGGGCCACTCGATCAGTGCGGCTCCTGTTTCCAGAAGATCTTCAAGACCGAGTTCTTCCAGCTCTTCCGGTTCTTCAAGACGATAGAGATCGAAGTGTGACAGGTCGAACCGCGGGAATTCGTAAGTCTGCACCAGTGTGAAAGTCGGGCTTGGTACTTCCAGACCCACGTCCGCCGCGAAAGTTCTGATCAAGGCACGTGCAAAAGTGGATTTGCCGGCTCCCAGGTCTCCGGAGAGGCACACAACATCCCCCGCCTTCAGGATCATGGCGATGTCATCCGCCAACTGCCCTGTTTCAGTTTCGCCGGATGTCTCCAGTGTCAGGAATGATGCAGGCAATTGCCGCAGCCGGTGCTCTGCCATGGGCCGTCCTGTTTATTCGGCGGCGACCTGGTCCGCCAATTCGGGGCGCGCCGGAAACACGCATGTGACGGTTGTCCCCTTGCCTTCTGCGGATTCGATATCAACCGTACCGCCGTGAAGCTCAACAAAACTCTTCACGATGGCCAATCCAAGTCCGGCACCCTGCCTGCGGCTGCCGGTGTCGTGGCCGACAAAGCGGTTGAAGACCTGGGCGAGAATTTCGGCCGGTATGCCATAGCCATGGTCCTGCACCACGAAGGAAACCTTGTCGTCCTCCCGGTTGCAGCTCACATCGACGACGCCGTTTTCTTCCGAATAGCGCACAGCATTGGCAATCAGGTTGAACAGGACCTGCCGGAGCCTTTTCTCATCTGCAACGATGACGCCGATGTTTTCAGGCACATTGGTTCGGAGATTGATCTTTGCTTCGGCAATTCGGTCTTTCAGCCCTTCGACGGCTGCCGATACGGTGGAGGCAACATCGACCTCACCCAGATCGAGTTCCATGATACCGGCATCAAGCGTCGCCAGATCAAGAATGTCATTGATGATTGCAAGAAGTGCCGAAGAAGACGACTGAATATATTCGGCATATTCACCCTGCTTTTCGGACAGTTCCCCGAACTTCGGATCCGACAGCAGTTGGGCAAATCCGATGATATTGGTCAGCGGTGAGCGCAATTCGTAGGAAACGTGCTGGATAAAGGCGTTCTTGATCTGATCGGCCTGCTGCAGCGCCTCGTTTTTCTCAAGCAGGGCGCGTTCGACATTCACGCTGTCCGTCACGTCGACGAAGGTTACCAGCGTCCCGCCATCCGGCAACGGGACAGTGGCATAATCAAGAACATCGCCATTGTGGCGTTCCAGACGGCTGACCTTGTGCGTGCGATTGTCGAGGAGGCCGGTGACATTTCCAGCCAGCTGTTCCCAGGCGTTTTCTTCCGTTTCGCTGAGTGTACAGGCCGAGACGACTTCGTTGACGTGCGGCAGCTCAGCCAACTGGTCTTCCTCGAGCTGCCAGATACGGCCGAATGCCGGGTTCCAGAGGCGCAGACGGCCATCGGACCCGAACACGGCAACGGCTTCGGACAGATTATCGAGAGTTTCACCCTGAACCCGGGTCAGCGCGTTGTACCTGCTTTCCAGGTCAAGCCGCTCGGTGAAGTTTTCATAGATATAAGTGACGCCGCCCTGCGGATGGGGGTTCGCAATGACACGCAAGGTGCGGCCATCGGGCAAATGCCACCAGCTTTCCCGCGCTTCCAGCGACTGGTAGCTTTTCAGCATCTTGTTGCGCCAGACCCGGTAGTCGGCCTGTTCGGGCAGTTTGCGCGAGGCACGAAGCGCATCCAGGACAGTGCTGTCTTCCGGGCGGCTCTCCAGGAAGGCATCATCCAGGTCCCAGAGCTGACGGAATGCAGCATTGTAAAACTGCAGCTTGCGATCGCTGCCGTAAATTGCGACCGCGGCGGCAAGCTGGTCCAGCGTGCGGCCATGAAATTCCTCGGCCCTGCCGAGTTCCTTGCGCGCCTGTTCAAGCTCACTGATGTCAACGGCAATACCGGCACCGCCGACACTCGCGTTGACATCGGTGACTTCAAACACGCACCGGTCGCCGGAGGCGACAATGGGAATGCGTGCCGAGAAGCACCCATCTTCGGTGCGCTGCACGGCCATGGCTGTACGGGCTGCAGCGTCCAGGAATGTCGCCCCTTCCCTGATTGCACTTTCCGCATCGGTCATCTCAACGGCTTCGGCGTATGCCGCATTGGCCCAGATCAGTTTGCCTTCCGCGTCCCGCTGCCAGGCCGGAGCGGGCATGGCGTCCAGCAATGCGTGCAGCATATGGAGCTCGCCGGAAATTCTGGCGTTGCGTGCGGACAGTTCCGCCTGCATCTGCCGTTCGCCGGTCAGATCGCGCAAACGCAGGACAACCGCGCCACCGGTGGTGCGCCCCAGGGCCTCCACATAAGTGCCCGTGCGTGTCTTCAATGTTGCGGTAAAGGCCTCGCCGGTCCGAAACAGCATATCCAGATGCCGCTCGAGATCGCCGGCACATTTGGTCGTGAGCCAGCTTCCAAATGCAAGGAGCTGCGCAGGAGGACGCGGCACACCCGATTTTTCAGGAAGAATGCCCCAGATCTGCGGGACGGCACCGTTACCGGTCCAGACGATCACACGCTGCTCATCCGTGTTGAGCATGGCCTCCAGCCGATCAATCCGGAATTTCAGGTCGCTCTTTTCCTTTTCAAGCGATGCAGTTACCTGAGCGGATTGCTTGCGATGCCTGACAAGGGAGACAGCCGCGGTTACGGCAAAGGCGCACATGCCACCGACTGCGCCAACAAGGATCATTGCACCCGGATTGATCGCGGCTGTGGTATCGGCGAGCATGTTCGCTGCCGCCGGACCCGACATAAGTCCGCAGCCCGCCAGAGCCGTGCTGCCGAGCTTCAACGATTTCAGACTCCGATCTCGCCACGCCGCGCTTTTGAGCGCGCCGTCCTTGCTGCCTTTCGGCATATTATGATCCCCTTACGCCGCCTATCCCGCCTTGCGGGAGCAGCCCCCGGATTCTGGGAGCAAATCAAAGGCATCCGCCTCTTGGCCCCTGATTCGCTTAAACCATAACCTTTTTGAGAATCACGCAGAAGAGTCCGTAACCGAAAAGTTAACAGAACCCTTCAAATTGAAGGGTTCTGCATTTTTTTGTTCACATGGCCGAATCGTGGCGATTACCACATGTAGTGGGCCAGTTTTGTGAAATCAGTATTTGTAGTGCTCTGCCTTGAACGGACCAGCCTTATTAATCCCCAGATAATCAGATTGATTGTCCGTCAATTCGGTTAACGTGACACCCAGTTTTTCAAGGTGCAGACGGGCAACCTTTTCATCCAGGTGCTTCGGCAGAACATACACTTCGTTCTTGTACTGATCGCCTTTGGAGTAGAGCTCGATCTGCGCCAGAACCTGGTTGGTGAAACTTGCGGACATCACGAAGCTCGGATGACCGGTCGCATTGCCGAGGTTTACCAGGCGGCCCTGTGACAAGAGGATCATGCGCTTGCCGTCCGGAAATTCGTACATGTCGACCTGGTCCTTGACCGGGCGGCACTTGGTGTTCTTCAGAGCGGCAACCTGAATTTCATTGTCGAAGTGGCCAATGTTGCAGACGATGGCCATGTCCTTCATGCCACGCATGTGGTCGAAGGTGATAATGTCCTTGTTGCCTGTCGCGGTGACGTAGATGTCGCCTTCCGGCAGTGCCTGTTCCATGGTCTTGACCTCAAAGCCGTCCATGGAAGCCTGCAGCGCGCAGATCGGGTCGATTTCAGTAACGATGACCCGGGCGCCGGCGCCTGCCAGAGACTGAGCGGAGCCCTTGCCGACATCGCCATAACCGCAAACAACGGCAACCTTGCCGGACATCATCACATCGGTGCCGCGCCGAATTCCATCGACGAGAGATTCACGGCAACCGTAACGGTTGTCGAACTTCGACTTGGTGACACTGTCGTTGACATTGATCGCCGGGAACGGCAGCGCGCCCTTCTTCTGCATTTCGTAAAGACGAAGGACACCGGTGGTGGTTTCTTCCGAAACACCCTGGATCAGCTCTTTCTGCTTTGTGAACCAGCCAGGATTAGAGGCCATGCGCTTCTTGATCTGAGCGAAGAGGCACTCTTCCTCCTCCGAAGTCGGGTTCTCGATGAGGCCGGTTTCACCAGCTTCAACGCGTGCACCCATCAGGATGTAAAGCGTTGCATCGCCGCCATCATCCAGGATCATGTTGGCGCCATCGGGGAAATCGAAGATCTTGTCGGCATAATCCCAATATTCTTCCAGTGTCTCGCCCTTGATAGCGAAAACCGGAACACCAGCCGCTGCGATCGCAGCTGCTGCCTGATCCTGAGTGGAATAGATGTTACAGGACGCCCAACGGACTTCGGCGCCCAGAGCAACCAGCGTCTCGATCAGCACTGCTGTCTGGATGGTCATATGCAGAGAGCCGGCAATGCGTGCGCCCTTCAGCGGCTTGGTTTCGCCAAATTCCGCACGGCATGCCATCAGGCCCGGCATTTCGTGTTCGGCGATTTCGATCTCTGTGCGGCCCCAGTCTGCGAGCCCTATGTCTTTGACGATGTAGTCAGTCATGAAAATGTCCTGCTGTTGGATCCAGCTTTGTGCGCCGGCCTTGTGAAAGCAGCTGCCCTGTTGCCGATCAGTGAACATCACGGGTTCGGCAGCCGCCAGCCGGATTCCGGTTCAAGCCGGAAGCCGTTGGGTGCGGTTATAGCGCCCGAATCCACTTCTCGCAATAAAGATATAAAGAATTCTTTATATGATTTTTTTCAACTGCGGTTCACCGCTGATAAAGGTCTTCCCTGGAAGGCGGCAGTCCGGAAGGCCCTTTCGTGCGGCGGGACGCGACGGTCTGAAAGATACCGATAGACCCGCGGTCGAAACCGAGGGATACACCGCACAGATAGGCCAGCCAGAGACGGTATTTCTGTTCACCGATGTCCGCGATTGCCGCGTCCCTGACCGCCATCAGGTTTTCGGCCCAAAGGCGCGTGGTGCGGGCATAGTGTTCACGCCATGCCTCCACGTCGTGAACTTCAAATCCGTGCGCTTCCAGATTTGTCAGTGTCCAGCCGATATGGTCCACTTCTCCACCAGGGAAGATATAGCGTACCAATGCCTGGTACTCCGGCTTCTTTCGGCGAAATTTCTTAAGGTCCTTCTTGCCGCGCCGAGTGATCGCGTGGTGCAGATAGATCCCCCGCGGCTTGAGCAGCCGATGCACGCTCCGGAAATAATTGTCGTAGTTGTCCAGACCGACGGCTTCGAACATGCCGATTGAGGAAATCTTGTCGAACCGTTCGCCCTTCATGTCGCGGTAATCGATCAACTCGACCGAAACCTTGTCCTCAAGACCACGCTCCGCGATCCTTTCGCGCGCAAGTTTGAGCTGCTCTTCGGCAAGGGTCACACCGACCGCCGTCACGCCATAATGTTCCGCCGCATGGCAGATCAGGGCCCCCCAACCGCAACCGATATCGAGCATCCGATCGCCAGGCTTCAGGCGAAGTTTCCTGCAAATCATGTCCAGCTTGTCTTTCTGGGCTGTTGCCAGATCATTGGACCAATCGCGGAAATATGCGCACGTATAAACCATCTCGGGGTCAAGAAAGAGCTTATAGAAGTCATTTGAGACGTCGTAGTGAAAGGCGATGTCGTCCTTCCGGCTGCCGGAGCTTCTGTCGGCCACCGTGCCGGCGTCCAGACCCTCTTCCTGTTGCCGGGCGCCGGTGTCCTTTGCACCCAGTAGCAGCGGTACCGCGTTTTTCAGCAGCAACATCTTGTTCAGCCGCTTGCGCAGTTCCCGGCTTTTGATCTTGGGTCTTCTCTCGGCGAATTCGAAGATTGTTCCGCCGCGCGGGTCGATCTCTCCGGTGGAATAAAGGTCGACGACGGTCTTGATACCCGGACTGCGAAGCAGCCTGGTTAGAGCTTTGGGTGCCAGCGCAATCCGAAGTCCATCCGCTGCTGCATCCGCCGGGACGAGGGATCCGTCCCACAATTCGAATGCAAACTGCAGATCCAGTGCCTGATGAAGATGAGAGAGCACGGACCGTGCCGCTGAAATCGTCCGGTCACCGGATTGGCTTGCCATAACATTCCCCACCAAATTTACGGCATATGATCCGCGTCTTGACACCCTTTCGAACCGGCACGCGGGTTCTTCCCTGGAAACGAACGATCCAGGTCCTGGACATCAATCCGTTTCGCCAAATCCGCTTTCAACTAGTTCCGAAATCGCGTCGAGTGCAGCCTGCGCTTCCTGGCCGCTGACGCAAACCCTGATGCAGCAGCCCGGACTGGCCGCCAGCATCATCAGTCCCATGATCGATGTTCCGCCAACCGTCTGTCCGTCCTTCGACACCTGAACATCAGCCTCGAAGGTCTCGACAAGCTTGACCATCTTGGCAGATGCCCGGGCATGCAATCCGCGCTGGTTGACGATGGTCAGGTCTTTTTCAAACAAATTCTGTGCCGTCATAATCGTTTTTAGTTTTGTCCCGACAGCACCTGGCTTGCAACTGAAATGTATTTTTGTCCGGCCTGACGAGCCTCATCGACGGCGTCTGCCAACTCCCTGTCCGCGCGTACACTGGCAAGCTTGATAAGCATCGGCAGGTTCACCCCGGCAACCACTTCCACGGATTTGCCATCCATGACGGAAATGGCCAGATTGGAAGGCGTACCGCCAAACATGTCCGTCAGCAAAACAACCCCGTTACCGGAATTGGCTGCCTCCACGGCGGACAAAATGTCCTGCCGTCTCTGTTCCATGTCGTCGTCGGGACCAATGGAAATTGTTTCGATCTGTTCCTGGGGACCGACAACATGCTCCAGCGCCGCCTTGAATTCTTCAGCGAGGCGTCCGTGCGTAACAAGTACAAGTCCGATCATTCAGTCTTCAGCCTGACTATCGTGTGCGTTTGGCTCTCAAACGGAGCCGGGCGTTTATCAGTCTGATGCACTCTCTTCAACCGTTAAACCAGTTGCAAGCAAAAAACGCATCGATACCCTAAATGTAATCCGGAGAAGCCGGAAAGAGCGTTCGCAATCCCCAGCGCAGCAACCTCAGACTGACGTCCGGCCTGTTTGCCGGGCAAGTCAGCGCGGGGAGTGAGACTGTCTCAAGGTTCTGCCGCGTGACGGAGTTGTCCGGCAGGCGTTCCATTGTCCCGATCGGGCGCAAACTGACAACAATGTGCACCTTCGCCGCCGATATCGCCTGCGTTGCCTGCACCCCTGCCCCGCGCACTTCCATCAAACCCAGAATACTTCCCGGCGCCCTTGCAACGAGCTGCCCCCGCTCTGCCGACAGGACGACACGGTCGTCGGCGACCAGGACACCCAGATTGCCGCTGGCCTTTGCTGCAGTAATCAGCGTGTCGGTCAGTTCCGATTTGCCGCTGCCGGATTCTCCCTGGATGAGGATACCGCGCGTTCCGACAACAAGGCAGTTTGCGTGAACGGATTGCCCGGTCATTTGGCGGTTCCCGCTGGTAGATAAATCGTGAACCGGGCACCTGCGATCTTGGCCTCCCCATCCGCGCCCTGTTCCTTGCGGTTGGTCGCGGACAACGTGCCACCATGCGCTTCGATTATCTGTCTCGAGATGGAAAGCCCGAGCCCGGAATTGTTACCAAAGCCTTCACCGTCGGGTCGGTCGGTATAAAAGCGCTCGAATATGCGTTCGGTATTTTCCGCACGAATTCCGGATCCGTCGTCGTCCACAGTGACCCTGATCCGTCGGCCCTCGCGGGCAAGATCGATCCGCACCGTCCCACTGGTTGGAGAAAAGGACCGCGCGTTGTCGAGAAGATTGCTGATCACCTGTCCAAGCCGGATGTCGTGCCCCTGGACCCGATAGGGTTTGGAGCCTGGCGCATCCGCGACTGTCAGTTTCACCTTGGCTTCTTCAGCACCGGTATGCTGGTTTGCCGCATCCGCCATGTTTCGCAGAAGTTCGGCCAGATCGATTGTCTCTGACTGAATGCGGGCAAGCTCCGCATCGAGACGCGACGCATCTGAAATGTCGCTGATCAACCGGTCCAGGCGGCGAACGTCATGCTGGATAACTTCCATCAGCCGGTCCTGAGAGGACTTTGTTCTTGCAAGTGGCAGGGTTTCAACGGCACTTCTCAATGAAGTCAGCGGGTTCTTGAGTTCATGGGCGACGTCCGCGGCAAAACGCTCGATCGCATCAATCTTGTTGTACAGCGCATTGGTCATTTCCCGGAACGAACGGGCGAGATGGCCGATCTCGTCCTGGCGTTCCGAGAATTCCGGAATTTCCTCGCGGGAATTGGATCCGCGGCGTACCCGGTCTGCTGCGGCAGCCAACCTGCGCACCGGCCCGGCGATCGTACCTGCCAAAAGGATCGACAACAGGATCGTTACTGTTGCCGCGAACAGAAACACGCGGATAATGGCGATACGTTCAGCCCGAACAATCGCGTCGATGTCTCCCCCCTGTGTCGACAGAAGCAAAGCGCCAAGAACGGCGCGAAAACGCTGGATCGGAACAGCAACTGAAACAATCAGTTCACCTCGCTGCGAGATCCGCGTCACACTGGCCGGTGACCCGGCCAGCGCTGCCTCCACCTCCGGATAGGCACGCCCGTCGCCACCACCGACTTCCTGGTAGAGCGGCAAGTCCCCTTGCCGAAGCAGGCGTTTGGTCCATTGCCAGGCTGAATCCCAAAAACCGGTCTCTTGCGCCGTCGGCGGCGGCAGATCGAAGCGAAGGATCTGCGCGCTGGAATAGAGGTGGCGGGAATCGAGGATCAGAATGCCTTCCGGATCGTAAATCCGGGCGCGGGTCTTGGTCGGGGAAATCAAGCGCCGCAGCACAGGACCTACCCGTTCAGGGTTGATCGGAAAATCGAGACTGTCCAGATCATCGACCGTGGGCGTGATGCTTTCCCCGGCCTGCAATTGCAGCAATCGCTCCGGATCCACGGTGATCGTTCCGGTGTCTACCGTTGCCGACGCGGCAATCGCACCGGCAATGATCTCACCTTGCGTCAGCAGGCTCTGAACCCGGGCGTCGATCAGCCCCGCCCGAAACTGGTTCAGATAAAGGATGCCGATCACGAGAGCGAGCAGGCCGACGAGATTGATCGCAATGATCCGGCGCGTCAGCGACGACAGCACATAGGTTCCGAAAATACGGCCCAACTGGTTCAGAAGACGGCGCCGGATCCGCTTGTTGCCAAGCCGGCGCAGGCGGGAGCGCTCCGAACCGTTGGCGGGATCGGAGTCGACAATGCTCTCAGCGCTCTCGCTTTCAACCGCCATCTGCCCGCTATCTTAATGGCTGCTTCAGACTTCCCGGAAGCGGTACCCAACTCCATAAAGTGTTTCAATCATGTCGAAGTCGTCGTCAACAACCTTGAACTTTTTCCGCAGACGCTTGATGTGGCTGTCGATTGTCCGGTCGTCCACGTAGACCTGGTCATCATAAGCTGCATCCATGAGCGCATTGCGGCTTTTCACGACCCCGGGCCGCTGCGCCAGGGCAGACAGGATCAGGAATTCTGTGACTGTCAGCGTTACGGGCTTGTTGTTCCAGGTGCAGGTGTGTCGTTCCTGATCCATGACGAGCTGGCCACGCTCAAGCAATTTGTCCGCGTCGTCTCGCGGCGCGCTGGCATCCTTCGGCTGTGCCCTGCGCAGAACCGCACGCACACGCTCGACCAGAAGACGCTGGGAAAACGGTTTGCGAATAAAATCGTCCGCCCCCATTTTCAAACCGAACAATTCATCGATCTCGTCATCCTTGGATGTCAGAAAGATGACCGGCAGATCCGAGTTCTGGCGCAATCGGCGCAGCAACTCCATGCCGTCCATGCGCGGCATCTTGATATCGAATATTGCCAATTGCGGAGGGTCGCTCTGCAGCCCATCAAGCGCAGACGTTCCGTCCGTGTAGGTCTGGACGCGGTAGCCTTCCGTCTCAAGCGCAATCGACACCGAAGTCAAAATGTTGCGGTCGTCATCGACCAGAGCAATTGTCGGCATACTTTATTTTCCATTTCCGGCAGCGCACGACAGTACGCATCGGTATTACTTACTGTATCACACAGCCTTTGGCCTGCTAAATGCGCATAAATTAAGGCAAACCCTATCTTCAGGCGTTCCAAAAACCTTCAGACCGGGTCGCAATCTGCTTGATGAGGGCTTGAACACCGAAATACAAGGTCTCTTTTGGACGCTTTGTACGTTAACCACTCGCGAACACAAAATTCGTTAACAGGATGCGCGATTTAAGTGCGAATATTTTCGCATTGCTCTTCAAGTCGAACAATTCGAAGGTTTCGTTTATTACTTTGCATTCCAAATTAATCATTCAAAACTTTGCGCGGCATTTTAATCGATTAAACAATGACATAGCACCTTTGGTAGTCTTGCTGCCGTTCAGTCATTCTACTAGGTTCGCAGCCCTCACAGCCGGAAAAGTCTTCTTGGTCTGTCTCCGGCGACGGAATTGCACCCATCACGAGGACTGCGGGAACATGCAAGAAACAGGTGTCAGGAACCCTTCCAGTGGCAGCGAATCCTTCGGCTTCAAGGGGCTGAAGGCGCTCTATTGGAACCAGAACGAGCCTGCCCTTTACGAACATTCCCTGTCCCGCGGTGAAGCCAGGCTTGCAGCAGGCGGTGCGCTCGTTGCCGAAACCGGCATCCACACCGGAAGATCTCCGAAAGACAAATTCGTGGTTCTCGACGAGGAGACCAGAGATACCGTCTGGTGGGACAACAACGCCCAGATTTCAAAGTCGCAATTCGATGTCCTTTTGGACGATTTCCTGGAGCATGCGGAAGGTCTCGAGCTGTTTGCACAGGACCTGTATGGCGGAGCGGATCCAAAGCACCGCCTGCCTGTGCGGGTCTATACACAATATGCCTGGCACTCTCTGTTCATCCGCAACTTGCTGCTGCGGCCAGAGGCTGCGGAGCTTGCTTCCTTCGCACCGGAAATGACGATCGTAGATCTGCCGAGCTTCAAAGCCGATCCCGCGCGGCACGGATGCCGAAGCGAAACGGTCATCGCCTGCGACCTGACCCGAAAGATCGTCCTCATCGGTGGAACGTCCTACGCCGGTGAGATGAAAAAGTCGGTGTTCACAATGCTGAACCACCTTCTGCCGGCGAAAGGCATCATGTCGATGCATTGTTCCGCAAATGTCGGCGACGCCGGTGACACAGCCGTCTTTTTCGGTCTGTCGGGAACAGGCAAGACAACACTCTCCGCTGACCCTGACCGGACGCTGATCGGCGACGATGAACATGGCTGGAGCGAAGGTGGCGTCTTTAATTTCGAGGGTGGCTGCTACGCCAAGACGATCAAACTTTCCGCCGAAGCGGAACCCGAAATCTACTCGACGACGCAGCGGTTCGGCACAGTGCTGGAAAACGTGGTGCTGGATGAAAATCGCATCCCGGATTTCAACGACGGTTCAAAAACCGAAAATACCCGTGCCGCCTACCCGATCCATTTCATCTCGAACGCCAGTGCGACCGGTTACGCACCGATACCAAAGACGATCATCATGCTGACTGCGGATGCGTTCGGCGTGATGCCTCCTCTTGCCCGGCTGACGCCCGCACAGGCGATGTATCACTTTCTGTCCGGATACACGGCCAAAGTAGCCGGTACCGAAAAGGGTGTCACGGAGCCGCAAGCAACTTTCTCTACCTGCTTCGGTGCTCCGTTCCTGCCGCGACATCCGTCCGAATACGGCAATCTGCTGAAAGAGCTGATCGCAAAACACAATGTGGATTGCTGGCTGGTCAACACCGGCTGGACCGGTGGAGCACACGGTACCGGCCACCGCATGCCAATCAAGGCAACCCGCACGTTGCTCCAGGCTGCCCTTTCGGGAGACCTCAAAGAGGCAGAATTCCGCACGGATGCGAATTTCGGCTTTGAAGTCCCTGTCGCTGTTCCGGGTGTCGAGACAAATATCCTGACACCGCGCGAAACCTGGAGCGACAGGAAGGCCTACGATCTGCAGGCAGCCAGACTCGTCCAGATGTTCGTCGACAACTTCGAGACATTTGAGGCCCATGTGGACGGAACCGTTCGAAACGCGGCTCCCTGTCTTCAGTCAGCCGCCGAGTAGAGACTAAAAACCAACTGACCAAATGGATCGGCATCTGAGGCGTCAGGTGCCGTTTCTGTTTTGTAGAGCTTTCATCTGCTTCAAAAATTTCTATATTCGAGTCGGGCAGACATTCTTCGGGGATCAAGCAATGACGAATGCACATAGCCGGCAAATCGCTGATGTGTTGAAAGCCGCGGAAGACTGGAGCAAATCCGGCCGTGACGTGGCGATTGCAACAGTTGTCGAAACGTGGGGATCGGCACCGCGTCCGGTCGGCTCTCATCTCGTCATCGATGCCGAGGGCAATTTCGAGGGTTCCGTTTCGGGTGGATGTGTCGAAGGCGCCGTGGTTGCAGAAGCCGTCGAAGTCATTGAATCCGGAAAACCGACAACGCTAGAATTCGGTGTCGCCGATGAAACGGCCTGGCGCGTCGGTCTTTCCTGCGGTGGCCGCATCCGTGTCTATGTCGAACCCGTCAACTGATTGAGATTTCGCCTTGCCGACAACTGAAACGCTTCTCGCCTTTTTCGCAGCAACCGCGCTTTTCGCGTATATGCCCGGACCTGCCCTACTTTATACAGCCGCGCAGACTGTTTCACGCGGCCAGCGCGCCGGTTTCATGGCGGCCGCAGGGATACACCTGGGTTGCTACGTTCACGTTCTTGCAGCAGCGTTCGGCCTGTCGGCGGTCTTTGCGGTTGTTCCAAGCCTCTACTTTGCTCTCAAACTTGCCGGAGGCCTGTATCTGGTTTTTCTCGGTGTCCAGATGATCCGGACAAAGGTCTCGAACGGCACCGTCCCCACCCTGCCGCAAAAATCGTCACGAAGAGCCTTTGTAGACAGCATCCTCGTCGAGGTGCTCAACCCGAAAGTTGCCGTCTTTTTCATTGCGTTTCTTCCCCAGTTCGTCAGCCCGGAGGCCAGCCTTCCAATCTGGGCGCAATTTCTCGTTTTGGGAACGGTCGTCAATCTGGCATTTACATCCGCAGATATCGTGACCGTGCTCTTTGCATCCCAGGTGAAGAAAAAGCTTGCCAGAACGTCCCGTTTCCAGGACCTGACCCGCTGGATGGGCGGCTCGCTTCTGGTCGGACTTGGTCTGAAGCTGGCAACGGACCGAACCTGACATCATGGATCTTTCTCTGCTCCAACAGTTGAATGAAGAACGTGCCGCACGCCGTGCAGCCATTCTCGTAACCCGGCTTGACGACGGCTCCCAGAGGCTGGTGCGCAGAAGCGGGAACCACTCCGCCGATCCTTTGAAGGAGGAATTTGCAAAACGCTTCCGGTCAGGCAAGTCCGGAACCGTCGCAACAGATACCGGCGATGTATTTCTGACCGTTTCCGTGCCGTCTCCAAGACTTGTCGTGATCGGCGCAGTCCACATTACCCAGGCGCTGGTACCCATGGCCGAGATCGCCGGTCTGGATGTCACCGTCATCGATCCGCGGACCGCCTTTGCAACGGAAGAGCGTTTTCCCGGATGCACCCTTAGACCGGATTGGCCTGAAGAGGTTCTGAAGCACACGCCTCTGGATGCATATACAGCGGTTGCTGCCGTTACACATGATCCCAAGATCGACGACTTTCCGCTGATAGAGGCACTTAAAACCGAATGTTTTTACATCGGCGCGCTGGGCAGCCGGAAAACTCACGGCAAACGCTTGGAACGTTTCACGGCAGAAGGCGCGGATCCTGCGCTGTTCGACCGGATCGACGCGCCGATCGGCCTGGATATCGGGGCTGCATCTCCTCAAGAAATCGCAGTCGCTGTTCTTGGCTCAATCATCAGCGCGCTGCGCAAGGCGCCGGAGCCAGGTTTATGAAGTTCGGCCCTGTTCCGCTGAACGAAGCAGCCGGTTGCATCCTTGCTCACAAAACGAGACTCCCTGGCCGGGTGCTGAAAAAGGGGCATGTCTTAACCGAACAGGATTGCCGCGAACTGTTGTCAACGGGAGAATCGAGCCTCACGGTTGCACAGCTGGAAGTCGGCGATGTCGGCGAGGATGAAGCAGCAAGGCGCCTGGGTCTGGCTGCGAAGGGTCCCGGTATCAGCGAAGACACAGCGTTTACCGGCCGCATGAACCTCTATGCGGACACGGACGGCATTCTTGTCGTCAATAGCGAGGCAGTCACCGCTGCCAATCGAATTGATCCGGCCATAACCTTCGCAACCCTGCCGAACCACAGCAAGGTTTCCGGCGATCGGATGATCGCCACCGCCAAGATCATTTCATTTGCCGTTTCAAACGTGTCCCTGACCCATGCGGAAGCTGCCATTCGCGAGGCCGTGGGGATTGCAGCGTTCAAACCCAGGAAGATCGGTCTTGTCGCAACGGAATTGCCACATCTGAAACCGGTGACAATGGACAAGACGCGCAGGGTTCTGGAAGACAGGCTAAGACCGAGCGGCAGTTCCATTCTTGCGGAAAAACGTGTTCCTCACTCTGAGGAGCCTGTTGCGTCCGCCATGAAAACGCTTGCGGAAGAGGGCGCCGATTTTCTGATCCTGTTCGGTGCTTCCGCGGTTGTCGACCGTTACGATGTTCTTCCAGCGGCCGTCGAACATGCAGGTGGGTCCGTGACGCATCTTGGCATGCCGGTCGATCCTGGAAATCTGCTTATGCTTGCGGAATTCGACGGCATCCCCGTTCTGGGTGCTCCCGGCTGCGCCAGGAGCCCCAAGGAAAACGGTTTCGACTGGGTTCTCGACCGATTGCTTGCCGATGTGGCGACCGAACCGGACGACATCACTGCAATGGGCGTTGGAGGCCTCCTGATGGAAATCGGAACGCGTCCACAACCCCGCGAAACCAAGCGACAATCGGCAACTGCAAAAATCGCGGCGATTATCCTCGGAGCGGGAAAATCAACGCGCATGGGTGGGCCGAACAAGTTGCTTGCAGAACTCGATGGCAAGTCTCTTGTTCGTCACGTGGGTGAAGCTGCGTGTGGCGTCGGATTGTCGCAGACAATCCTCGTGACCGGACATCTTGCGGACAAGGTTGGCAACCAGATCGCAGACTTGGATATCGCAATCGTTCACAATCCGGATTTTGCCGACGGCATGGCCAGTTCCATCCGCACCGGAATGAAGGCGCTGGCCGCTGACACACAGGCTGTCCTCATTCTGCTCGGTGACATGCCCGGGATCACAACTGAAGATATCGGGAAACTGATTGCCACCTATCAGGGCAGCGACAACAACCTGATTGTGACGGCAACCGCAAATGGCAAACGCGGCAACCCCGTCCTTTGGGACCGGCGGTTTTTCGACGCCCTCAACGGTCTTCGAGGAGATGTCGGTGCGCGACATATCATTGCGGACAATCCGGGCTTTGTCGCCGAAGTGGAGCTTGGAATCGCCGCACGTCTGGACCTCGATACGCCTCAGGCGCTTCGCGAAGCGGGTGGCTCATTCCCGGACGACATCAACTGAACGCACTCATCTTTGTGCGCACTGCAATATTCGTTATCTTAAATTAACCTGCTATGCGCTGAGTGCAGGCCGGAAATGTCAGGTATTCTATTGCATTTTTGTGACATGCCGCTTATGTAATGCCTGCGCTTGCTGAAGGGCACCTGTTACAGGTTGGACAACGGATGACGTCCCGAGCGCCGATTACATCCGATTTCTTACGAAAGCTGTTCGGATCCTCTCCTCCCGAGGATGCTCGAGCGCTTTTGTTGCTTGGTTGAAAAGGAAGAACAAATGGCTGACATGACTCTCCCGCGTCCGGGCTGCTGCAAATGGGCAGAAGGCGAAGCTGGAAACTACACATTCCCGTGCAACACTCGCGTTGAGCCGGGTGTCTCCTACTGCGCTGAACATAGCGCAATCGTGTATATTCCGCCGGAAGAGCGTCGTCGCAATCGTTCCGGTGGCGGAGGCATGAGCCTTTCTTTCCGCCGCGCGGCGTAATCAATAAATCTGCTCGCATTGAACAAGCAGAATATTTGTGGAATTTTCCACATTCCCTGGAACCCGGCTTCGTGCCGGGTTTTTTGTTGGGGTCCGGTTCAGCGATACTGGCAATTCTCTCTAGGCTGCAGAGCACAATTAGTATTGGCAGTCCCTCATTGCTTTGTACTGCTCTTTGTGTTTTTGGAACTAGAACCCCAAAGATATCAATATTCGCTCGAAAAAATTCAACCTGCCCGGAAAGGGAGTATTCTTAGTACTTTCCAACTTCGAATGCGAAAATATTAATTGCATCAATGCAACTATTTGGTTTTATTCCTTTTGGATATTTCAATTCTGGGTTTATTGCACACACTTTGAAAAAATCTCGATACTAAGTCTCTGGCTTGGATCCGTTGCATTTCAATCACGGAGTTGACGCCGCCTATGACGCTTGCGCAGGTTCAAATTGAGACAGAAAGACTGGAAGCTCTTCGCAGGCTTGCACTCCTTCACTCAGAGCACCTGCACGAGTTCGACGCCGCAGTTTCGAACGCGTCATATCTTTTTGACTGTCCCATGGCCGTGATTTCGATTGTCGATGCAGAAGAAATCTGGTTCAAGGCCGCTTTTGGTCTCGATGCGACAGAAACGCATCGGGAAAACTCCTTCTGCGGGCATACCATCCTTTCAGATGATGTTCTGATTGTGCCGGACGCACAGGCAGACAGCAGATTTTGCGACATCCCGCTTGTCACCGGAGACGTCGGCGCCCGATTTTATGCCGGTTGTCCAGTTATTGTAGACGACAAACATCGTATCGGAACGATCTGCGTCATAGATACAAAACCCCGCAGTGTGAACGAGGAGCAAATCGCCCAGCTGCGCAACCTGGCAAAGATCGTCGAAGGTCTCATCAAGGCCCACAAGGCAGGCCTGAAAACCCGGGAAGCGCTACAAGAAGCGCAACTCGAGCAGGACAGAGCACGCCGGAACCAGGACCTGCTCAAGGAAATCACCCTTGTTTCGGGCGTAGGCGGTTGGGAGTACGACCCAAAAACGGACGCAATGACCTGGACAGCAAAGACCCGGGAAATTCATGAGGTCGGGCCAGACATTCAACCGAACTTGAACACCGCGTTGAGCTTTTATCCATCCGACAGTCGCAAAGCGCTAAGAGCAGCATTCGAGACTGCCTTCGAAACCGGTTGCGGCTGGGATCTTGAGCTCAATCTTGTCACCGCCGGGGATCGGCAAATCTGGGCACGGGTTGTCGGAAATCCCGTATTCGAAGGAGGGTCGGTTCGCCGCATCATCGGCGCGCTTCAGGACATTTCAGACAGCAAACGCAAGCAGGAGGAAGTCCGGACCTCCGAGGTCATCCAGCGAACAACGCTCGAAGCACTTCAGGAAGGTATTCTTCTCGTAAGCCCTTCAGGCAAGATTCAGTCGTCAAACAAGGCTGCCTCGCAACTTCTGGGTTATCCGGAAACCACCTTGGTCGGATCCAATGTCCACGACCTTCAGCTGACTTTTCAAGACGTAGCCGATGCCGGCAGCCATCGCGTGAGCCCGCTGGTTCTCGCCGTGACCGACCCGGGACAGGATCTGGATCTCGAAGTTCAACTTACGGAAGCCGGATCCGGACAGGTCCGATGGCTCCGGATCAATGCCAGGCCTGTCGACGAAAACAGTGTTCACGGCCCGGATTGCGTGGTCGTGTCGCTCACCGACATCACAAAGGTCAAACAGCAGTCCGACACTCTACAGGGGTTTTTCGACAATTTCCCCGGCGGCCTGGTTCACTACAACACGCAGCTTCAACTCACCTTCTGGAATGAAGAATTTGCCCGTCTGCTTAACTTGCCACACGATTTTCTCGACCAGCGGCCCAACTTGCGACAGGTCATCAGGTATCTTGCAGACCGTGGAGACTATGGCCCAGGTGACCCGGCACTGATTGCCGGCGAGAGGCTGGACAGGTACGGCGCCGGCAACCGGCACGCCTACGAGCGCAGAACCAGCGACGGCAAGGTTCTCGAAGTGCGCGGTACGCCGCTTCCGGGCGGCGGAAGCGTATCGAGTTTTCTTGACATCACCAGACGCAAACGCATGGAAGAGCAGCTCGTTGAAAAGGAACAGCTTGCCAGCAATCGCCTCTTCGAAATGGAGGCGGTGATCGCCAACATGCGGCAGGGTGTCAGTGTCTTTGATGGCGAGGGCCGCATCACACTCTGGAATACCGATTTCCAGAAACTTTTCGGTAAACCGGATGGCGAAATCCGAAAGGGGATGACGCTGGTCGAAATGCTTCAGCTGGAGAAGGAACGGGGAGAATTTCACGACGATCCCTATGCATTTTACGCTGCCTTGAGAGAAAAACTGGATGCCGGCAAAGTTGTCAAAACCAACTTCAAGCACCCCAATGGCACGATTATCAGTATCGTGCGCACGCCGCTTCCTGACGGGGGTTGGGTGGGTATGCATGAGGACGTGACATCGCGTGAAAAGGCGACCGAGGAAATCACATATGCCGCTCATCACGACACGCTCACGGGGCTGGCCAATCGAACGCTTTTCAACCTCAAGCTTGAAGACGCAATCGCCAGGACAGAACACCACGATGAAACAAGCGATCTTCTGATGATTGATCTTGATCACTTCAAACCGGTGAACGACACATACGGCCACGATGTTGGCGATGATCTTCTGCTTCAGGCTGCGGTGCGCCTCAATGAGTGCGTGCGAACGAAGGACACCGTCGCACGACTGGGCGGAGATGAATTTGCGATCATCGTCCGCAACACTGCCGGCGACCGGGATCTGGCTTCCAGGATTGCAGAGCGTGTTGTCGAAAAACTGAAGAAGCCCTACCACATCAACGGTAACATTCTCGAAATCAGTGCAAGTGTTGGTATTGCATCCATTTCCGGCGAACAAGTCGCGAGTCCGATCCTAAAGAAGGCTGATCTTGCCCTTTATGCCGTCAAGAACGAAGGCCGCGACGGCTACAGGCATTTCGAAGAAAACGCTGTGGAAACAGATTGAATGCGTGACGTCTGCACCTTGTGTTCAATTGTTGGTGTCCGGCAACTCCATTTCCACTAAAAATACTTTATTATCAATACCTTATGAAATACCTCAGGCAGGTTGCGCCATCGTCCAACAATGCCGGGAATTCTCAAAACTTAATCATTTGTTGCGCTTCTTGGCCTAGTGTCATTTCCGATCTGGCGGGCACATACCCAAAGGAGATTCCTGTGGGAGACGGGACGCAGCATGGATACCGTGAGGCCAGAAAACGAAGAAGAGCGAATTGAGACCTTGCACGAACTTCAGATCCTCGGGTCTGAACGTTTGCCTGAATTCGATTCCGTCGTTGAAGCCCTTGCAGCCATATTCGATTGCCCAATAGCCCTGGTGTCCCTCGTTTCGGAAGATGAGCAGTGGTTCAAGGCCAGATGCGGTCTGGATGTCGAAGGCACGCCGCGTGACATCTCATTCTGCCAGCACGCCATTCTTTCCGACGAGCTTTTCATCGTCGAAGACACCCATGCCGACAAGCGGTTCAAGAACAATCCACTCGTGACCGGGGCTCCCAATATCCGTTTCTACGCCGGATGCCCCCTGTCTATCGATGGCCGGAACCGGTTGGGCACGCTCTGCGTCATCGACCGTGTTCCACGTAGCCCTTCCCGGCAGCAACTCAATCAATTGCGCAGGCTGGGCAAGGTTGTCGAGGGCCTGATCAAGTCGCATGAGATTCGACGGGAGAAGGATGCAGCTCTGGCGCAGGCCGAGCAGGAACACGAACTGGCCGTTCAAAAGAATGATCTTCTTGAAGAAATTACAAGTGTATCCGGCGTCGGCGGCTGGGAGCTCTGTGTTCGGACCAAGACACTGACATGGACTGACAAAACGAAAGAGATTCACGAAGTGCCCTCGGATTTTCGTCCGACCGTGGATTTTGCATTGTCTTTCTATCCGCCCGACAGCCGCCACATCATTTCAAAGGCAGTCGAGGACGCGATCGAACTTGGCGTCAGCTGGGATGCCGAACTGCCTTTCGTTACTGCAAAGGGTCGTAACATCTGGGTCCGCGCCGCCGGCAGACCCATTGTCAAAGACGGTGAAGTCATCCGTATCGTCGGCGCTCTTCAGGACGTTACTGCGCGGAAAAAGACCGAACAGTCGGTCCGTTGCTCCGAATCCATGCACCGGGCCACCTTGCATACATTGTCGGAAGGTGTCCTTCTCCTCAGCCGTTCCGGGCGCATCCGGTCGATCAACAAGGCCGGTGAAGACCTTCTGGGTTGTTCGCATGAAGACGTTGTCGACACCAGGTTCAAGGACCTCGACATTGAGTTCCGGTTTGAAGACAAAGCGTTCAACTCACCTGAAGACCTGTTCCGGCAAATCGCCAACGGCTCCGATCATGTCAACGGCACAGTTGTTCATGTTACCCGGCGAAACGAAACCGGAGGTGCCTGGCTCAGGATCAATGCAGCGTCCATTGGCGAAACAAACGAATTCGGTCTGGACGGTATCGTCGTTTCGTTGACAGACATCACGGAAACAAAGACCCAGAGAGATACCCTGCAAGCGATCTTCGACAACTTTCCCGGCGGAATGGTCTATTTCGATGAAGCCCTGCATCTGCAGAACTATAATGATGCCTTCCAAAATGCCTTCAAGCTTCCAAAGGAATTGCTGTCCCAGAAACCTCACCTGAAAGACACAATGATGTACGCCGCACGCCAGGAACAGCGCGTTGCAAGCAAAGCAGAGAAGGTGGTCGAGGAGAGATACAACCCGTTCATGAGCGGAAAGCCTGTTCAACTCGAACGGGTAACTGCAGACGGGACTGTTCTGGACGTGAGATCCACGCCTTTGCCGAATGGCGGTATCGTGTTCAGTCTTCTGGATATTTCAGACCACAAACGGCGGGAACAGACAATCCGGCAATCGGAAGTTGTTCAACGGGCAACTCTGGAAGCCTTGAGCGAGGGCATTCTTTTGCTGTCGCGGGATGGTGTCATCGAATCCGCAAATCCGGTGGCGGAAAAACTGTTTGGCTTTGATGACAACGGATTGACGGGCCTTCGAATTGACGAACTCGCGCGCTCGGTCACCCTGGAGTCTTCGGAATTCATCAACAACAGCGACCCACTCAAACTGGCTGTCCATGATCCGGACGCCGTTACGGATCTCGTTGCGAGCCTGAGCACCTCCTATCGCCATGGTTTGACCTGGCTTCGCATAAACGCGAGGCCGATCGATCCGCTTGGCGAGAATGGACTGGACGGAGTTGTCGTCTCGATCGCCGACATCACGGAAACAAAGGAGCAAGCCGACACGCTGCAGGCGATCTTCGACAATTTCCCAGGCGGATTTGCATATTATGACGAGAATTTTCAATTGGGGGCGGCAAACTCGGAATTCGGGCACCTTCTTGGTTATCCGCATGATTTCGTCGATCAGAAACTTCATTTGCTCGACTACCTGAAATACAACGCGGAGCGAGGTGACTATGGCGAGGGCGACCCCGAGCAACTCGCTCTCGACAAGTTTCATTCCTACGACCGAACCCAACCCCACAGTTATGTTCGCGGTGCCGCAAGCGGTTCGTATCTGGAAATCAGAGGGACGCCGTTGCCTTCGGGCGGTTTTGTCTACAATTTCTTTGATGTGACAGACCGCAAGAGGATGGAAAGCCAGCTGGCCGAAAGCGAACGTGCATCGCGCAGCCGGTCTCTGGAACTTGAAGCCATTCTGGCCAACATGAGGCAAGGCGTCAGCGTCTTTGACAAGGACGGCCGCCTGAGGCTCTGGAACAAGCAGTACATCGACATCTTCAACAAGCCTGAGGACGACGTCAGAGAAGGCGTTACCCTTGTCGACCTGATTGAGGCGGAAAAAGCCCGTGGTGAATTCGATGGCGACGTGATCGAACACGTCAGGGATCTGCTCATTCGGCTCTCAGCTGGAGAAGTCGTTCGCTCCAAATTCAGGCATCCCAGCGGAAGGTTCATCAGCGCGGTTCATGCGCCACTGCCTGGAGGCGGCTGGATCGGAACGCACGAGGACGTCACAAAGAGTGAATTGGCCGTTCAAAAAATCGAGTATGCAGCGCATCACGACACGCTGACAGGGCTGGCCAATAGAACACTCTTCAATTCCCGGCTCGACGAAACCCTGGAGGAATTGGACCGGGATTCGGAAAGCGCCCTGATGCTGCTTGATCTCGACAAGTTCAAACCGGTGAACGACACGTATGGCCACGACGCGGGCGATGCCTTGCTCAAACAGGTCAGCGAACGGCTGAAAGCGTGCGTGAGGTCCACTGATCTTGTGGCCAGGCTGGGTGGTGACGAGTTCGGTATCATTCTCAATAGCGCGTCAAGGACGGTTGCTGAAGTCATTGCAAGCCGGATCGTTCACAAATTGCAGGGTGCGTTTTCCATAAAGGAACATACGATCCGAATTGGAGTGAGTGTCGGTATCTCGCCGATCTCCGGCTCCCGTTCGGATGCCAATGCAATTATCAAGAACGCTGACGTCGCGCTTTATGATGTCAAGAACAGCGGCAGAAACGATTTCAGGTTCTTCGATCTACCTGCAGAACCTGGCGCGATGAATGCGTAGGCTTTTTTCCTGATAGGTTTTTGCGTCTCAATCAAAAAACGCGGCCCGTTTCCGGTCCGCGTTCTGGATGATGTGAACTGCAGGGCGCCCGTCAGACCTGTTTCAGGGCCTCGGCAACATCCTTGAGCCTGCGAAGTGTCCGGTCTGCCTTCTGCCTGGTCATGTCGTCCTTGGCGTCTGCAGCGTCTTCCTCCGCGTTCTTGATCGCGAGATCAAGTTGTTCGCGGCTGATCTCCGAGACCGGAACAGCCTGTTCGGCAAGCACCGTCAACCCGTCGGCCGATACATCGGCAAAGCCGCCGCGCACGAAGTATTCCGTCCAGGAATCGCCTTCGTTGCGGACCTTCAGAATGCCCGGCGCTATGCTGGACATGAACAGGCTATGGTCCTTAAGAACGCCAAACTCGCCTTCAGCACCGGGCACAACGACCTCAGCCACCTGTTCGGAGAGGAGCTGGCGCTCCGGCGAGACCAACTCAAACTGGAAAAGTTCAGCCATTTGGCGTCTTCCTTGTCAGTCTACGTTTCAGATGGCCAGGCCATCAAAAATCAGGAATACCGGACGCTCGAGCGGGCGTCCGGTTAAAACTCGGATCAGGCAGCTTCCGCAGCCAGTTTCTGAGCTTTCTCAATTGCTTCTTCCATGGAACCGACCATGTAGAATGCAGCTTCCGGCAGGTGATCATATTCACCATCAACGAGGCCCTTGAAGCCTTTGATCGTGTCTTCCAGAGCAACCAGTTTGCCCGGTGAACCGGTGAACACCTCTGCGACGAAGAACGGCTGAGACAGGAAGCGCTCAATCTTACGGGCACGGGCCACGGTCAGTTTGTCTTCTTCAGACAGTTCATCCATGCCGAGAATGGCGATGATGTCCTGCAGCGCCTTGTAGCGCTGAAGCGTACCCTGAACGGCACGGGCAGTATCGTAGTGCTCTTCACCGATGATGCGGGCGTCCAGCATGCGGGACGTGGAGTCCAGCGGATCCACAGCCGGATAGATGCCTTTTTCCGCAATCGCGCGGTTCAGAACCGTCGTCGCATCCAAGTGGGCAAAGGTCGAGGCCGGTGCAGGGTCGGTCAAGTCATCGGCCGGAACATACACGGCCTGAACCGACGTGATCGAGCCCTTGTTCGTGGTCGTGATGCGTTCCTGCATCGTACCCATGTCTGTCGCAAGTGTCGGCTGGTAGCCCACAGCAGACGGGATACGGCCGAGAAGCGCGGACACTTCGGAACCGGCCTGGGTGAAGCGGAAGATGTTGTCAACAAAGAACAGAACGTCCTGACCAGCGTCACGGAAGTGCTCCGCAACTGTCAGACCGGTCAACGCAACACGCGCACGCGCTCCGGGAGGCTCGTTCATCTGGCCATACACAAGAGCAGCCTTGGAGCCTTCCCCGCCGCCTTCCTTGTTCACGCCGGATTCGATCATTTCCCAGTAAAGGTCATTGCCCTCACGAGTTCGCTCGCCAACACCAGCGAACACCGAGTAACCGCCGTGAGCCTTGGCGACGTTGTTGATCAATTCCATGATCAGAACGGTCTTGCCAACGCCGGCACCACCGAACAGACCGATCTTGCCGCCCTTTGCGTAAGGGGCGAGAAGGTCGACGACCTTGATGCCCGTCACCAGGATTTCAGCTTCGGTGGACTGTTCGATGAACGATGGCGCTTCCTGGTGGATGCCGCGCTTGTCGGTGTGTGGAATTTCACCAGCTTCGTCAACCGGCTCGCCGATAACGTTCATGATGCGGCCCAGCGTGCCATCGCCAACCGGCACCGCAATCGGTGAGCCGGTGTCGACGACGTCCTGTCCGCGCACCAGACCCTCGGTGGAGTCCATTGCGATGGTGCGTACCGTGTTCTCGCCGAGGTGCTGTGCCACCTCAAGAACCAGGCGTACACCCTGGTTATCCGCTTCCAGAGCGTTCAGGATCAACGGCAGGTGGTCATCGAACTTGACGTCGACAACGGCGCCGATGACCTGGGTGATCCGTCCGACCTGTTTGTCAGCCATGTCCCTAATCCTCGTCTCGATCCCGTTAGATCAACTTGCCCTGTGCGTCTTCGCAACAAGGCGGAAGAGTTGATCGATACTAATTCTAGTCCGGCACTCTGCGCCCTGACGGGCGCAAAACGCTTTAGAGCGCTTCCGCACCCGAGATAATTTCAATCAATTCCGTCGTAATCTGCGCCTGACGCCGGCGATTGTAGTTGATCGTCAGTTTGTCGATCATGTCACCGGCATTGCGGGTCGCATTGTCCATCGCGGACATGCGGGCACCCTGTTCGGAAGCAGCATTTTCCAGAAGAGCCCGGAAAATCTGGACGGAAATGTTACGCGGCAGCAGATCCTCAAGGATTTCCGCTTCATCCGGCTCATATTCGTAAACCGGCTGGGCACCGCTACGGTCCTCAGTCTCGTCGATTTCGAAACTTGCCGGGATCAACTGCTTTGCCGTCGGCTCTTGTGCAATCACCGACCTGAACGTCGAATAGAACAACGTGCAGACGTCGAATTCGCCGTCAGCAAACATGGAGAGAACCTCTTTGCCGATCTCATCGGCATTGACAAACCCCACATTCTTTACGCTGCGCAGATCGATCGTCTTGATCACATGCTGGCCGAGTTCGCGCTTGAGGGCATCAAAACCCTTCTTGCCGACACAGATGATCTTGACCGTCTTGCCGTCCGCGATCAGGCTGCGCGCCTTTTCACGAGCCAGCTTGGCAATGTTCGTGTTGAATCCCCCGCAAAGCCCGCGTTCTGCGGTAGCGACAACCAGGAGATGAACCTGGTCGCTGCCCGTGCCGGACATCAGCTTCGGAGCGTCATCGCGACCCTCGAATGCTTCCGCGAGGTTGGTCAGCACCGCGCCCATGCGTTCCGCATAGGGCCGCGCGGCCTCCGCAGCTTCCTGTGCACGACGCAGTTTCGCCGCGGCCACCATTTGCATGGCCTTGGTGATTTTCTGCGTCGCCTTCACGGAAGCGATGCGGTTTCGTAAGTCCTTCAGGCTCGGCATGGCCGCCCCTGCTCCTTATCCCGGCGTGTCGTCTTAAGCGAAGTTCTTGGCGAACGCATCGATGGCAGCTTTCAGCTTGCCAGTCAGTTCGTCGTCGAGAGCTTTCTTGTCCCAGATTGCCTCCAGCAGATCCTGATGCTCACCGCGAAGGAACAGAAGCAGGCCTTCTTCGAAGTCCTTCACCCGGTCAACCGCAAAACCATCCAGATAACCATTCACGCCGGCATAGATCACCGCGACCTGTTCCTGCGTTTTCAATGGCGAAAACTGCGGCTGCTTCAAAAGCTCGGTCAAACGTGCGCCACGGTTCAGCAAACGCTGCGTGGTGGCATCGAGATCGGAACCGAACTGTGCGAAGGCCGCCATTTCACGGTACTGCGCGAGTTCACCCTTAACCGGGCCCGCAACCTGCTTCATCGCCTTGATCTGGGCAGAAGAGCCCACGCGGGAGACCGACAGACCGACGTTCACCGCCGGACGGATGCCCTGATAGAAGAGGTCCGTTTCAAGGAAGATCTGACCGTCGGTGATCGAGATCACGTTGGTCGGAATGAACGCGGAAACGTCATTGCCCTGGGTTTCAATGACCGGCAACGCGGTCAATGAGCCGCTGCCATGCTCTTCGTTCAGCTTCGCAGCACGTTCCAGCAGACGGGAGTGAAGGTAGAAAACGTCGCCCGGGAAAGCTTCACGTCCCGGCGGGCGGCGCAGAAGCAGCGACATCTGACGATAGGCCACGGCCTGTTTGGTCAGATCGTCGTATCCGATAACGGCGTGCATGGAATTGTCACGGAAGAACTCGCCCATCGCGCAGCCGGCAAACGGTGCCAGGAACTGCAGCGGAGCCGCGTCGGACGCGGTCGCGGCGATGACAATGGAGTAATCCATGGCACCGTTGTCTTCCAGAACCTTGACGAACTGGGCAACGGTGGACCGCTTCTGACCGACGGCAACGTAGATGCAGTACAGCTTGGCGTCTTCGTCATCGGAAGCGTGCAGAGGCTTCTGGTTCAGGAAGGTGTCCAGAATGATTGCGGTCTTGCCGGTCTGACGGTCACCGATGACAAGCTCACGCTGCCCACGTCCGATCGGGATCAGGGCGTCAATGGCTTTCAGGCCAGTCGACATCGGCTCATGCACGGATTTCCGCGGCAGGATGCCTGGTGCCTTTACGTCGACGCGGCGCTTTTCGGTGGCCTCGATCGGGCCCTTGCCGTCAATCGGGTTGCCGAGCGGGTCAACAACGCGGCCGAGGAGGCCCTTGCCGACCGGAACTTCCACGATGGCGCCGGTCCGCTTGACGGTGTCGCCTTCCTTGATGTCACGGTCAGACCCGAAGATAACGATACCGACGTTGTCTGATTCCAGGTTAAGGGCCATGCCCTTGATACCACCTGGAAACTCGACCATTTCACCAGCCTGAACCTTGTCCAGACCATAAACACGGGCGATACCGTCACCGACGGAGAGCACCTGACCAACTTCAGAAACTTCGGCTTCCTGGCCAAAGCTCTTGATCTGGTCCTTGAGGATTGCGGAGATTTCCGCGGCCCGAATATCCATCAGCCGACCTCTTTCATCGCGAACTTGAGTGAATTGAGCTTGGTACGCAACGACGTGTCGATCATGCGGGAACCGACCTTGACCACGAGGCCACCGATCAGTGCAGGATCGACTTTCGCTGCGATGTTTACGGTTTTGCCCGTCGAAGCAGACAATGCTTCCTTCAGGGCTGCGACATGCTCGTCTGAAAGGACAGTTGCAGAAGTGACTTCTGCAGTTTCCTCACCACGCTTGTCTGCGAGCAGGGCGTGGAACGACTTGATCATGTCGGGGAGAACGAAGAGGCGCCGGTTACGGGCGGCCAGCTTCACGAAATTTGCGGCGAGGCCAGAGATGCCTGCCTTGTCAAGAAGTGCGGTGAGCGCTGTAAGCTGCTCTTCTGCACTGAATGCCGGGCTCTTCACAAGACGGTCGAGATCTTCGCTTTCGGCAAGCATGCCTTGGAAAGCAGTGAGATCCCGTTCCACGTCAGCGGTAGTGCCGTCACCCTCCGCGAGGTCGAGAAGGGCGGACGCATAACGCTGTGCCACGCCGGATACGAGAGATACGTTGTCAGTCACCAGGTCCGTGCTCTCTGACGTTTTTCAAGCCCGCAAAACGGCAAGCGCTCGCAAGGCATTGAAAATAATGAATGATTTCGAGGTCAGAAGGTATGACGGTTAAACCGTTCCCCCAAAGCCGCGCCTCAATTAGCACAGGGTTTCCCAGTGTGCAACTTCGCCAAAAGACTGTTCTGAAGGAATCTTGGGTGTTTTTTGCTGCATGGCGATAAAAAGTCCTTAAAGGCGAGGCCGCTCAGCCTTCCGAAATAAACCCGGGCGAGTGTCCGGCTGCGCCTGTTCGCGAGGCCGGAGCACGTTGCAATCGCAAGAGAATTCCGGTTTCTGCAACGACCCGACAAACTCTGCACTGTCACATGAAATGCTGAGGATCGATATCGATCTGGACGCGCAGACCTTTTGTTGGTTTCGGACCCTGATTCAACCAGCGCCGCAGGTAGGACTGGAGATCGAACTGGCGCGGCGCCATGGTCAGCAGCCGATAACGGTGCCTGCCGCGGACCATCGCAAGAGCGGCTTCTGCCGGGCCCAGCAGGGTGACCGCTTCATCGGGAGGCGCCGCCCGGGCCAGCGCACGGGCATAGCCTTCGGCAAAAATCTTGTCCGGTCCCGACACGACAACGGCCGCCAATCGGCCGAATGGAGGCAGGCCCGCAACCCGTCTTGCCTCGATCTCGGCCTGGTAAAAAGCATGCTTGTCGCCCGATAGCAGCCCCTTGATGACAGGATGATCCGCATTATAGGTCTGAAGCAGTCCCCGGCCGCCTCCGGTCACCCTCCCCGCGCGGCCTGTGACCTGAGCAAGAAGCTGAAAGGTTTTTTCGGCAGCGCGCGGATCACCGTGCGCCAGACCCAGATCGGCGTCGATGACCCCGACCAGTTTCATCTTGGGGAAATTGTGACCTTTCGCGACCAGTTGAGTCCCGATAATGATATCGGCACCGCCTTCCTCGACAATCTTCATCTCCCGCTTCAAACGTTCCGGTCCACCCGGCAGATCGGAAGACAGTACAAGGGTGCGCGCCTGCGGGAAGAGATCGGAGACTTCTTCGGCAACGCGCTCGACGCCCGGTCCGCAGGCAACAAGGCTGTTGGCGCTCTGGCACGAGGGACAATTGTCCGGAACCGGTTCAAAATGACCGCAATGGTGACAGACAAGTCTTTTCTGAAAACGGTGTTCAACCAGCCAGGCACTGCAATGGGCGCACTGAAACCTGTGGCCACAGGTGCGACATAAGGTCAGAGGGGCGTATCCACGCCGATTCAGGAACAGGAGAGACTGGTCACCTGCGGCAAATGTATCCTTGATGGCATGGACAAGCCGTGGCGCAAGCCATCTGCCCCGCTCCGGCCCATCCAGGCGCATGTCGATCGCCTGCAGATCCGGCAGTGCCGCGCCCGATGCCCGTTCAGGCAGTTCATAAAGAGTGTATCTTCCGATTTCCGCATTCACGTGACTTTCCACGGATGGCGTTGCGGAGGCGAGCACGACCGGGAACCCTGAAATGTGCCCGCGCACAACGGCCATATCCCGCGCGCTGTAGGGAACACGGTCGTCCTGCTTGAAGGCGGCGTCATGCTCCTCGTCGACAATGATCAGGCCCAGCTCCCTGAAAGGCAGGAACAGGGAAGACCTGGCGCCAATCACCACGCGCACGTCTCCCGACGCCACGCCGCGCCAGACACGCGCCCGGTTCTTCGGAGTGATCTCTGAATGCCATTCAGCCGGATAGACACCGAATCGCTGCTCATAGCGGCGCAGGAACTGCTCCGTGAGAGCGATTTCCGGCAGAAGGACCAGAGCCTGTCTCTCCCGCCGCAAGGCCTCAGCGATCGCCTCGAAGTAAACCTCCGTCTTTCCCGACCCCGTGACACCGTCGATGAGCGTCACGCCGGTTCCCTTTTCGAAAGTGCTGACGAGGCCCGCAGCAACCGCTTCCTGGGCGTCCGTCAGTTTCTTGCGGGCATAGTCGAGCTGTGGTTTCGGCGGTGGCGGCGCCGCCGGCATGGAAACAACTTCGAGGACGTTCTGCTGAATCAATCCGTCGATCACCGACGGCGACACGCCGGCGGCACGTGCCAGACCGCTCCTGGTCCAGGCAAATCCGTCTTCCATGGTTTCCAGTACGCGGCGGCGGGCAGACGTCTGCCGCTCCGGTTCAGCGCCCTCGACCCGGCGCACACCGGGGACGGGTGGCTCAGATTCCAATGCTTCTTCCGAACGCAGGACCATGCGCAGCACCATTCCGGGTGCTCCCAGCGTCCAGTTCGCCACCCAGTCGACAAAGCGGCGCAGATCTTCATCCAGCGGCGGGGTCTGGTCGTAGACCCGGGTGATGGATTTCAGTTTTTTCGGATTGATCGCTGCATCCGGTTCAATGTCCCAGACCGCACCGACGACTTCCCGCGGACCGAGCGGCACCCTGACGATTGTTCCGGGAACGACCGACTGCCCGGGAGGGACTTTATAGGTATAGGCCTTCGGCACCGCGACCGGCACCAGGACACTGGCGATGGTTTCCTGAAAATCTTGATCGTCAAACAGCACTAATATTCAGGTCTCCATACCCTCGATTTTGAAAGGCGCCGAAGGGCGTTCGCAATATGGCGAGAAGATACAGAAGTTTGCCTGTGGTCGGCAGGCAATCAAGGTGAAAGGGTGTTGAGGTACGTACCGCAGAAAAATCGTCCACCGGAGAATCAGGGGTTCTTCTTGTCATCATCCTAGGGTAAAGAGGGCGCGACCAACCACGCAACCGTTTTGCACAAGACGGGACGAGCGTATCCGGCGGCCGAACGGACGCCTCACCGGGAGACAACACGTATGAAATTCTTTGTCGACACAGCCGACACCGCCGAGATCAAGGAACTGGAATCCACCGGGCTCCTCGACGGCGTGACCACCAATCCATCTCTCATCGCCAAGTCGGGCCGCGACTTCAAGGAAGTAATCGCCGAAATCTGCGCGATCACACAGGGCGACGTCTCCGCCGAGGTAGCTGCGACCGACTTTGACGGCATGATCAAGGAAGCCCATGTCCTGCGTGCCATCGCCGATAACGTCGTCATCAAGCTGCCGCTGACATTCGATGGCCTGAAAGCGTGCAAGCAACTGACGGAAGAAGGCACCAAGACCAACGTCACCTTGTGTTTTTCGGCGAACCAGGCGCTGCTCGCCGCAAAAGCCGGCGCGACCTACATCTCTCCGTTCATCGGCCGCCTGGACGACCTCAATATCGACGGCCTTGAGCTGATTCGGGAAATTCGCGTGATTTACGACAATTACGGGTTCGGTACGGAAATCCTGGCCGCATCGATCCGCACCGCAAACCATGTCAAGGATTGCGCACTCATCGGCGCGGACGTCGCAACGGTCCCGCCCGCAACGCTGAAGGGCCTCGTCAAACACCCGTTGACGGACAAGGGCCTCGACGCATTTCTGGCCGATTGGGCCAAGACCGGCCAGAGCGTTCTCTGACGGCTCATATACAAATCAGTGTTTTTGGACGGCCCGGTTTCCGGGTCGTTTTTTTTCCGACGCCGCAAACCACAGTTGCAAATAAGGTTGTGTCAACGTTAACAATACGCTAACTAGTGATGGTGTGCTTCAAACGAGCCCGATAAAAAACTTTCGAATTTCGTATCTACAATTTTTGGGGGACGACAATGAAAAAATTGCTTGGAACTGCAACGGTATTGGCTGCCATCCTGGCAACAAGCAGCGTTTCAGCGGCTACTTTGTTTTATGACAGCTTCAACAGGGCAAACAGCAACAATCCCGGCAACGGCTGGACTCAGCTTGAAGACGACAACAACGACGTTGGAGTTTTCGGCAACGCCCTGAGACTAAGAGACTTTCTGCCTGGAAATCCGGATGCAGCGGCTGCCAGCAAGACCATCGACGCGACAGGCTATACCAATATTCAAGTCGAGTTTCGCTGGAAGGGATTCAGCAGTGTTGAGACAGGTGACGACTTTTACCTTTCCTGGGCTGAAAGCCCCGCACCGGCGATGAGCAACGAAGGCGCGTGGAACGAGGTATTTAACGGGAACACAGGCGGCGGGACCTGGCTCACCAATCTGATCTCAATCAGCCCTGGCGCCGACAATTCTATTTTCAACCTGATGTTCTGGTCGGATGTTGGTACCAGCAGCGAAGGCTACAAGGTCGACTGGGTCCGGGTCACCGGTGATGCGATTACGCCTGTACCGCTTCCCGCTGCATTGCCGCTGCTCGCTGGTGGCATCGGCCTGCTTGGCTTTGCCGGATGGCGTCGACGCAAGACAGGCTAACCGCAGTTAGTGACGACGAATTCAAAGCGGCTTTCGAGCCGCTTTTTTTTGTTTTCTGGGCCAATTCGGAGATTATCCGATAAGATTGCCGTCGTGCGAAAACTGCCCGGACAGGAAATATTCCCATGAAGATGTTCATTGCTACCAGCCTGGCCCTGCTGGCCCTCCCGGCGTCAGCAGGAGAACTGATCGGAGGTACGAATACCTATATCTCCGAAGCCCGGACCTGGAAGACCGGCGAGTATGCCGGCTATTACGTTTACGACAGCAAGGGTACGACAGTCTGGGAGAAAGGACCGCTTCCGGATGGTGCCGTCGAATGCCATGGTGCCGGCTTCTGGACGCCCAAGGAGATTCTGGGAGACGGCATCTGCATCTTTGGCACGTCTCCTGATCGGTGGACAGTCGCCCATGAGTTGACACCCGGCAGCAATCTGTGGAACGCGCAGGACAAGAACCCCTTTCACAGGCAGGGTGTCTGGCACGTGGTCCATGGTACTGGCCGCTATGTCGGCATGACGGGTGAAGGGACATATGTCAGCAACGAACTCTCCGACGGCCGCAAGACCACATGGTTCGAGGGCGACGTCGAGTTTGCCAATTAAAGCTGCCATCGACAGATGTCATTGTGGATTGCGAGCTATGCTGCCGGAACGCATCGCGGAACGATATTCGGTCTGAAATCCGATCCAGACTCTCTTTCAGCCCCATTAACCAATCGGAACCGGCTATCGCGTTAGTGTTCCTCATGAGCAAGACCGCCCCCGATACGTCAGACCTTCTTGTGACCGCAAAACCGGACCTCAATCACCGGGTCGGACTTTGGCTCGATCACCTGTCCGACGAGCGACGGCTGTCGGACCAGACGCTGGTTGCCTATGAACGGGATCTGCGGCAGTTCCTTCGCTTTTTGACCGGGCATCTCGGCGGGGCACCGTCGCTGAAGGATCTTGCCGAGCTGCGCCCATCGGATTTTCGCGGCTTTCTGGCTTCCCGTCGCAGGACCGGGGCCCAGAGCCGGTCGCTTGCACGCGGGCTTGCCGGAATTCGTTCCTTCCTGATATTCCTGGAACGGCGCGGAGAAGTGAATGCTGCGGCGTCCGCCGCTGTCCGGCCGCCACGCCAGGCGAAATCGTTGCCCAAACCCGTGTCCTCGCGCGACGCGATCGATGTGACAAGCGGTGATTTCGCGCTGGAAAGTGCCCCCTGGATCGAAGCACGCAACGCGGCGGTCCTGACCCTTCTTTACGGCTGCGGCCTTCGAATTTCCGAAGCCCTGTCGCTGACCGGTGGTATGGCACCGGGACCAGGCACGAAGACCCTGCGCATCGTCGGCAAGGGCCGCAAGGAGCGCATCGTTCCGATCCTGCCGGCGGTCTGCGAGGCCATCGCCCAATATCAAAAGCTCTGCCCCTACGCCATCAGTCCGGAAGGTCCATTGTTCCTGGGTGCACGCGGAGGAGCCCTCAATCCGCGCATGATCCAGCTCGCCATGGAAAAACTGCGTGGTGCGCTCGGTCTGCCGGACAGCGCGACGCCTCATGCCCTGCGTCATTCCTTTGCCACGCATCTCCTGGCAGGCGGCGGCGACCTCAGGACGATCCAGGAATTGCTCGGCCACGCGAGCCTGTCCTCGACGCAGATCTATACCGAGGTCGACAGCACACATCTGCTGGCCGCCTATGACAAGGCCCATCCGAGGCGATGAACACCCTCTGATTTCAGTCTGGGCGCGGCAACTCATAGACAGTGCGGGTTTCGCCGTCAGGAAAGATCTCGCGAGCGATCTCCGTGCCATCCAGTTTCTGGACCAGTCGCTTTGCAGCGATATTGTCATCACTCATGTGCGTTTCAGCGCGTGGCCAGCCATAGTGATCATAGGCGTGGCGAATGGCGGTGCGCGAAGCTTCGACGGCAATGCCGCGGCCACGGGCTTCCGGCATCAGCCACCATGTCAATTCACGCCTCGGCCAACCTTCCGGCCAGACGAAGCCGCAGCCACCGACAGGCTCCCCGCTTTCACCGGGCACAATCATCCACATGCCGTAGCCACGCAATTGCCAGTGTCCGAGATGAGAGGCCAGAACCCGCCACGCTTGATCAGGCCGTAGCGGACCGCCGTAATATCGTGACGCCTCCCGGTTGGAAAAAAACGACTTGTAAACTTCAAAGTCGCTATCCTCTGGTGGGCGCAGCACAAGCTGCTCCGTGGTAAGTGAGTGCATGACCGGGTTATGTCCGAATGATTGCGAATCGCCGAAGATGACCAGTATATCGTCGGCGGGTTCGCAGGGCACCTGCATCCAGTCATGGCGCTGAACTGGAAAACGCGCCGCAGACATGCACCGCTAGCGAACCTTCTCTGGAGAGCGTCAATGCGTATGTTGATCCTGGTCGCCGGAATGTTCCTGCTTCTCGTTGCACCTTCCCAGGCGCAGCGGGTTTACTGTCCGCTTCCCGAAGACGGGACATGGGTCTATCCGGATGCCAAGCCCAAGGAGATCAGCCGGATCGAAGTGGAAAGCAAGTGCGAGAACGAACAGGTTTTCGTTCGTGTCAGGGCGTTCACATCCTGTATCCCGCGTGACTGCAAGTGGGGCTGGACCAAGGCAGACCTTCGTTCCGATGGCGCGATAGACGTTCTTCTGATCGGTTTTCTGAGCAGCAAGCAGATTACACTGAAGGCGTTCGGGGACATGCTCGACGCACATGTCGTCAACGTCGTCAATGACTTATCTGAGCCCCGAACGGAAAAGACATATAATCTTAACAGAAAGTAAACCGGCCGATCTTAACCTTGGTATCAATCTCTACCCGGTTTTTCCTTGTCCGATTTCATTTTTGCTTTACCCTACATGTTACTGCGCTTGTCCCGCGCAGCAACAGACGGAGGCTCATCATGCGTCTGATCAACACAGCCATAGCAGGTTTCGCCCTGACAGCATTCGCCATTGCTCCGGCAAGCGCGTGTTCCTGGGGAAAGACAGCCAAGGCCGACGAGAACATGTCTGTCGCGGACACGACTTTCGTTCCGGAAGTCAATGTCGATGTCGCCATCGCGACCAACGATCTCAGCGATGAGATCACGCAGGAAGAGATCATCCTGCCGGTTCCTGCAGAGGAACCAACTGAGTAATCCAAGTTTCTTTTGCTCCAATCAGTCTCCCGCTGCTTCGGCAGCGGTTTTTTTTTGCGCAAAGCCAACCTGCACAAAATCTGCTGAAAGTCTCCTTCATTGCGCCTCTTCCGGACTGGATAGTGCTGAAAAGCCAAACGCAATTACGATGGCAAACCAAGGGGCTTCATGATTTCCAGGCGAAATTTCCTGCAAGGCTTGGGCATCGCTGCCCTCAGCACCATGTCGACCGCCGCCTACGCGGTCGGCATCGAACCTTTCCGTCTACGGGTGCAACACCACTATCTGACGCCCCCGAATTGGCCCAAAGACCTGCACCTCACGGCCGCGCTCATCGCAGACCCGCATATCTGCGACCCCTGGATGGGCCTCGACCGGGTCCGTTTCATTGTCGAGAGAACCAATGAGTTGAAACCGGACATCATCCTGATGCTGGGGGACTACGTTGCTGATCACAAAATGCAGTACGGTCCGATTCCACCACAGGCCTGGGCGGACCAATTCGGAAACCTTTCCGCACCGCTCGGCACGCACGCGATCCTGGGAAACCACGACTGGTGGGATGACAAGGAGGCGCAATTGTCCGGCAGTGGCCCGACGAAATACGGCCAGGCCCTGCTCAACGCGGGTATTCCTCTTTATCAAAACCGAGCGGCCCGCATTGAAAAGGACGGCCATCCATTCTGGGTGGCAGGCCTGGAAGACCAGATGGCACTCGGTCCGAACCTGAAGCTGAAGCGGAAGACAATGCAGGGGCTCGACGACCTGTCCGGCACCCTTGCACAAATTACCGATGATGCACCCGTCCTTCTGATAGCACATGAACCCGACATATTCGACGATGTTCCTTCCCGCGTCAGCCTGACCGTGAGCGGGCACACCCATGGCGGCCAGATCAACTGTTTCGGCTACCGGCCAGGATATCCGGCCAGACACGGCAAAAAGTACCCTTATGGACATTATGTCGAGTACTCGGGTTCGAAACTTGTCCGGCACCTCGGTCTGTCGGCCGAGCCCCGGCACCTGGTTGTGTCCGGCGGTCTCGGCTGTTCTTTGCTGCCCGTCAGGATCGGCGTTCCGCCCGAGGTAACCCTCGTGCATCTCGGCAATACTGAACCCGGGGCATCTGCCTGATGCTTCGGGTCTGTCTGCTCAGGAGCGTTCCGTGGATATCAGGGTGTCGTGCCTGAATTCCCGAATTCCCTGGCTCAGGATCTGAACCGCAGAGCTTACGAACAGCGCCGCCATCAAGCCGGCAACCACGAGGTCCGGCCAGGCAGTCGCCGTGCCCCAGACACCCATCGCAGCGATCATGACCGCAACATTGCCGATCGCGTCATTGCGCGAACAGAGCCAGACCGACCGGACATTGGCATCACCATCCTTGTAACGCACCAGCAGCATCACACTGGCAAGATTGACCGCCAGGGCGAGAAACCCGACAGATCCCATCACGGCGGCCTGAGGCACGCCAAGAACAAAAACCTGGTGAAGCGTTGTTCCTGCGACCCACAAACCCATCAGCAGCAGGCTGACACCCTTTGCAAGCGCCGCCACAGCGCGGGTCTTCAATGACGCGCCGATCACGGCCATCGAAATTCCGTAGGTCACGGCATCACCGAAGAAATCAAGAGCATCCGCCTGCAGCGCCTTTGATCCTGCCGCCTGACCCGCCCCCATTTCAACGATGAACATGGCCGCGTTCAAACCGATCACGAGCCAAAGGCGGCGGCGGTAGTCTTTCGACATACCGTCAAACGTTCCGTGAGAGTGTCCGCAGCAGGCGCCCATTTCTTTCTCCGTAAAGTGTCTTGATTTCTTCCTTGCAGAGTCTTCTAATCCCTATAGCGACTAGAGCTTCAAGAGGTTTTTTTGATGCATTTTTCAATCGGCGAACTGTCAAAGCAGACCGGTGTGAAAGTACCGACCATCCGGTATTATGAAAAAGAGGGCCTGATTGACCCGCCTGTGCGCACCGAAGGCAATCAGAGGCGGTACCGGGAAACCGACCGTGAGCGTCTCCGTTTCATCAGGCACAGCCGGGATCTCGGTCTTCCCATGCCGGCGATCCGCGACCTGATCGAACTCAGCCAGCACCCCGACAAGCCCTGTCACGAAGCGGACCGGATTGCGGCCGACCAGCTCAAGTCGATACGCGAGCGTATTGTTCATCTGAAAAAACTGGAGGCGGAACTCGCCCGGATAGCAACGAGTTGCCGAGGCGATCATACGGTGACCCAGTGCAATGTGCTCAAGGCGTTCGGCGATCACAGCCAGTGCCTGGACAATCACTGAAACGGAAGACGATCAGATGCTCCAATTCGACGAACGGACAACGAAGCTTCTGGAGGAGGCCTATCTGGGGGCGGATTTTTCCAGACGCAGGCGCGCCTCATTCGATGCCTTGCGACCAAGACCAGGTGATATCATTGCCGATATCGGCTGCGGCAACGGACTGCTGACGCTCGAACTTTCCCGCACCATCGGAGACGCAGGAAAAGTTCTCGGCATCGACCCGAGTGAAGACATGCGTGACGCTGCCGTCAAGCGCTGTGCACAGTGTTCAAACGTGAAGATCCTGCGCGGCACCGCCACAGAACTGCCGCTTGAGCGAAATTCCGCAGACAAGGCGGTTTCGTTGCAGGTGTTCGAATATCTGGACGATCTTGCCGGCGCCATAGCCGAGGTTAAGCGCATCCTGAAGCCCGGCGGCCGGTTGGTTGTCGGTGACATGCACTGGGACACCACGGCCTGGTTCAGCGACAAGCCGGAGCGCATGAAACTGATGCTCGACACCTGGGACAAACATCTCGTGGAACGTTGCGTCCCCGCCGTGTTGCCGCCCATCTTGCGTGATGCCGGTTTCCGGGTCGACAACGTGACCGCAATCCCGTTCAACAGCACCGAATTGCATCCCGACGGTCTGCCGAACATGATGATCCATCTCATGAAACCATATGTTGTCAGCAAGGGTGCGGTGTCGGAGGACGACGCGAATGACTGGGCCGAGGAACAGGTTCAGCTCTCCAATTCAGGACGCTTCTTTTTCTCGATAACCCACTTTGTCATAACGGCTTCGAAGCCGGGTTGAGGTCTTCTCAATTTGCCGGAACCGTAAACTCGCGATCAGACGCGTAGTCAGTCACGATGATCCGGTCATCATCCCGCTGAAGGCGAAGCATGGTCCATCGTTCCGCCGGAAGGCGGCAGGAATGCCGACCCATGACGCAGGAAAGCTGGGGCAATCGCCGGTAGTCGACATCCTCGGCGAGCGCTTTGGCAATTGCGGTGTGTCCCTTGAGATAGGCAAACAGCGTATAGGGGCTCAGATACCAGACTTCACCAGCTCTCAATTCGTTCAATTCCTCTGCCCGCGCCAGCGGGAACTCCCGACCCCATGTCCATGAAACAGCATCGCGGGTCTGATGATCGAGATAGTGATGCGCCATGGTCTCGTCGATGAAGACCCGGTTGTCTGCATCAATATCGTTCCAGTAGTCCCGGGTTGCTGCAGCCCGGCCCGACGCACGTTCGGAGAGGACATAAAAAACCAGGAAATTTGCCGTGAGGACGAGGAACACCAGCGTGTAAAGCACGTAAGCGGTTCTCTGGAACCGTTTCCTCGTGACTGCGTCGAGCGCCACCAGAAAAACCATGCTCGCAGCGAGATTGCGTACCAGAACCTTGTCGTGAAGAAATGCAGCAAGTCCCTGACCGGCGGACAATAGCAGGCAGACAAGCGCGGCAGGGCGCGACCATCTTGTCAGCGCAGCTCCGACAACGGCAAATATCGCCGCCCTGCCAAGCGCCTCATCATTGATCCCGTGTCCGGTCGACCTTGCTGCATGGAAGACGATCTGGTCGACGAACTCGCGATACTGAAAGTCGATGCTGAGCGAAAAGATCACCAGTCCCAGAGCAAGCGCGACGGCATTTTCGAAGAACAATGCAACGATCTTTGCTTCCCGGAACACGAACCTCCAGATGTCGTGAACAACAATAGCGCCGAGGCCCCAGGCGAAGAGAGCTGGTGAGGCCAGTGGTGCAAAGACCAAGGCCAGCTTCGCCAGTGTCCTGAGACAGGATACCTGCAAATCCGCCCCTCCGGCGTCCTTCAGTCTTGCAGCCCAGAACAACAGGGAGAGGCCCAACATCCAGAAGACACAGGCAGTGACCTCAAGCCGGAACCCGGTCACGACATAGGTTGGGACGAGTAACAGCGGCGCGACCAGTGCGGCTTTCGGCAATCTGATGGCCAGGCACAGGGCCGTGAAAGCAAGCGTCGTCAGCAGGAAGCAAAGATACTCGTAAGCAACGACGCTTTGTCTGCTGACACCGAACTGATCCAGGAACAAGCCGGAAAGGATCAGATGGAAGCGGGTATAAAGATGATAGTTTTCAAGTCCGGGAAACTGAACTGCTAGCAGTGGATTGCCGTGATTTCCTGTCGTGGCATATTCCGCAGCCCAGGGTATGAAAAAGAGATCATCCACATGCGCAATCGTGTGATCCGGCCAGAAAAAGACAGGTGCCGCCACGCCGGCCAACAGCAGCCAGAGGCAGGCATGCAGTATCGTGAAGCTGCTGGCGTCGTCATTTCGCACGATAGCCCCCCGGCTTTGCGATCCCTTGTCCGCGAGGCCTATCCGCACCGGCATCGCAACTCCAGCCAATACAAGCAACGGGCGCCGCAGCCAATGTTGCCCGCAGCGCCCGAATTCCGTCAATTCTCAGCGCGTTTGCCCACTCAGGAGTGAATTGGCTTTGCAAAAGTGGCAAGCGCGGCTTCCTTGACCGCTTCGGACATGGTCGGGTGCGCGTGACACGTTCTCCCCAGATCTTCCGAAGAGCCACCGAATTCCATCAGAACCGCTGCTTCATGGATCATCTCGCCCGCGCCGAAGCCGACGATGTGAACACCGAGGACCCTGTCGGTCGCGGCATCTGCCAGTACCTTCACAAAACCGTCGGTGTGATTCATGGCACGAGCCCGGCCGTTGGCGGAGAAGTTGAATTTACCGGACTTGTACTCGACGCCGCCTGCCTTCAGTTCCTCTTCGGTCTTGCCGACAGAGGCCACCTCCGGCTGGGTGTAAACGACCCCGGGAATGACATCGTAGTTCACGTGTCCGGCCTGACCTGCGAGAATTTCGGCAATCGCGACGCCTTCGTCTTCTGCCTTGTGTGCCAGCATCGGTCCGGCAACCACGTCGCCAATTGCATAGATGCCGTCGACATTCGTCTTGTAGTGCGCATCAATCTGTACGCGGCCGCGATCATCAAGAGCGACACCTGCCGTCTCAAGTCCGAGGCCTTCCGTATAGGGACGGCGGCCGATGGCGACCAGGACAATGTCGGCCTCGATTTCCTGAGCGTCTCCACCCTTGGCGGGCTCGACGCTGACAGAAAGGCCCTTGCCCTTTTTCGTGACGCCGGTGACCTTCGACGACAACTTGAATGTCATGCCCTGCTTTTTCAGCATCCGCTGGAAGTTCTTGGAAACATCCCCGTCCATCGGACCAAGGATCTTGTCCATGAATTCAACCACGGTGACCTCTGATCCGAGCCGGTTCCAAACGGACCCCAGTTCGAGGCCGATGACGCCGCCACCCACGACAACCAGCTTGCCCGGAACCTTTTCAAGTTCCAGGGCGCCGGTAGACGACACAATCTGCTTTTCGTCAATCTCGACACCGGGCAGCGGCATGACATCGGAGCCGGTCGCGATCACGATATTCCTTGCTTCCAAGACGGACGCACTGCCGTCGTCGGAGGTGACCTCCACCTTGCCGGCCCCGAGGACCTTGCCGGTACCGGTGTGAACGTCGATCTTGTTCTTCTTCATCAGGAAGGCAACACCGTTGACGTTGGCATCCACGGTGTCGGTCTTGTGCTCCATCATGCCGGGAAGATCGACCTTCGGTTTCGAGACCTTGATGCCGAGCTTCTCAAAACCATGGCCTGCTTCCTCGAACATCTCCGACGCATATAGGAGCGCCTTGGAGGGAATGCAGCCGATATTGAGGCAGGTGCCGCCAAGGGTTGCGCGTTTTTCGACAACGGCGGTTTTCAGACCAAGCTGAGCCGCCTTGATCGCACATACATAGCCGCCCGGGCCGGTTCCGATGACGACAAGATCATATTGGGACATTTTGGTCGCCTTTGCCTCTTTCAGTTTCAGATCCAGTTTGCCGGATCAAGGTAGGATTGCCCGGCCACCGGACACGTCCAGGATGGCTCCGGTCGTGTAGCTGGACTGGTCGGACATGAGCCAGATGATTGCATCCGCCACTTCATCGGCGGTCCCCGCACGTTTCATGGGGAGTTTCGATTGCACTTGAGCCACCCTGTCAGGCAGCCCGCCGGATGCATGAAGTTTCGTGTCGATGATACCGGGTCGAACGGCATTCACGCGAATGCCTTCGTCGGCAACTTCAAGTGCGAGTCCCACCGTCATCGTGTCGATCGCACCCTTGGAGGCAGCGTAATCGACATATTGCGCCGGCGATCCCAGCTTGGAACCCGCCGAGGCGAGATTGACGATAGAGCCACCCTGTCCGCCGTGTTTCGTCGACATGCGTTTCACGGCCTCTCGGGCACACAGAAAGGAACCGACCACGTTGATCGTGAAGATCCGGTTGAGGCGCTCGACACTCATTTCGTCGACGCGTTGGGAGACGTCGACCACACCGGCATTGTTGACCAGTCCTGCAAGGCCGCCGTGCTTGTCCGCTTCTTCGAACAGGCGGAGGATATCGGCCTCGCTGCCGACATCGCCCTGCACAGCGACAGCCTTTCCGCCCTGCTGCTCGATTTCGGCAACAACCGCATCGGCAGCCGCCTTGTTGGCGGTGTAATTGACAACAACCGTTTGCCCCGGAATACCGAGTTTCCGGCTCACGCTGGCGCCAATTCCCCGGCTTCCGCCCGTTACGATGAACACACTGTCAGACATCTACTCTCCAGAACCTGCTTGATTGGACACAAGCCGCCGATTTGAAACCCGTCACTGCTCCGCGACTGCCAGCCTGAGGCCGAATCCGGCGAAGGCAGCTGCGATCGTCCGCCGCATCCAGACCATGACCCGTTCGCTCTTCAGGACCTTTTCTCCGACCAGCGATGCAAACAGCCCATATCCGAGAAAGACGACAAAGGTCATGGCCATGAAGACGCCACCGAGCATCAGCATGTCCCTTGTCGGGTTCACTGCAGAGGGACTGACGAATTGCGGCAAAAACGCCATAAAGAAGACGGTCAGTTTCGGATTGAGAATATTGATCAGGAAGGCGGTTCGTGCCGTCGCGACGAAGCTCTTGCGCACTCCCCTGTCCGCCTTCAGGTCAACAGGACCGCTGTCATTCAGTGTCTTCCAGGCCAGATAAAGCAGGTAGGCGACACCGGCATATTTCACCACCTGAAAGATCAGGGCGCTGGTGTGCATGAGAGCTGCCAGTCCGACGACGGACGCCAGGATCGCCGGAACGATGCCGATCGTACAGCCGACGGTGGCGGCAAGAGCCGCCTGCCGTCCCTTGCCGAGCCCGACAGCGACCGTGTAGACGACCCCGGTCCCTGGGACCAGGACGACGATCAGGGCGGTAATCAGAAATTCCAGACTCATTTCGGTCCCCAGACTTTCCCTGCTCTTGTCAAACGTGGTTCTCTGCCTGGTTCTTGAGATAGTGGTAAATCGCAAGCCAGATCGCCGCCAGGATTGTGCCAATTATCGCAGCGGACACAATCCCCTCGTAAAAGCCGCGCGTTGCGAACCCTGCCGCAATCAGGCTGTAATAGACTACCGTGAACCCAAGGTTAGCCAGGGCAGCTCGCAGGATACGGCGGCTCTGCTGCCAAATCTCGATCGCAAGCCATGACGCCAGACCTGCGATCGCGGCACCAAAAACCGAGTGCAAGGTGACCGAAGAAGCGCCCACACCCAGTGTGGAGACCAAATTCCATGTGGCTCCCAGCGCGATATAGGCCAAGAACCCAAGGATCAACCAGATTGGAATTGGCCTGCCGAACATTTGCGGTGTCCCTTAAAGATCCAGAACCAGGCGTTGCGGATCTTCCAGGCTTTCCTTGACGCGGACCAGGAAGGTCACGGCTTCTTTGCCGTCGACGATTCGGTGGTCATAGGACAGCGCCAGATACATCATCGGACGGATCACCACCTGACCATTCACGGCCATCGGGCGATCCTGGATCTTGTGCATGCCCAGAATGCCGGACTGCGGCGCATTCAGGATCGGAGACGACATCAGCGAACCATAAACACCGCCATTGGAAATGGTGAAGGTACCGCCGGTCATGTCGGCCATGCCGAGCTTGCCGTCACGTGCCTTGCGGCCAAGATTGCCGATCTCCTTTTCGACTTCCGCAATGGACATCTGGTCCGCATCGCGGACAACCGGAACCACGAGACCCTTGGGTGTGCCGACGGCGACGCCGATGTGGCAGAAATTCTTGTAGATGATGTCCGTGCCATCGATCTCGGCGTTGACAGCCGGGATCTCTTTCAGGGCATGGGTGACCGCCTTGGTGAAGAACCCCATGAAGCCGAGCTTGACGCCATGCTTCTTTTCGAACAGGTCCTTGTATTCCTTGCGCAGATCCATGACCGGGCCCATGTCCACTTCATTGTAAGTGGTCAGCATTGCGGCTGTGTTCTGCGCATCCTTCAGGCGGCGCGCTATGGTCTGGCGCAGCTTGGTCATGCGGACGCGCTCTTCACGTCCTTCATCATCAGCTGCAACCGGACCCCGGGCGACCTGCGTCGCTGCCGAAGCGGATGCAGCAGCGGTCGCGCCGGACGCAATCGCTCCAATGACATCTTCCTTCAGAACCTGACCGCGCTTGCCGGAACCTGCAACCTGACCGTCGGCAAGATTGTTTTCCGCCATCATCTTCTGTGCCGAGGGCGCTGCTGGCATCGAAGTACCTGAGGCTGCCGGCGCCGGCGCCGAAGCGGCTGCAACCGGGGCGGCAGCAGCTGCAGCACCCGAAGGATCGATCTGGCAGAGCAGAACGCCCGGCTCAACCGTGGCACCTGTCTCCGCCGCGATCTTCACGACGGTTCCGCCGACTGGGGCCGGAACTTCCTGGGCGGCCTTGTCTGTTTCCAGTTCGACAAGCGTATCGTCCGTCTTGACGACGTCACCGACATTGACGCTCCATTCACCGACTTCAGCCTCGGTGACCGATTCACCGGCGCTCGGCGTGATCACGTCCACAAGCTCCGCCTTTACCGCGGGAGCTGCCTCTGCCTTGGCCGGAGCAGGCGCGGCGGCAGCCGGTGCGGCCGCAGCTCCGGCGCCTTCTGCGATCTGTCCGAGAAGCGCACCGACCTCTACGGTGTCCCCTTCGTTGACCACGATGCTTTCAAGCGTCCCGGCGGTCGGGGCCGGTACTTCAACGGTCACCTTGTCGGTTTCCAGTTCCACGAGCGGCTCGTCCTGACTGACGGCGTCGCCCGGCTTCTTGAACCACTGTGCAATAGTTGCTTCAGAAACGGATTCACCCAGAGTGGGCACGCGAATTTCGGTTGCCATGGTCGCCTTCTCTTAAAATTACCCGGCCAAATTTCGGAAGGGGCCCTTGAGCCCCCTCAAGATCAGTTTCCAAGAGACTCTTCAAGGAATTGCTGCATTTGCGCGAGATGCACGGACATCAGACCTGTCGCGGTCGATGCCATCGCGGAACGACCGGCATAACGCGGCCGCCGGTGCTTGGCGTCGATCTGTTCCAGGACCCATTCGATATAGGGCTCAACGAAGAACCAGCTGCCCATGTTCTTGGGCTCTTCCTGACACCAGACCATTTCGGCCTGGGGGAAGCGGGCAAGCTCAAGCATCAGCGCCTTCTTGGGGAACGGATACAGCTGCTCGACACGCATCAGGTACACGTCATCGACGCCGCGTTTCTCGCGCTCCTCAAACAGGTCGTAGTAGACCTTGCCTGAGCACATCACGACCCGGCGGATCTTGTCGTCCGACACGAGCTTGCCGTCCGAACTCAGATTGGGACCCCAATCATCCCAAAGCAGACGGTGGAATGTGGTGTCCGGACCGAGTTCGTCGATCCTGGAGACCGCTTTCTTGTGGCGCAGGAGCGATTTCGGCGTCATCAGGATCAGCGGCTTGCGGATATCGCGGCGCAACTGCCGCCGCAGGATGTGGAAATAATTCGACGGTGTCGAACAATTGGCAACCTGCATGTTGTCTTCCGCGCAGAGTTGCAGATACCGCTCGAGACGGGCAGAGGAGTGTTCCGGCCCCTGACCTTCATAGCCGTGCGGCAGAAGGCAGACGAGACCGGACATGCGCAGCCACTTGCGTTCCCCTGACGAAATGAACTGGTCGAACAGGACCTGTGCCCCGTTGGCGAAATCGCCGAACTGGGCTTCCCACATGGTCAGAGCACGCGGCTCGGCCAGTGAATAACCGTACTCGAACCCGAGCACCGCCTCTTCGGAGAGCATCGAATTGATGACCTCGTAGCGCTGCTGGTCCGGCGAAACATGGTTGAGCGGGATGTAGCGGCTTTCGTCTTCCTGGTCGTAAAGGACCGAATGACGCTGGGAGAATGTACCGCGCTCACAATCCTGGCCCGACAGGCGCACCGGATGGCCTTCCTTCAGCAAAGAGCCGAAGGCAAGCGCTTCCGCAGTTGCCCAGTCAATCCCCTCGCCGGTCTCGATCATGCGTTCACGATGCTTCATGAAGCGCGAGATGGTGCGGTGGATGTTGAAGCCTTCCGGCACATGGGTCAAAGCCCGGCCGATCTCCTTGATCTCGGCGATCGTGAGCCCGGTTTCGCCGCGGCGAGGGTCTTCCTCATCGCGGGCCCTCTTCATGCCGGCCCATTTGCCGTCGAGCCAATCGGCCTTGTTCGGCTTGAATGCCTGACCGGCATCGAATTCGCCATCCAGGTGCTCGCGCCAGTCCGCCTTCATCCGGTCGACGTCTTCCTGACTGAGCACACCTTCCTTGATCAGGCGCTCGGAATAGCGCTGCAACGTCGTCGCGTGCTTGCGGATCTTGCGATACATGATCGGCTGCGTGAACGCAGGCTCGTCGCCCTCGTTGTGACCGAAGCGGCGATAGCAGATGATATCGATGACCACCGGACGCTGGAAGGTCTGGCGGTACTCGATCGCGATCTTGGCTGCGAACACGACCGCTTCCGGGTCGTCCGCATTGACGTGGAAAATCGGCGACTCGATCACCTTCGCCATATCGGACGGATAGGGCGAGGACCGCGAGAAGCGCGGGTTGGTGGTAAAGCCGATCTGGTTGTTGATGATGACGTGAACAGAACCACCGGTACGATGGCCGCGCAACGCTGACAGGCCGAAGCACTCCGCGACGACACCCTGGCCGGCGAATGCCGCGTCGCCGTGCAGCAGCAGAGGCAAGACGGTGTTACGTTCAACCTCGGTGGTCTCGATGAATTTGCCGTTCTCGTCGGCCGCAAGCTGGTCCTGCTTTGCACGCGCCTTGCCGAGCACGACCGGGTTGACGATTTCCAGATGAGACGGGTTCGCTGTAAGCGACAGGTGAACGTTGTTACCGTCGAACGTCCGGTCGGATGATGCACCGAGGTGATATTTCACATCGCCGGAACCTTCCACCTCGTCAGGTGCATAGGAACCGCCCTTGAATTCGTGAAAGATGGCGCGATGCGGTTTGCGCATCACCTGGGAAAGCACGTTCAGCCGGCCACGGTGCGCCATGCCGAAAACGATGTCCTTGAGCCCCATCTGGCCACCGCGCTTGATGATCTGCTCAAGTGCAGGGATCAGGGCTTCACCGCCATCTAGGCCGAAACGCTTGGTGCCGGTGTACTTGACATCCAGGAACTTCTCGAAGCCTTCCGCCTCGACCAGCTTGTTGAGGATTGCCTTCTTGCCCTCGGAGGTAAAGGCAACCTGCTTGTCCGGGCCCTCGATGCGTTCCTGGATCCAGGCTTTGGCCGCCGGGTCGGAAATATGCATGAACTCGACACCTAGTGTCGAGCAATAGGTCCGTTTCAGAATATCCATCATCTCGCGGATGGTGGCGTATTCCAGACCCAGAACATGGTCGATGAAGATCTTGCGGTCCCAGTCGGCTTCCGTGAAGCCGTAGGACGACGGATGCAGCTCTTCGTGATCACCCTTGCCGGCAAGACCCAGCGGATCGAGGTCGGCGTGAAGGTGACCGCGCATGCGGTAGGCCCGGATCATCATCAGGGCACGAACCGAATCCCGGGTCGACTGGTGAACCTCTGCGTCGGAAACAGGCTCGCCCCTGGCCTCGGCCTTTTTCTTGAGCTTGTCACCGAGCTGTTGCTCTATCGGTGCCCAGTTGCCGTCAAAGGCATTGACGAGATCGCCATTGGCTTCGATCGGCCAGTCCTTGCGCTTCCAGGGAGCACCGCGTGCTTCCTTGAGCACTGCTTCCTTTTCATCCTGGAAGGCCGCAAAGAAGTCCTGCCACTCGGCATCAACCGAGTTCGGATCCGTCTTGTACTGGGCATAGAGGTCTTCGATATAGGATGCGTTGGCGCCGTAAAGCAACGACGTCAGTGCGAATACGTTGTTCGCTTCCTGCCGTGCCATGTCCTTTAGCGGAGGGCTGCTCCGCCCTTTTTGTTATGGCGGGCCGAAAATAGACCCGCGGCCGGTTCCCTACAAAGACCGGAGAATCACCGGCCCCTCGAAAAGTATTACGACACTTTGTCGCGCCGTAACCTATCCTTTAACCATGCAGCAGGAAACGTAAACAGTTTCCGTCACCTGCTGCATAGAATTCTTGTGATTTCAGCCTTTCAAGGCTTCCAGAAGCGTCTCGCCAAGCTTGGCGGGAGACGGTGACACCCTGATGCCGGCTGCTTCCATCGCCGCGGTCTTGTCTTCCGCGCCGCCCTTGCCGCCGGAAATCACGGCTCCTGCATGACCCATCGTGCGTCCCGGAGGCGCAGTCCGGCCCGCAATGAAACCGGCCGTCGGTTTCTTGCGGCCCTTCTTTGCCTCATCGATCAGGAACTGAGCTGCATCTTCTTCAGCTGATCCACCGATCTCACCGATCATGATGATCGATTCGGTTTCATCGTCGGCCAGGAACATTTCCAGGACGTCGATGAACTCGGTTCCCTTGACCGGGTCACCGCCGATACCGACGGCGGTCGTCTGGCCGAGGCCGGCATTGGTGGTCTGGAAGACAGCTTCATAGGTGAGCGTGCCGGAGCGCGACACGACACCGACAGAGCCCTTCTTGAAGATGGAGCCCGGCATGATGCCGATCTTGCACTCTTCCGGCGTCAGGATGCCCGGGCAGTTCGGGCCGAGGAGACGTGAACCGGACTTGTCCAGCTTCGCCTTGACCTTGACCATGTCGGCAACCGGGATGCCTTCCGTAATACAGACGATGAACGGGACTTCCGCATCGATCGCCTCGATGATCGCGGCGCCTGCGCCTGCCGGCGGCACATAGATCACGGAAGCGTCCGCACCGGTTGCCTCCCTGGCTTCACCAACACTGGCGAAGATCGGCAATTGCGCGGCACTTTCGACAGAGCCCCAGGTTTCGCCGCCCTTTTTCGGGTGAACGCCGGCGACCATCTTGGTGCCGTAATATTCAAGCGCCTGTTCCGTATGGAACGTGCCGGTCTTGCCGGTCAGGCCCTGAACGATGATTTTCGTGTCTTTATTAACGAGAATGGACATTATGATGTTCCCAGTTCGTTATCTTCGGCTGGCTTGTGCAGCGACTGAATGAGTTGCTGGTTGCTGGAAACAAGTGCTTTCGTCGCATCTACAAGTTCTCTGGTAGCTTCTTCCTGACGACGCGTGTAGCGCTTTATGCTGACGCAAAACCAAAATATTGGACTCATCAGCACAATCAACGGAAGCCAAGAAAAGAAGATGGCTAGGTAACTTACTTCCTGCTCCACAACTTAACCCTTGACCGCTTTCACAATTTTCTGGGCGGCGTCGTCGAGATCATCGGCGGCGATTACATTCAGACCGCTTTCGTTGATGATCTTCTTGCCGAGTTCCACGTTGGTGCCTTCCAGGCGGACAACGAGCGGAACCTGAAGACCGACTTCCTTGACGGCCGCCACCACGCCTTCCGCGATCACGTCGCAACGCATGATGCCGCCGAAGATATTGACCAGGATGCCCTTCACGTTCGGATCGGACGTGATGATCTTGAAGGCCGCGGTCACCTTCTCCTTGGAGGCACCGCCACCGACATCAAGGAAGTTCGCCGGCTCGGCGCCGTAGAGCTTGATGATGTCCATGGTCGCCATGGCCAACCCGGCCCCGTTGACCATGCAGCCGATGTCGCCGTCGAGCGCGACGTAGGCAAGATCGTGCTTGGACGCCTCGATCTCTTTTGCATCTTCTTCGGTGATGTCGCGCAGTTCCATGATGTCCGGATGACGGAACATGGCGTTGCCGTCAAAGGATACCTTGGCATCAAGGACGCGCAGGCGTCCGTCCTTCATGACGATCAGCGGGTTTACTTCCAGAAGGCTCATGTCCTTTTCGACAAAGGCCTTGTGCAGGATCGGGAACAGGGTCATGCCGTCCTGGCGCGCCGCGCCGTCCAATGCCAGCGCGTCGCAGAGCCTAGCGGCATCTGCTTCGGTCACGCCGGTTTCCGGGTCGATCGGCAAAGTGATGATCTTTTCGGGGGTCTCTTCGGCAACCGCCTCAATGTCCATGCCACCTTCGGTGGAAACGACAAAGGCCGGACGTCCGACCGTGCGGTCCACGAGAATGGAGAGATATAGCTCGCGCTCGATGTCTGCACCGTCCTCGATATAGAGACGGTTGACGACCTTGCCTGCTTCGCCGGTCTGCTTGGTGACAAGCGTGTTGCCGAGCATGTCCTTCGCGTGCGCGGTGACTTCGTCCAGAGAGAAAGCCAGCCGGACACCGCCCTTGGCATCTGCCGGCAGTTCCTTGAACTTGCCCTTGCCACGGCCGCCGGCATGGATCTGTGTCTTGACGACCCAGAGCGGACCGGGAAGTTGCTTTGCCGCGGCTTCCGCCTCATCGGCGGAGAATATGGCGACGCCGTCGGCGACCGGAGCGCCGAAATCCTTCAGCACAGCCTTTGCCTGGTATTCATGAATGTTCATGTGTTTCCCCCGTTGTCGGAGGACCGTCCTTTCCAGGGTTGAAAAGAACGATCGCTGCTTACCCGAGACAGTCGACGCTTAGGCGAGCGCCGGCTGAATTTTCTTACAGGCTTCAACCAGACCGTCGACCGAACCGACGGACTTTTCGAAGTTGGCCTTCTCCTCGCCCTGAAGGTCGATTTCGATGACGCGTTCGACACCGCCGGCCCCAATGACAACCGGGACGCCGACATATGTGTCTTTCAGGCCATACTGACCGTCGAGGGCGGCCGCGCATGGCAGGACACGTTTCTTGTCCTTCAGATAGCTTTCCGCCATCGCGATGGCGGAAGCCGCCGGGGCGTAGAAAGCCGAACCGGTTTTCAAAAGGCCGACGATCTCGGCGCCGCCATCACGTGTGCGCTGAACGATTTCGTCCAGACGCTCGGCGGTGCACCAGCCCATCTTGACCAGATCCGGCAACGGGATACCGGCAATTGTCGAATAGCGGGTCAACGGCACCATCGTGTCGCCGTGACCACCCAGAACGAATGCCGTCACGTCTTCAACGGAAACGTTGAATTCCTCCGCAAGGAAATACCGGAAGCGGGCGCTGTCGAGCACACCGGCCATGCCGACGACCTTGTTCTTCGGCAGCCCGGAGAACTTCTGCAGGGCCCAGACCATTGCATCCAGCGGGTTGGTGATGCAGATGACGAACGCATCAGGCGCATGTTTGGCGATGCCGGCTCCGACCTGTTCCATGACCTTCAGGTTGATTTCCAGAAGATCGTCGCGGCTCATGCCCGGCTTGCGCGGCACGCCCGCAGTCACGATGACCACGTCCGATCCGCTGATCGCTTCATAGCCGTTTGCACCGGCCAGCTTGGCATCGAAGCCGTCTACCGGGGAAGACTCTGCCAGGTCCAGGGCCTTGCCCTGCGGCACACCTTCCGCGATATCGAAGAGAACGATGTCTCCCAGTTCCTTCAAACCTGCCAGATGAGCGAGCGTGCCACCGATCTGACCTGAGCCGATCAAGGCAATTTTATTTCGCGCCATATCGAAAGTTTCCCTTTACGTAAGATGGAACTACATGCCATCCGCTGATGACTGAAGATGGCACTACCCCCTTTGCCGCCCCTGCGCAAGTTCGCCAAAAGAATATTGCGTTTGGGGCAGCAAAATTTCTCAATTCCTCTCGCCTGCGTAATTCTCCTATACGGAATGCAGACCTAAGCGTGTATTTCCCGTCTCTCACCCGCAAGGTAGGCTTCGGAGCGCATTTCGATCAAACGCGAGCTCGTCCGGTCGAACTCGAAAGCTTCCGTGCCATCTTCCGACGTGTAAAGTTCCTGGGGTTCCGCCTCAGCGGATACCACAATCCTGATGCCGTTATCGTAAAGCGTGTCGATCAGGTTGATGAAACGTTTGGCCTCGTTCCGACGTGCCTTCGACAGGACCGGGATGTCCTCGATGAAAACCGTGCTGTACGCATTGGCGATCCGAAGATAGTCGCTTGCGCCCAGGGGCTGCATGCACAGGTTGTCAAAGCTGAACCGGGCCGCACCGGACGCAACACAGGGAACCGGAATTTTCCGTCCCTTGTTTTCAAGTTCTTCGGCATGCGATTTCATACCGTGCGTCAGCTTTGTCCAGAGGCGATCCATCTCCGTGTCCGCCTGCTGTCCCAGCGGCGTTACATAGACCGGGGCTCCTGCCAGCTTTTCCAGCCGGTAGTCGGTCGGCGAGTCCAGGTGAAGAACCTCGACCTGCGACTTCAGCATGGTGATGAAGGGAATGAAGAGCTGACGGTTCAGTCCGTCCTTGTAAAGGTTCGACGGATTGACATTGGAGGTCGCGACAACAATCACGCCCTTTTCAAATAGCTGAGTGAACAGGCGGCCCAGGATCATTGCGTCGGCGATATCCGTCACGGAAAACTCGTCGAAAAGCAACAGCCTGGTTTCGGCAGCAATCTGGTTGGCCACCGGAAGTATGGGGTCATCCCCCTTGACCTCACCGCGTTTGTGAGCCTGCCGATGTTCATGGATGCGCTCGTGTACATCCGTCATGAATTCGTGAAAATGGACCCGGCGCTTCCGCTGGATGACGGTCACCTCGTAATACAGGTCCATCAGCATGGTCTTGCCCCGGCCGACGCCACCCCACATGTAAAGGCCCTTCACCGCAGACCACAACTGGTTCTTCTTCTTGGCGAACAACCAGCCGAGCGAGCTTTTCTTCGAAGCAAGCCGGGTTTCCGCAAGCCGGGTGTTGAGCAGGTCAAGATGCCGGACGGCTTCCCGCTGAACGGGATCTTCCTTGATTTCACCGGATGCGATCAGGGCATCGTAGCGGGCACTCAAGGCGCGGTTAACCGGCAGTTCCATCTTCAAGAGTGCGGCTCCCTCCATGAGAATTCATGGGGCTGTGGCCAGGGAATGGCCTCGACTGTCAACTCGGCGAATAAGGTCATCAGACCACAGATGCAAGTCAAGTTATGGTTTAAAACTGTTACACTGCTTCACGCCGGGGCCTATTCAACCGATTGAAAGCTAACAATATCAAAACAAATGGCTATTAAGCTTTTTTCTCATGACCCTGACTGGATCAAACAGGCCGAATTGCTGATTTTCGACCTGTCGCGCCTGCTCGGAGATAAAGCGTCGAGAATCGATCATGTCGGGTCCACTGCCGTTCCCGGACTTTCAGCCAAACCAAAACTCCACATCGACATTACGCTTCGCCCGGATATCGAACCGGTTTCGCTCTGCCCTCCGTTTTACCTTTTCGGCTACGCGAACCCCGGAATTGTTCGCCGGGAGGGCGAAATTCAGCTCACCAGACCGGCCGGCCGGAGAATGTTTCCATACCCGCCCAGCGGACGCCCAACACTTATGGCCCACAGGCTCTGCCTGTGCCGATCCGGGCAGACAGCATCAAGACACCGGCGTAATTTCAGAGATGCACTCAGGAGCGATCCGGTGTCCGCTGCAAACTATCAGCAACTCAAGCAGGAGCTGGTGGCAAGGTTTGGTCCTGCAGAAGACTGGGAGCGCTACAACTCGGGAAAAACGTCATTCATCACGAATGTGCTCAGCCAGCTCCGCACTTGATCTGTGAACAATAAAAACGCCCGCAACCGGCGAGCCGGATGCGGGCGAACTGCACAGGGAGGGGACACTGTGCTGGAGGAAACTACCTCAAAAGCAACGTCGACTTTCGGCCACTTTGCAGTTCCTGCAGATAAAGCAGCTGCGCAACCAGATAACATTCGGACTGATCATCAAGGTTTGCCTTGCGGCCTCGTCCGTCCGTAAGAAGCCATGCGTTTCCGGGTTTGACGACGTCGCACTCGATCGGCGCCGCCGGATCAAATCCGGCCCTTTCGATCAACTCCGGGCCAATGCGTGAATCGTCCTCGGCGTCAAGACCTTTCATCTCAAGCCGCAATCCCCGGTAAGCACGGGACACCGCGAGCGTGGCGACGATGCCGGTGACGACACTGTCACCCTCCATAGCCGCGAACCGCAGGACACCGCCCTGCTGGGGTATCAAACTGCTCGAGCACGGTGTGTTCTGGACTTCACCCAGAAGCTCCCATTCCGACCTGAGGGTCACGGTCGCGGGCTGTCGAAGCGCCGCCATCTCCTTCGCAAGCCGCTTTTCAGCAGCCCGTTTCGGATTCTTGGAGTGTTTATCAGCAACAGCAGCCCGCGCGACGGCGACCGTTCCTCCGATCCGCAACCGTCTGAAAACGATGACGTCGCGCATCAGGTCTGTGCGCTCGACGCGCCACCCCGCATCAAGCCATGAATTCTGGTGAACCAGACTGCCACCTGAATTCGCCCACCACGTCCGGTGCTCCCGCGCACTTTTCGGCAGGCATGTACCTAGAATTTCTTCCAGTTCGTTGAGCTTGGGAGCCCAGACGACATCTTCAAGACGGGACAGGTGTTCGCGTAAAGGATCGTATTTTGACATTTGCACAGCCTTTCCGATAGCAATGCAAACATACACCTATTACGCGCAGTGTCCAGCAAAAATACTGAGGGTATTTAACGGTAAAGTGAAATGGGTGAGCCAACCGAGGTTTGACCGTTAAACTTCCCGGGTTCGCTGGAATAAAGTTGTGCCACGATCACACCGGATCCGTCCTTAAGAACCACCTGGTTACCGTTCAGGTCCCACGCCGAGATCCCTGACAGAGTTGGCGCACTACAACCTCTGGTGTTAGCCCGGTAGCCGCCTGACCAGGTTGTCAGCGTCATGAAAGCCATGCAGTTGTCACCGGCTGAAGCGAGCTTCCAGCCACCCAGAAGATCCGTACGGCCGACTTGTTGTGCATTGCCCGGAGCCGAGACAGGATTGCTCGCCAGATCAGCAGGCGCTCCCGTGCCATCCGTCGTTGTTCCGACAGGCGGTGCGGCATTCGGATCAAGTGGTGCAAGCGTGCCTGCCCCGACCGGTGTTGTCGGCGTTGCCGGCAAAGGTGCCGCATAGTTCGGGCCTCCGGAAAGTCTCTGGCATCCCGCCGCCAGAACCACCATTCCCAAAACCAAAACCAGTTTTCCCGCGCGCATCATGACGAATCAATCCCTCACCATCGTCCTAATTGGAGGCATCTCTTAGCCTACAATTTGTATAAAATCCAAAACACTGCAAAATTGCGTGTACTTTCCCAGTCACGCAACATTCCACACAGATGATTTCCCCAACCCGTTTGACGGTTCGATCAAAAAGTCTATCGCGGAGCGAATTTCCTGAAAGCTCTCGACACTGGCGCCGAATGTTTCCTCTTCGGCAGACGCGCCGACAATACTCCACCAATGGCTGGAGGTGGTAGATTTCCAAAGTGGCGGCAACGTGACGGGAGCCATTTCGGTGAGATAAATGACCCGGTCCGGAATGATGGCATGCGGCATCAGGAATATATCGACGGATTTGGGCGCAAGGCCGCTTGCATCAACTCCGCAGACCGACAGCAGCCTATTCACGTGCCGGTTCAGGCAGACTGCAGGATTCGTGCCTGCGGAAAATGCCCTCATCAGACCCCTTGCCCTGAAATTCAGATAGGCTTCGGCCAACGGCCCCAGAAAGGCGTTGTCCGGACACAGAAACAGGACTGTTGTCTTTGTCACCAGCAATTCCCCAAATCGGCAGGCGAGAATCATTTCGCCTTCTGCGCCTTCGCATAAACGGACGACGGGATGAGAATGTGACAAAGCCTGTGTCCAGATGATTTTCATGAGGATTTCGCGGCCGACGGTATTTCTGCAAGGGTGATCCGGCAGCGTCGTTTCCAATCTTTTTCTCACAATCTTGCAATTCTGACCTATTTGAAATGGTGACACATTCAACAAGGACCCAAACATGCCGATTGCCATCTGGTGCATTCTCGCCGCCGCAATTCTTCCTGTTCTGTCGATTTTTCCTGCCAAGCTCAGCAAGGACTACGACAACGAGAACCCGAGAAATCCGGATTTTTGGCGTGACGGCTTCCGCGCCCGGGCGCAAGCAGCCCAGGTCAACGGGTTCGAGGCCTTTCCGTTTTTCGCGATTGCCGTTTTCGTTGCCATGAGCCAAGGCGCATCGCTCTACTGGATCGATCAGCTGGCGGTCCTGTTCGTTCTGTTGCGGCTGATCTACGTGTTCTGCTACTGGACGGATCGCGCCACACCACGCTCAATCGCGTGGTTGGCATCCTTCATCACAATTGTGGCACTTTTCACAAGTTCACTGTGGAGTTGATCCGTCCCTAGACCGCAAATTAATTCAGGGAGCATTTGCACCACGCGGCCGATTTCGCTAACGATGCAGGTGAGTAGTACAGGTTACCGATGGGCAGAGGTGCATTGTGCGGACGACAGACCAGACGACAAACACCTTGCCGGCGCACCGTCAGGCAGCGTTGCAGCGGCAGGTAGCCGACCAGCATATCGTTGACGCACTGATAGCGGAACGCGGTAAACTCGTGATGGCGAGCCCCTGGTGGCCCTTCATCAAGCCGTTTGCCTATCGCATCCTGCGTTATCGTTCCGCCGTGGATATGGCCGATACCATTGCCCAGATGGAGGCGGTCGACGTTTTCGCCCGTCTGAGTGACATTCTCACCCTCAACGTCACGACCAAGGGGCTCGACCGCGTTCCAACCGAAGGTCCGGTTGTCCTCGTGTCCAACCACCCGACCGGCATTGCCGACGGCATCGTGCTGTACGACGCGATAAAATCGCGGCGCACCGACCTGGCGATCTTCGCGAACAGGGATGCGATTCGCATCAACCCGCGCCTCGCAGAGATGATCATTCCGGTCGAATGGCGCGCTGATTTCAAGAGCCGCGAAAAGTCCAAGGAGACGATAAAACTGGCGTCCTCCGCGTTTGCAACAGAACGTGTGGTGGTGCTGTTTCCTTCAGGACGCCTTGCCTACTGGCACCAGGGCAAGTTGACGGAACGGCCCTGGATGACATCGGCCCTGGCACTTGCGCGGAAAAACAAGGCGCCGATCATCCCGATGCATATGGGCGGACGAAACTCCGGTCTTTTCTATTTTCTTGCCCGTGTCTCGACCGAGTTGCGGGACATGACGGTCTTCAACGAGCTGCTCAACAAGCAGAACGCGAAATTCAACGTTCATTTCGGCAAACCGATCCGTCCCGACCGGTTGCAGGGCGACCTCACGGAACTCACCGAACAGATGCGCATCCACTGCGCCGAAACCCTGGCCGGCGACCCCGACGCCGAATTCTGATTGAATTTCCGGTCGATTGCGAAAATCATCCACAGGCCGGTTTGCCCTTCGCCTGCGAATAAGACATGGTGCGGAAGACTTTAGGGAAGCAGCCGCCTCATGCCAGTCTCGCCCGCTCTTGCCGCGGATGACTCAACACTCGTTCACCTCAGCGATCCGCCTTCGGTCCGTCCGGAGCCGAAACCGCTTGCCGTTCTGCAGAATGTGTTCGGGTACAGCAGCTTCCGCGGCAAACAGCAAGCCGTCATCGAAACCCTCATTGACGGCAGAGATGCCGTTGTCCTGTTTCCGACAGGAGCCGGGAAATCACTTTGCTTTCAGATCCCGGCCCTGTGCAGACGTGGTGTCGGAATTGTCGTCTCTCCGCTGATCGCCCTCATGAAGGATCAGGTCGGTGCCCTGTGCGCCGCCGGCGTCCGTGCAGCCGCACTCAATTCGACCCTGTCAGGTGAAGATCAGGCTGCTTTGAGAGAAGAGTTGCGCCGCGGCGAAATCGACCTTCTCTACGTGACACCCGAGCGCCTAGGCAACGAGAGCTTCCGCAAGTTTCTGGATACGCTCGACATAGCACTCTTTGCGATCGACGAGGCGCATTGCGTCAGTCAGTGGGGGCACGATTTCCGCCCTGAATACATGTCGCTTTCATGCCTCGCCGAAAGATACCCCGGCGTCCCCAGGGTCGCCCTCACCGCGACCGCCGACCCGCATACGCAAGAGGACATCCTTTCCAGACTGAAACTGGAAGAGGCAAAGGTTTTCGTTACAAGTTTCGACCGGCCCAACATCCGCTATGAAATCGTCGAACGTTCGAACCAGCGCCAGCAATTGCTGGACTTCCTCGCAAAGCACAAGGGTGAAAGCGGCATCGTCTACTGCCTGTCACGTGCCAAGGTTGAAGATATCGCCGCGTGGCTGTCTGCCAAGGGAACGAGGGCATTGCCCTATCATGCCGGTTTGCCGGCAGACCAGCGGGCCGCCAACCAGGATGCCTTTCTCCTGGAAGAGGGCCTGTGCCTTGTCGCGACGGTTGCCTTCGGCATGGGGATCGACAAGCCGGATGTGCGCTATGTCGCGCATCTTGACCTGCCCTCCTCCGTCGAAGCCTACTATCAGGAAACGGGTCGGGCAGGACGCGACGGAGCGCCTTCAGAAGCCTTCATGGCCTACGGTATGGCTGATCTGGTGCAGCGGCGCCGCATGATCGCGGAAGGCGACGCTCCGGACGAGGTCAAGCGGGCGGAAAATACGAAGCTGAACGCGTTGCTGGGCATCTGCGAGACGGTAGGATGCCGCAGGCAGGCGCTTCTGGCTCATTTCGGGGAAACCTATCCGCAACCCTGCGGCAATTGCGATACCTGCCTCTCACCCGTTGAGACCTGGGACGGGACGGAGGCGACCCGAAAACTGATGTCGGCAATCTACCGCACGGGTCAGCGTTTCGGCACGGGACACGTGATTGACGTTCTGCTCGGCAAGTCCAATGAAAAGGTCACCCGGTTCGGACACGAAAACCTGTCTGTCTTCGGCATCGGCCAGGATCTGTCGCAAAAGACATGGCAATCGATCGCACGACAGTTGGTCGCGGCGGGCTTCGTTGATGTGGACCATGCCCAGTTCGGAGCGCTTGTGCTGACTGAAAGCGCGCGGCCGGTCTTGCGCGGAGACAAAACAATTGCCCTGCGCAAGGACAGAAGCGCTGCCGGACTGAAACAGACACGTTCTTCAAGATCGGCATCCGTCGCGGACGAATTCGAGGACGAGGACAAGCTGCTTTTTCAGCGATTGCGACGTCTCCGGACACAGATCGCGCGGGATCAGAATGTTCCTCCATACGTCGTCTTTCCCGATGCGACGCTCGCCGGGATAGCGGCTGCCAGACCGGTCAGTGCCGACGCACTTTTGGGCATATCAGGCGTGGGTCAGTCCAAGCTGGAGAAATATGGCGAAGCTTTCATGGACCTGGTGGAAGCTTTCGAAGCCGGCGTATGATTTCGTTAACCTTAATCAATTCTTGAGATTTCAACCCGCATTCTTCTCCGTAAAAGTTGTGTGCGGAGCTGATACATGCGGATTTGGATTGCCTGCCTGGCTGTTCTACAAACTTTGGTCTGCGGACAGATTGCGACGGTTTACGCGGCCGACCTGTTGAATGAAGGAATTCCAACCGCCGATGAATTGAGACTTCGGCCACAGACCTGGTCGGGCTTCAGCGGTGTCGCCTTTGCCGGTAGCGGAGTGGTTTCCGGCCGTGACGGTGTCGGATGGGACCTGACCATGCACTCCGGACTTCTTGGTGCCGCGGCCGGCTACGACACCCAGTTCGATCGGATCATCCTGGGTGGTCATCTGGAGGGATTTTTCTCGAACTTTCAAAAAACAACCGACAGCGGCAATGTCCGACAGTCCGCGGAATGGATCGCCTCCATCACGGGGCGGCTCGGCTACGACGCCGGCCGGTTCATGCCTTACCTTACGGGCGGCCTGGGTATTGCCAAATACAAGTTCGAACAGACCCGCCCCCGCGAGGTGATTGATTTACTTGCATACGACTACGCCGTTACCTCGCCTGATAGCTTTTCAGGTGGAACTGTGACCGACACCAGGATGCTTTACGGACCTGTTGTCGGAGCGGGTGTCGAAACCAGACTGACGGACAATCTGTTTCTGCGCCTCGACTACAAGCATTTTCATTTTCTCGACCGGGATTTCCGTTTTCAAAACGGACAGCCGTTCGAAGCCGGTGCAACGGCCGACACCGTTGATCTCGGCGTAGGTTTCCGCTTCTGAATAACGGGGACCTGATCCAACACCCCCGATGAACAAGCGAAACGCCGCAGATGGTTCTTGCCGTCGATCGGGTCGTTTTCGACACCGGTCACAAAACCCGCCAGCATGCTGGCGGGCTATTTACATCCAGATATCGAAAGTCCTTTACGAACCTGCTTTGGGCAATCCCTTGTAAGCCTCGCCACCCCACACGGATTTTACTCTCGCATCGCGTCCGCAGGCCTTGCGATAGCCCTTGTATGCCTCAGCCCGGGTAACATAGCCGAACCGCGTCAGCGTCCTGACATCGCTTTTGTAGTAAGCCTGATGGTAATCTTCTGCCGGCCAGAACACGGCCGCCCCCTCGACAGGCGTAACGACCTTTCCGCCAAGAGACTTGTTGGCCTTGTCGATTTCCGCTTTCGCCGCCTCGGCCTGTTTTTCATCCAGGGGATGAATGGCAGTGGAATAGCCAAAACCGCGATCACAGAACTGGCCGCCTGCGTCTGTTACGTCAACCGTGCGCAGAAAAATACCTACAAGGTCGCCATAACTGATCTTGGTCTCGTCGAAGTCAACCTGGACAACTTCCCTGTGTCCGCCGCGCTCATAGTTCTTGTAAGTCGGGGTTTGTGTCTTGCCGCCTGCATAACCGGACACGACGTCACGGACGCCAGGCAGTTTTTCAAGATCCGATTCAACACACCAGAAACAGCCTCCGGCAAATACGGCTGTTTCCGCCTGTGCCGGTGCAAATGGTGCAGCAACGGAAAGAGCGGCTACGAGAGAAAGCGGTAGAAGTCGCATCATGACAGTCCTCCATGAGTTGCCGGTAGAGGTAACGCATCCGTGCGCCAAGGCAACTCAACTCCATTTCCCTGCCTCGCACATCCGTGTGAGCAGATCGTGACCTGCCCGGCTCCGGTCAGGTGTCCCACTCGGTTGCCGCATCCTCGAACCCGGGCAATTGCGGATGGACCACGCAGAAACGATGCCCGCTGGTGGCCTGCATCACCGTCCAGCGATCCAGCTTGCTGACAATCGTTGCGCCAAGCGTTTCGAGCCGCTCGACCTCCCTGTCGGGATTGTCTGCTTCGATATCCAGGTGAACGCGCGGTGCGTGTTCGACCAGTTGCAACAAGATGCCGATTTCACCCTCCTTGCCATAGAGGCGGCGATAACGCGGACTTTTCGGTTTCTCCTCTACGGTTCTGCCGAGAGCACCCGCCCAGAATGCGGCATGGTCGTCAATATTTCCTCCCTGGCAATCGATCACCAGATCTCCCAAGCGACTCTTGTGCATGCAATCCTCCAACAAATTTCAAGAGAACAAATATCGAACAAAACGAGGCGAGCCGCAAGACCCGCCTCGCTCCCTTCGCGTCTTTTCGGGTCAAGCCGGCTCGGTTGCCGAGCGGTCGTTCGATTTTTCGTGGCCGGACCAATCGATCTTCTGGGTGACGAACATTGTGATCGCCAGCGCGACGAACCCTATGACAGACCCGATCAGCAGCGCGTAGTCCTGTTCACGCATCAAGGCAAACAGGACACCGAAGATGCTTGCGAGAACCGCGAGCATCACAAAACCCGCTGTGCGGCTTTTCAGCGAGGTACCGACATAGACGGCATTGAGAACGGTCGCCGCGCCTGCGGCAGTCAGATACGCCAGCGCATAACCGACATGTTCGGCGAATGCGAGCAGCATGACATAGAAAATAATCAGGGAAAGGCCGACCAGTGCATACTGGATCCAGTGAAAGCGCCAACCGGACCGCATCTCCAGAACAAAGACGGCAAGGAAAGTCAGACTGATAAACCCGATCGCGTATTTCAGCGATCTGGAAATCGTCTGGTAGAAATTGACCGGTTCCACGAACTTGACTCCCAGGAGCTTGTCCTGAAGCGGAATATTGCCGGTTTCCAGCATCTTCGGAATCCCGCGGGCGAGATAGGGAATGGTCCAGGCGGCGTCAAAACCGCTATCGGTAATGGTTCGCGTTTCGGGTAAAAACGCGCCAGTGAATCCGGGGTGCGGCCAATCGGATTGGAGCGCCACCTTGGTAGTCTGTCCCGCGGGAGCAAAATAGATTGCAGTCGAACCGTTGAGCTGCAGGGGGATGTCAAAGGCAAAACCCCTTTGCCAGGTTCCGGGTGGCACGGAAGCATTGATCCCCGATGCCTTGAAGGAGCGGTAAGCATCCCGGTCGCTCGTCATTTTCAAGGGACCGGATCCCGGCTCGAACGGAATGGATCGTTTCCCGTCGAGCCCGAGAGCGATCTCACTCTTGAGCGCCCGAACGTCCCCGATACCGATAACCAGAACCGCCTTGTCCGCGGCAACGTCGATCGTGCCGCCATGCTTCGGTTCGAACATATCGTCTGCAGGTGCGGAAAACGCTCCGCTCAGATTGAGCCGGCCGTTGTAAACCGGAAGCGCATAAATGGATTTCCTGCGTTCTTCAACGGTGATGTCGCCGGATACATCCAGACGCTGCGGGAAGAGCACGGCTGTCCGGCGCACCGTTTCGGTCTTCAATTTGTCGCTCGGCCCGGTGGTGTAGGTCTCCGTGAACGGGATCACCAGATAGGGACCGTTGATCTCCTGGGTTCCGCCCCAGGATCTGGCGATGTCACGTGCGACTTCGGTCGCCCTGTGCGAACGTTCTTCAACCAGCACCCAGACAAAAACACTGGGAACGAGAAGCAGGAAGGTGAGCAGACCGATCAGGACGAATTTTACCGCGGGTGAGTTCAGGAAAGTCAAAAACCTGGGCGCACTGGATCGCTGCGTTGCCTCAGGACCATCCGGCGCATTGCGGCTTAGTTCGTCAGTCATCAAAAATCCCTCTGCCAAGCGGGTGCGAAACGGAAACGGCACCCGTCAATCGACGAGACCCTCGCATTGCACTTGGGAGATTGCCGGGCGAAACCGGGCAGGGACTTCAGGGATTTTGTGCAAATTCCGTGCAGACGCCAAAGAAACGAGGAGATACTCAATCGGGTCTTGAATTGTCGTTTAACGAGACATCGAAAGACGCACATTTGTCACCCCGGCCCTGCGAAACTGAGACCGGGATTCGTCTTGGCGCACCACGTCAAGCCGGAATGACAAGCTGAACCACCAATACGCAAAGGCCGCCCGGAGGGCGGCCTTCGCAAATTGTATGGGAACCAACCGAAACTCAAACCCGGCGTTCCACCATCATCTTCTTGATTTCGGCGATCGCCTTGGCCGGGTTGAGGCCCTTCGGGCAGGCTTCGGAACAGTTCATGATGGTGTGACAGCGGTAAAGGCGGAAAGGATCTTCCAGATTGTCCAGACGCTCACCTGTCGCCTCGTCACGGCTGTCGATCAGCCAGCGATAGGCCTGAAGCAAGATCGCCGGGCCGAGATACCGGTCTCCGTTCCACCAGTAGCTCGGGCACGAAGTGGAGCAGCAGGCGCAGAGGATGCATTCGTAAAGACCATCCAGTTTGACGCGGTCATCGTGGGACTGGAGCCATTCCTTTTCCGGTGCAGGAGAAACGGTTTTGAGCCAGGGTTCGATGGAACGGTGCTGGGCATAGAAGCGGGTCAGATCCGGCACCAGATCCTTGACAACGGCCATATGCGGCAGCGGGTAGATCTTGACAACGTCGCCGGCGATCTCGTCCATGCCCTTGGTACAGGCCAGGGTGTTGGTGCCGTCGATATTCATGGCGCAGGAGCCGCAGATGCCCTCGCGGCATGAACGCCGGAACGTCAGCGTCGGGTCGACCTTGTCCTTGATGTAGATAAGCCCGTCCAGCACCATCGGACCACAGTCGTCGGCATCGATGAAATAGGTATCGACCCGCGGATTTCGTCCATCGTCCGGGTTCCAGCGGTAGATCCGGTATTCGCGCAGGTTGGTTGCCCCTTCCGGCTTGTCCCATACCTTGCCTTCCGTCACCGTGGAGTTCCGGGGAAGCGTCAGCTGAACCATCTCGTTACTGCTCCGCGTTGGGCCCTCAATTCGCGTCAAGGCGCATTCGGGCCGGTATTTCTTCTCGCTCAGCCCTTGAGTTCGAAGATCATGTTGTCATCGGTCCGGCCCGTTACCTCATAGCCGCGGCTTGCCAGTTCGGGCAGGCAATCCTCGGACCAGTAGGGCCGGCAATTCGTCTCAAGAAGGATCACGCGGGGCCATTGCTGTCTGTCCGCGTGTCTGAGGAAAGGCAGCACCACCCGGTCCTCAAAACCTTCCACGTCAACTTTCAGGATATCAATCGCCGCAACGCCATGCTGGTCGGCAATCGCCGTCAGGGGTCGAACCTTCACATAGGTCGGCTCCCAGTTTCCCGCCCACTCGCCTGTGGTCAGGTCCTTGACGAAGGTGGCGAACCCGCAATTGCTCGGCTCGAGCCAGAGCGGCAGCGTGTCTTCCTGGGCCCCGACCGCAGAATGGACCACCGTAACGTTGTCCAGATCATTGGCCGTGACATTGAAGCTCAGCTTGTGTGCCGTCTGCGGATTGGCCTCGATCGCCAGCACACTTGCCCCGCGTCTTGCCGCAAAGACCGAATAGGAGCCAATGTTGGCACCAACATCGACAAAGACCGTTCCCTCTCCCAGATGCGGTTCGAGCAATTCATGCTCAGCGCGCTCCGGCAATCTGCCCTTGGCGAGCATCTTGCGGTCGTCATAGTTTTCGCCTGGATAGATCCGGAACTTGAGACCCTCGGCCTCCAGATCGTATGGACCCTTGAATATGTGCGCAACGAAGGCGCGGATGCGCTTGCGCAACCCCCGGGAAAGGTCGTGACGGTCGGCAAGGCGCCAGGCGGCACGGACCATGCGTTCGGCAGGATAGGTGCCAAACGGGCTTCTGGTGTCCAGTTCTGTTGCGGCCTGGCTCACGAACCGGTCTCCCTAGTAGACACGCGCTTTCGGCGCGATCTTTTTCGGGTCGATGCCGCCTTCCTCGAAGGTGGTCAGCGGGTCGGTCACGACCGGACGGTAGTCAAGTTTCACATCGCCCGCCTCGTTGACCCAGGCAAGCGTGTGCTTGCGCCAGTTCTCATCGTCACGGCCTGAGAACGGACCATCCTTATAGTCCTCGCGTGCATGGGCACCGCGGCTTTCCTTGCGGGCCTCCGCGCCATAGACGGTGGTGATCGCGTTTGCCATCAGGTTTTCCAGTTCCAGCGTTTCCACCAGATCGGAATTCCAGATCAGCGAGCGGTCGGACACCTTGAGATCCTTCATTTCACCCCAGATCGCGCTAAGCCGCTGGCAACCGGCTTCAAGGCTTTCCTGGGTGCGGAACACGGCAGCGTCTTCCTGCATCGCGTGCTGCATCTTGTCCCGCAATTTGGCTGTCGGGATCGAGCCGTTGGCATTCCGCAGCGTGTCAAACCGGTCCATGATCTTTTCACAGGAGGCTTCGCTGGGGGCAGGGGTCGCCTCCTTCGGGTCGACCACTTCTCCAGCCTTGATCGCAGCTGCACGGCCAAACACCACCAGATCGATGAGGGAGTTCGATCCAAGACGGTTTGCGCCGTGAACCGACGCGCAACCGGCTTCGCCGACCGCCATCAGGCCTTCCTGAATGCGGTCGGGGTTCTTGCCGTCGGCGTTGAGAACCTCTCCCCAGTAGTTGGTCGGCACACCGCCCATGTTGTAGTGAACCGTCGGCAGCACCGGGATCGGGTCCTTGGTCACGTCGACACCTGCGAAAATACGGGCACTTTCGGAAATGCCCGGCAAGCGCTCCGCCAGCAAGGCAGGGTCCAGGTGATCAAGATGCAGGAAGATATGGTCACCCTTTTTGCCGACGCCACGGTTTTCCCGGATTTCCATGGTCATGCAGCGCGAAACGACATCGCGGGATGCAAGATCCTTGGCCGAAGGAGCGTAGCGTTCCATGAAACGCTCGCCTTCGGAATTGACCAGATAGCCACCCTCCCCGCGCGCACCTTCCGTAATAAGGCAACCTGAACCGTAAATGCCGGTCGGATGGAACTGGACAAATTCCATATCCTGAAGCGGCAGGCCGGCACGGGCGACCATGCCTCCACCGTCACCGGTGCAGGTGTGCGCCGACGTTGCGGAGAAATAGGCGCGGCCATAGCCACCTGTTGCCAGAACCACCATCTTGGCGGCAAAGCGGTGCATGGTGCCGTCATCTAGGTTCCATGCGATCACGCCCTGGCAGACGCCATCGTCGGACATGATCAGGTCGAGCGCGAAATACTCAATGTAGAATTCGGCGTTGTGTCGCAGGGACTGGCCGTAGAGCGTGTGCAGGATTGCATGACCGGTCCGGTCGGCTGCCGCGCAGGTGCGCTGAACGGGGGGGCCTTCGCCGTAATTTTGCATATGGCCACCGAACGGGCGCTGGTAGATCTTGCCTTCCTCCGTGCGCGAAAACGGAACGCCGTAGTGTTCCAGCTCATAGACCGCCTTCGGAGCCTCCCGGGCAAGATATTCCATGGCGTCGGTGTCGCCGAGCCAGTCCGACCCCTTCACGGTGTCGTACATGTGCCATTCCCAGCAGTCCGGCGTCATGTTGGTCAAAGAGGCGGCAATTCCGCCCTGGGCCGCCACTGTGTGAGATCGCGTCGGAAACACCTTGGTGATGCAGGCCGTGCGCAATCCCTGCTCCGCCATGCCGAGTGTCGCGCGCAGGCCGGCGCCACCCGCACCGATAACAACCACGTCATAGGTGTGGTCGACAAATTCATACGTTTTGGCCATGCGGGTTAGCCTCCAAAGCCAATCTTGAGCACTGCGAAGATGCAGCCGAAACCGATAAAGGCGCAGAAAAAGGTGTTTGCCATCAGCGTCAGAAACTTGAGGCCTTCACCATGGATGTAATCCTCGATGATCACCTGCATGCCAAGCTTCATGTGATAAACGCCGGACAGGATCACCAGAAGAAGGATGATCGAAACGAGCGGGTTCCGGAGTGTCTCAACGACATCGCCATGGGTGGACCCCTGCATCGCGATCACCAGGATCACGAAGAATGAAATCAGAAACACATTGGCGACGGCCGTCACACGCTGTTTCCAGAAGTGATCCGTCCCTTCCTTGGCTGAACCGAGGCCGCGAACCTTGTTGTGGGGGGTGCGCATATCCGTCATGACACTCTCCTTATCGAACCATATAGCCGATGATCCAAAGGATCAGCGTGAGAGAAACGGAACCGATGATGGTGGCTTTTGCCAGCCACTCGCGGGCTTCCTTGCCGAACCCGGCACCCATGTCCCAGATGAAATGACGCAACCCGCCGAGCATGTGATGCACCAGCGCCCAGGTAAAGCCGAACAGGATCAGCCTGCCGAGAATCGAGCCGTAGATCTCGTTGACGAAATCAAAATAGGAGGGACCTGCGGCGGCGGCGATCAGCCACCACGCCAGCAGGATTGTTCCGAAATAGAGCGCTGCTCCGGTGATACGGTGCAGGATGGACATGACCATCGTCAGAATGGGCTTGTAGATCTGAAGATGGGGCGATAGCGGGCGGTTGCCTCGCAAATCGGCGTTCGACATGGAATTCCTCTCCCGTACGACGCAACCTCACGTTTACGCAAACGTAAGGAAATCAGAGCGTTATATAGAACGGTTCTAGCGCCAAGAAGGCGTCGCGTCAAAACATCAAAAAGGTGAATCTGAGACGTCACTTTCCCCAACGGTGCACTTAAATCGTTAAAAACCGCGAAAACTCTTGTCGCAGTGCACAACATCAAAGAACTTTCCAGACGATCAAATTTGGGTAACTCTCTCGTATGTCACCGCAATTCCGGTGATCTTGTCCGGATTTCCGGCCTGATTTGGAGGCAAGTAGAATGAAAAAAGCGATTGCTGAATTTGTCGGTACCTTCACCCTCGTGCTCTTTGGTTGCGGCGCGGCCGTCATCGCGGGAATGGGTACCGGTGCGACTTCAATTGACGTACTTGGAATTGCGTTTGCATTTGGACTTTCCAGTGTCGCAATGGCTTACGGCATCGGCATGATCTCGGGATGTCACATCAATCCGGCTGTCAGCCTCGGGGTCCATCTGGCTGGACGCATGTCCGCCGGAGAGATGGTCACCTACTGGATCGCCCAGGTACTCGGAGCCCTTGCAGGGGCCGCGGTCCTGGCCATCATCCTGAGCGGCAAGGCCAGCGGCTGGGACGGCGGCCTTGGCCAGAATGGCTGGGGGGCCGGATATCTCGGCGAATACAACTTGCTGTCCGCGCTTGTCTTTGAGGTTGTCGCGACCTTTCTGTTTCTTGTCTGCATTCTTGGCGTTACGCAGAAAGGCGCACCGTCCCATCTCGCCGGACTGGCCATCGGCCTGACGCTGGTCGTCATTCACATTGTCGGTATCAACGTCACCGGCGTATCGGTGAACCCGGCGCGATCCCTCGGCCCCGCAATCATAGGCGCGGGAAGCAATCCCGGAGCGCTGGCCCAGGTCTGGCTGTTTATCGTCGCCCCCCTCATCGGCGGAGCTGCGGCGGGAATTCTTTTCAAGACCGGCCTGCTTTCAGCCGAATCGGAAGACTGACCACCGTCCCTGCGAATTGGCAGCCGGAAGCTGTTTCGGCTGCCAGCCAGTCCCAGGCCTTACCTATCCGAAAACGGACCAACCGGTGCGTTTTGCGAACATTTCCATTGCCTCGGTTCCCAGCTTGGAGTTGCCGTAGCGGTTGAGGCCCGGCGACCAGACGGCAATCGATGCCCGGCCGGGTGCGATCACCAGTATTCCACCCCCAACGCCACTTTTGCCGGGAAGCCCCACGCGAAATGCGAAGTCGCCCGAACCGTCATAGTGACCGCAGGTCATCATCATCGCGTTGATGCGACGCCGCCGCAGTGCCGCAACCAGCGGCGGCATATTTGCTGATTCGATCAGAAACCGGCCTGCCATGGCCAGTTGCCGGCAACTCATTTCAATGCCGCACTGGTGACAAGAGGTCCCCAGAACCTTGTCGACGGATGACCGCAGGTTGCCGCAAGAAGCCAGATAATGCGCAAGGGAGAAATTCCGGTGCCCGGTGGTCAACTCCGATTGCGCAACATTTTCATTGATGTGGATGCTGTCATCGTCGGCGGCCGCACGGATGAATCCCAGCAATTCACCAAGCGCTTCGCGGGGATTGGACCCGGCAAGGTAGGTATCCGTCGTCACGAGGGCACCAGCATTGATGAAGGGATTGCGCGGTATCCCGTCTTCACGCTCCAGCAGGAGGATTGAATCGAAGGAAAGACCGGAAGGTTCCCGACCGACGCGATACCAAAGCTGATCTCCGACGCGGCCAAGTGCAAGAGCAAGTGCGAACACTTTTGAAACCGACTGGATGGAAAACGGAACTTCAGCGTCACCCGCTGTCAGGAGGCGGCCGTCCTCAAACGCGACGGCTATTCCGAACTGGTCGGGATTCACGCCGGCCAGTTCAGGGATGTAGGTTGCGACCTCACCCTTGTCCGGACTGGCTTCAGCAACTTTGGCGATTTCAGACAGCAGTTCCTGCATGGGCCCCTCCGGTCAGCCTCGATCCTGAAAACGCCGACCCGCGGCCCGCAGTTCGTCAGATAGCTGCGCCGGATGCAAGTTTCTTGTAAAGATGCAGCATGAAAATGGTCGCGAATATCGGCGTGACAAGGTTCAGGATCGGCACCGCCAGAAGACAGGCAATGACAAGGCCGCCGAGGAAAACCGTCCCTCCACGCGCCTTTCGGAAAGCTCTTGCTTCGGCTGGAGGCATGTACCGCATGGCCGCGAACTCGAAGAATTCACGACCGAGAAGGTAACCGTTGACCACGAAAAACGCGACGAGATTGATACCCGGCACCAAGAGCAACAGCAGCGCGAACAGGTTGCCGAGAATGACAACGCCGGTGAACTTGATTGTCTGCACCAGGGATTTGGAGAGAGGCAGGGCATTGCCGGGACGATCCCCGGGATAATCCTTCACGTCGACAATGTCGGCAATGTCGTCCTGAAAGAGGCCTGCCAGCAGTGCCGAGATCGGCGCGATCAGAAAACCGAGTACAAAGACAGCACCGATACCGGTCAGGATGGAAATCGACCATTCCGTCCAGCTGATCCATGCGCTGCCGTCCCCCCACTCGTTTGCAGCAACACCCAGGAAATGCCCGACGATTCCCTGCAGTGCGATCCAGATCACAATCAGGATCCCGAGCGTGAACCCCAGCATTTTCCAGAAGATTGCACGGAATGGCGGTTCGAAAACCTCGGACATGGCGCGGGAAGCGGCTTGAAACATGAAACCCCTGTCAGAATAGACACTGCTGGATGGGAGATAGGAGATGAACCGATTGATCGCAAGGTTGCCAGGGACCGCATCCCCGACATTCACCGACCGTTACCGCCCGACATTTCCGTTCCGAGATCCGGCCTTTAGCTCTGCTCGCGTTCGACAAGCTCGAGAACGGTCCTGGCAACATAGAGGTCCTGGACGGACAAGCCTGAACTGTCAAAGATGGTGATCTCATCGTCGTCAGTCCGCCCGGGTGCGCGACCACACAACACGTCTCCAATCGCGGCAAGGTGCAAGTTTTCAGCTGCATGCTGGAACTCTCCGATGCTGCGCGATTGACTGGGCAGGTCGCAAAAGAGGCTGGCATTTTCGAACAATCCCGGAGGGAGTTCCTGCTTGCCGGAAGTGTCTGACCCCATTGATGCAACATGTGATCCGGGCTTTACCCAGTCCGCCTCAAACACCGGTTCGCAAGAGGGAGTAGCAGTAACGACAATATCCGCCCGGCGACAAGCTTCCTCGGCCGAGCAAACGGATGCTTCCAGTCCTCCCCGCCGGAGGCCGTCAGCAAATCTCGCCCCTTTTTCCCGGTTTCTTGCAACGACAAGAACATGCGTGATCCCGCGTATGCGCGACAAGGCCTGAACCTCGAACCCGGCCTGATGGCCTGCGCCAAATATCGCGAGGGTTGATGCATCTTTCCTCGCCAGAATATCGGCAGCAACGGCGTCGGCTGCCGCGGTGCGAAAAGCATTTAGGTGCCCAGCCTCGACCGCCGCGCCGATGCGTCCGGTATCCTGGTCAAACAAGAAGATAATCGAGTTGTGCCGCGGAACACCCAGTCTGTCATTGCCCGGCCAATAGGAACCGACCTTTAGACCCGCAATCTCGGCAACTGCGCAGGACTTGATTGCATAGACGTTGCTCGGGTCACTGCCATGACCAATCACGACCGGAAAGGTTGCCGTCTCGCGATCGGCGGCGGCTATGAGCGCGTTTCGAACGGCTTCGTATGCCATTCCATGTGTGGCCAACCGGGAGGACACTTCTTCCGGGACGTATTTCATGGTCTTTTCCTCACCAGCCGCTGAACCGTTGCCAGGTTTTCAATGACACGCCCGAACCTGCGGGCAGGACGTTGTAGACGCCAAAGTTGCCGGCGGTCGCGCAAGCATGCACCGGCAATATTCTGAGCAATGCACCAACGGGCAGTTCCGGCAGTGCAGAACTGCTCCCGGGCCGCACGGAAACAATTCCATGTTCCTGATTGGCCTTGACTACGATCAGATCGGAATAGGGTTTTCCGGAAGCGTCACACACCAGCCCCAATCCCTGATCGACCCGCTGCCGGGAAGGTCCCTTGTCCTGCGACAGCGCCATCCAGCCTGCGTCCGTGATGATCCAGCCCTTTTCGCGTTGATGTCCGACAACGGTGGTCAGGACAGACAGTGCAATATCATCGATCGTGCAAACGCCGATGCCAGCCTGGAAAAGGTCGAAGAATACATAGACGCCGGCGCGGACTTCGGTGACGCCGGTGAGGTCTTGCGCTGCATGCGCCGTCGGCGTCGACCCGACACTGACGACCGGGCACGGCAAACCTGCCGATCTTAGGGTTTCAGCTGCAAGAACGGCTGCTCGCCGCTCCCTTTCGGCAAAATCTGAATGTGCCGCATGACCACTCACTTCATAGCTTTCACCAGCATGTGTCAGAACGCCCCGGAGTTCGGCAGCTCCCTCATCAAGGATACGGCCTACCTCCACAAGCACCGGGTCGCCTGGATCAATTCCGCTTCTATGGCCATCACAATCGAGTTCGATCAAGGCCGGAATGGATTTGCCGGCTTGCCGAGAAGCCTCTGACACAGCCCTTGCCTGCTCCGCGCTGTCGAGAATGACTGAAAGATCACAGCCCTTTTCACGAATCTCAGCCACACGCCTCAGTTTTTGCGGGGTAATTCCGACGGCGTAGACAATGTCCCTGACACCGGCGGCGGCAAACACCTCGGCCTCGGCCAACGTGGATACCGTTGCCGGTCCCGTTCCTCCCGCGAGCAGCACTTTGGCAACATCAACGGATTTTGCCGTTTTGAGATGAGGCCGCAGCAGCGCTCCCTTACCGGAAACGTGAGTTTCCAGCCTTTGGATGTTTCTCCGCATTCGGCTCTCGTCCAAAAGAAGAGCGGGTGTTTGCAGGTCGGACAACGGGCCGTGTTCCATCTTGAGTGATTTCCTCGCGGGACAGGTGAAGGACACCAGAATACAATTTCAACACCCATAGTTTCCATTAATCATTTCTTTATTTTATGATAAGCTGTCACTTAATGCTGGAAACCAAAGATCTTCGTTTCTTTTCGGTTGTTGCCGCGTCCAGTTCCCTGGCTGCGGCGGCCAGGGCCCTTGATGTCACGCCGCCAGCCGTGTCCCAGCGCCTTGCACAAATCGAGACGCGAATAGGCCTGCAGCTTGTTGAGCGCGGTCGCGGTCGTCTCACATTGACGACAATCGGCGATGCGCTGGCTCAACGCGCTGAGATTGTGCTCGATGAAATCGAAAACATAAACGAAGAGATCCTTGCCCATAGAGACAGGATCTCCGGGCCTCTGCACGTGATCGCGCCTTTCGGTTTTGGTCGAGCGCATGTTGCACCCGTGCTGTCACAATTGGTGCAAGACCACCCGGACGTTTCCCTGAATCTCACATTGAGTGATGCACCCTATCGGGAAATCGCCTCAAGTAACTGGGACCTTCTCATCCATGTGGGTCAATTGAGAGACTCGTCGCATATTCAGCGAAAGCTGGCCTCGAACCGGCGGTTTCTGGTCGCCTCGCCGGCGTATCTGGAAAAATGGGGAACACCCGCACATCCCGGAGATCTTTCCTCGCATAGATGCGGAGTGGTTCGAGAAGATTTGGCAGACGTCACTATGTGGAGTTTTTCCGAGGTTGACGGGCCGGAGCATTCCATTCGGATTCACCCGGTATTTGCCAGCAACGACGGTGGAGTGATCAAGTCCTGGGCACTCGATGACCTGGGAATCATCCAGAGATCGGAGTGGAATGTTGCAAGAGAAATTGGCCAGGGCCAGCTTGTCCAGCTGTTGCCGGACTTCCGGCTGCCAAATGCCGACATCGTCGCCCTTCTCAGCCCCAGAACCCTTCGGACTGCCCGCGTAGATCACGCATTGAAACGCCTTGTCGACGCTTATTCATCGCCTCCCTGGAACGCGCCTGCGAGCAATGAGAGTTAAAACTGCGTGCGCGCCTTCAGCGCCTGGGCGAGCGTGCCCTCGTCGAGGTAATCGAGTTCGCCGCCGACCGGAACACCGTGGGCCAGCTTGGTGACTTTCACACCAAGTGGTGACAGCTGATCCATGATGTAATGGGCCGTCGTCTGGCCTTCGACCGTTGCGCTGATCGCCAGGATGACTTCACTGAAATCCCCGGAACCGCAGCGATCGACCAGCGCGGTCAGGTTGAGGTCTTCCGGGCCAACACCGTCGAGCGGGGACAGCGTACCGCCAAGCACATGATAACGCGCCTTGACGGCACCGGCGCGTTCCAGCGCCCAGAGGTCGGCAACATCCTCCACGACAACAAGCACGGAGCTGTCACGCTTTGGATCGGCGCAGATCGTGCAAGGATCGGACGTATCCACGGTGCCACATATGGAGCAAATACCTATTTCACTGACCGCGACACCCATGGCATCTGCCAGCGGAACCAGCAACTGCTCCTTCTTCTTGATCAGATGAAGAGCCGCACGACGGGCTGAGCGCGGGCCAAGACCGGGCAGCTTCGTCAGAAGCTGGATCAACCGCTCGATTTCCGGTCCCGCTACACTCTTTTGCACCATCAACTGCCTCCCCAAACGGTTGTCAGAATGGAAGCTTCATGCCTGCAGGAAGCCCAAGCCCACCCATCAGTTCCTGGGTTTTTTCCTGGATTGCCATCTCGATCTTCGCGCGAGCGTCGGTATGGGCGGCCATGATCAGGTCTTCAAGGATTTCGCCTTCATCCTCTTTCAGGAGCGAAGGGTCGATCTTGAGGCCTTTCAGGTCGCTTTTACCGTTGAGCGTGACCCTGACAAGGCCGGCACCCGCGACACCTTCTGCCTCGATCTCGACGATCTGTTCCTGCAGCGAGCCCATCTGCTCCTGCATTTCCTTGGCCTGCTTCATCATCTTGAGGAAGTCCATGGGATCTCTCCTTGAGTAACCGGTTGCGCCGGATCGACATCTTTCATCTGGGGATAGCGTTTAGAAGAACAATAGGGGAATTACCACCCCTGTTCCCATTGTGCCCCAGCCCGCTACGGCTTTTTGAAACAGAGAAAAAATATCCTGGCGATAAAATAGAGACCCAGACAAAAGAAGCCGCAGACAATTCCGAGAACAATCAGGAATTTAGTGAAATCTTCAATTCCACTTTTGGAGATTGCAAACATTGCAAGGAAGCAGGTTATTCCTGTCACGAAAAACAGGATAATGTTCCGCTTTATTTTTTCCTCTCTCGCTATATCTGAGCTGGCGCTGCGGCTCTCGTCAATCGTCTTCATCGTCGCCCAACGCTTCGTTCAGCAGAGGATCCGCCACCATCGGATCGGACATTGCAGCCTCGTCTTCCTCCGTCACCTGTACCTTGACGTCAACTACCCGGGCGCCCGGAAACTGCGCAAGCAAGGCGGCGACAGTCGGGTGGGACTTGGCATCGGACAAAAGTTGCTGCTGGTTGGCTTCCTGCTCCTCATGGATCGTTGGACGGCCGTGCTCGCGCGATACGACGACAAACCATCTTTGTCCGGTCCATTCCAGCAGTTTGCGGCCGAATTCGCCTGCGATATCGGCAGGGGCATCGTCCGTTGGCTGGATCTCGATCTTGCCGGGTTCAAACTTTACCAGCCGCATTTGCCGCTGGATCGCGACCTTCATCGGGATATCGCGTTTTTCCGAAGCCAGCGCCACACAATCGTGAAGGGTCTTGAGGGAATAGGCCGGCTGTTGGGGAGCCTCCTCCCGAGGCCTGGCGTCGGGCGCCACCTGCTGACCGGGCATGCCCCCCTGAATTGTTGCGAGCTGTGGCCTGACGGCGCCCTGCATTGCAGGTCCATTGCCTTCGGTTCCGGGAGACTGACCGGCGGAAGAGCGCGGCATCCCGACCGCCATCGCCTGGGCACCACCGCCGGACGGACCTGTTGTGGAGTTAGCGTCACCGGATTGGACTGGTCCGCTTGCGAAGGGGTTCCGGCCGTCTTTGACCTGCGCCAGCAAATCACCCGGATCGGGTAGATCCGCCGCATAGGCGAGGCGCACCAAAACCATATCGGCAGCTGCCAGCGGCTTGGAAGAGGCCTGTACCTCCTGAACACCCTTCAGCAGGATCTGCCAGGCCCTGGACAAAAGACGGATCGAGATTGCATCGGCGAATTCCCGTCCACGTGCTCTTTCCGCCTCGGTGACAGACGCTTCGTCTGCCGATTTCGGTGCCACCTTCATCCGGGTCACAAGGTGGGTGAAGTCGGCAAGGTCCGTCAGAACAATCGCCGGATCGGCGCCCACCTCATACTGAGCCTGAAGTTCCGCAAGCGCGTCTTCGATCCGCCCTGCCATCAGATGTCCGAACAGATCGATCACCCGCGCCCTGTCGGCAAGACCGAGCATCTGCCGAAGGTCATCGGCTTCGATCGCACCGGTTCCATGCGCCATCGCCTGATCGAGCAACGACAGCGAATCGCGTGCAGAGCCTTCACCCGCCCTGGCGATCAGCAACAGGGCGTCATCGGAAATCGCAATGCCTTCGGCATCCGAAATACGGCGCAGCAATCCGATCAGTTTCGACTGTTCGATCCGCCTGAGGTCGAACCTTTGACAGCGCGACAGCACCGTAATCGGAACTTTCCGGATTTCGGTTGTTGCAAAGATAAACTTCACATGCTCCGGCGGCTCTTCCAGCGTCTTCAAGAGACCATTGAAGGCGGCGTTCGAAAGCATATGCACTTCGTCGATGATATAGACCTTGTATCGCGCCGTTGCCGGGCGATAGCGTGCGGCATCGATGATTTCTCGAATGTCGCTGATGCCGGTATGAGACGCCGCGTCCATCTCGATGACATCGACATGGCGGCCTTCCATGATCGCCTTGCAGTGCGCCCCTTCCCGGTCAAGCCTGACCGTGGGTCTGTCAGCTTCACCCGGAACTTCATAATTGAGGCCACGTGCCAGGATCCGGGCGGTTGTCGTCTTTCCGACCCCGCGCACACCGGTCAGCATCCAAGCCTGTGCAATGCGACCCGTTTCGAAGGCATTTTCCAGCGTCTGGACCATCGGCTCCTGGCCGACCAGGTCTTCGAAGGTTTTCGGCCGGTATTTGCGCGCCAGAACGCGGTACGCGCCGTCCAGGCCCTGTGCGCCGGATTCAGTATTGCCTGTCGTGCCCGGCGCCGGCGCGCCTTCATTCGGAAAACCTGACTCATCCATGAGCCGCACCATACCGACTTTTTCAAAAATGGGGACGGGCTTTTGAAAGTTTTTCTGTGAACTCTGGAAGGGTCTATGCGTTCGTCGGCCCAACTGTCCCGCTGATTTCAAACCTGTCGGGCAACAGGAACATCTGTCTGGCATTTTCGCTGGAGACACGCTCCTTGGAGTACCAGGCGTCCATAAGAGAGCGCGAGAAAAGGTCCGGGTTCCTTTCCAGAAACTCATCGAAATTCGCGTGCGGGGTAACTTCCATGCGCTCAGCCAGCAATCCAAGAAAGGCGAGTGTTACCGTCGTGTTGAATTTGCCGCTCGCGCCTGCCTTTGTGGCAATCTCCTTCAACGCGCTGCCATAGCGCGCGGCCGCCTCGAGAAAGTCGTATCTTTGAAGCATCTGGCAAGCGACACCGATGTGATCACGGTGTGTGAAGGACCTCGCGTCCAGGATGCGCGCCTCGAACAGATCAGTCAGGTCACCGTAGTTTCCCGGTTCAGCTTTCATCTGTCCGATCCTCTAGTTTGTGACTGTCCGAGGCGCCCAGATCGAGGTCGTAAACGCTTTTCAGCTGTTCGATCTTGCGGAGCGTTTCTTCGGTAAACGGCGGTTTGTTTTCAAAGCAATGCAGCGCCAGGCCTTCAATCAGATCGCCCAACGACATGTCCAGATGCTCTGCGAGGCCTTTGAGAACCTTCAAAAGCCGCTTCTCGAGACGGACACCGGTCTGGATTCGTTCAACGGATTTGCTCATGATTGTTACATTGGTACCAAGGTAACAATTTGTCAAGCAATGTCGCGGTCACGCAGGTCCTGGTGATGCACGCAAACAAAAAACACCGCACGATGCCGGGCGGTGTTCGAACCAGGACAATTGAAGAAGGGTGGGAGGCTGGCACGATGACCCGTGCCGAGGCTCGTTAGGGCTGCTTCCTTCCGGATCTGACCCGGTTGGCGAGTGGCTCGTCCACCACCAACCTCCCGAGCGCCTTATATCAGAAACAGCATGGGGTTTGGCAAGGGGCTCGTCGAGTTGTTTATTTGCACCGAATGATTGGCGTTCATGGACGCAAAGTGGCCAGTTTCAGGCCAAAGGCCATGAACACCAGACCGGTAACACCTTTCAACCAGCGTTGGAACGACGGACTGCCGGCAGCCTTTGACATGCGCGCAAGCAACATGACCATCGCGCCGAACCAGACCACATTGATCAATGCGTGGATGCCGACCAGCGTAAACGCAGCGGACATTGCGCCGTCTCCGACCGGAATGAATTGAGGAAACGCCGCCAGGTAAAACATGGAAACTTTTGGGTTCAAGGCATTGGTCAGGAAACCTTCACCGAATGCCCGCGCCAGCGTGCGGCGGTGTCTTGCAGGACGTGACGAGGGTGCGAGTACCTTTCCTGAAATTGCATCCCGCAGCGCCTTCATGCCGATCCATATCAAATACGCCGCACCGATCATCTTGACGACAAAGAAAGCGTCAGCGGAGTGGACCAGGATCATTGATATTCCGAGAACCGACAAGGTTCCGTGCAAAAAGAAGGCAGCCACGAAGCCACCGATATTCGAAACCGCGGCCAAACGACCCGAAGTCGGAACGGTCTTGGCAATCAGCACGCCGTTCGGCCCCGGTGACAGCACCAAAAGACCCGCAACAACAGCAAAACTCAATATTGTATCCAATGGCATGACACTATCCGGAACAGAGGAATGAAAGGCGGGATAGGCGGTTCTGGAAAACCGGTTCGCATCTGTCGCAATCTACCCATATGCTGGTTAAAAGCAATCTGAACGATACCCCCGGTCGAGCGTTTCCTCGATCAACATTACCGGATCACGTTTCATGTCTTCATTCGCCCTCAATCCCCGTCTGGAAGGTGACAGTCTTTTTGTCGCCGACTTGCCGCTGTCAATGCTCCGGCTGATGAAGGATGCCAACTACCCCTGGCTGCTGCTCGTCCCGCGGAAATCCGACCTCGTTGAAATCATAGATCTGGATGAAGCGGAACAGGCGCAGTTGATGCAGGAGATCGCGCTGGTGAGCAAGCTCCTGAGAACCGTGTCGAATTGTGAAAAACTCAACATCGGAGCACTCGGCAACCAGGTCTCTCAGTTGCATGTCCATGTCATCGCCCGTTTCCGGGACGATGCGGCGTGGCCAGGTCCTGTCTGGGGCGTCGTGCCTCCCCGCGAATACGATCCGGAGAGCGCAGACAATCTGATCGATCATCTTCAGGACGCTCTGGCCGACGCAAATCGCTAGGCCTTGCTGGACAGTCTCATCATGCCGCCCTAGGGTACGGCCCAGATTATGACCCGCCAGATTTTCCAGGGATCCCAACATGAATCCAGCAGCAGCCAGTCTCCAGGCAATGGAGATGAGCTTTATTGCAAATACCCTCGATCGGCAATCAGAACGGCGCGGGAACACAAATTACATCAATGAATTACTTGAACGGCCGGGCACACGGATCGTTCTGTCCACCGACAAGACGCTCGTCTTCAAGGCCGCATCGGACCCGGAAATCGGGCACGACCTGGCTTCGGCACTGGCACTTGGCGCGGCTGCCGATGAAATGGTGTTTCTCGGCCTGAGACCGAAAAACGGTCAGGCCATGTTCGCCACTACCGTGCCACACGACGATGAGGAACTTGCCGAGCGAGCAGATCTGAATGTGCAGGACCTCAGGACGCTGGCCCTTCAAAACGCATTTTCCGACGAAGACCTGAGCGCCCTTGCCCAGGCGCGTGCGCTGATCCACTGGCATCGAACCCACCGGCATTGCTCCAGTTGCGGCGAAAAATCGTCATGGCCGAAGCGGGTTACCGGCGCGACTGTCCATCCTGCGGCACACCGCATTTTCCCCGTACCGACCCTTGCGTGATCATGCTGATTACCCACCAGGATCGTGCCCTGCTTGGCCGCCCTGCCCGCTTGCCTGAGGGCATCTACACGACGCTGGCAGGTTTCATGGAGCCAGGCGAAACCATCGAAGGGGCGGTTCGCCGGGAAGTCTTCGAGGAAAGCAGAATTGAGGTGGGAGATGTCAACCTTGTCTCCAACCAGCCGTGGCCGTTTCCCGCGAACCTGATGCTTGGGTGTATTGGAACGGCAACATCATTGGATATCGAGATCGCGGATGATGAACTGGAAGCCTGCAAATGGTGTGACAGGGCCGAAGTCAGGCAGATGCTCGACGGAACCCATCCCGAAGGCCACAGGATACCGCCGTCGATCTCGATAGCCTACGAATTGATCATGGGATGGCTGGAAGGCTCCGCGTCATGACCTGGTGCATTTACCTGACCCATCCGGAGGTCGCCATCGACCCTTCTGTACCCGTCCCGGAATGGGGGCTCTCGCCACTCGGGCAGGAACGGGCTGCAAAAGCAACGGATCTTCCATTCGCGAAAGAGATCGGCGCTGTTGTTACGAGTGCGGAAACAAAGGCTATCGAAACGGCACGGTTTTTTACCGGCAAACTGGATGTTCCGCTCCACACACGGAAAGACCTTCATGAAAACGACCGTTCGGCGACCGGTTTTCTGCCGCCGGACGAATTCGAGCAGATGGCAAACCGGTTCTTTGCAGAGCCACAGACCTCGGTTCGCGGTTGGGAACGCGCAGAAGATGCGCAAATCCGGATCGTTGGCGGTATCCGCGACGTGCTGTCCGGTATGGACAGGGATATACCGGTTCTTTTTACCGGCCATGGTGCTGCCGGTACGCTGCTCATGTGCCATCTCATGGGCCGTCCCATTTCCCGGGCATACGACCAGAAACGCGGTGGATGCTGGTACCGGTTCGAAAAAGACTGGCTCAGCACGCAAACCGGGAGCGATTTAAGCTGGATTGAGGTTTTGAGGCCGGTCGGCGTTGCCGCTGGATCGTGATAGGCTTCCATCAGAAAATGAATCTCTGGAGCCTGCCGTGATCCGTGGTCTGACGTTTGTCCTTGCCGCAATGCTGATTGCATTCATCTCCCAGCCGAAACCTGCAAACGCCGGAAAGTACGATGCCCAGTTCCGGCAGTTCCTGAATTCCGACGTTATCCCTGCCGCGCGACGGGCGGGTGTCTCGCAAGCAACTCTTGACCGGGAACTCGCCGGCCTTACGCCCGATACATCGCTTCCCGGCCTTGTCGGCCCCGGCGGCAAGGGCGCGCCTCCCAAAATCAACTTCCAGGCGGAATTCCGTTCACCCCAGCGCTATTTCCGGAACAGCCAGTTCAACTCTCTTGTACCCGGCGGCCGCCGCCTCCTGAAGAAACACGCTGCAACGCTGAAAAAGATAGAAGCCCGGTATGGTGTCCCCAAGCGCATCATTCTGGCGATCTGGGCGCGGGAGTCCGGCTACGGCGGCGCCAAAATTCCACATGACGCCCTCCGCGTCCTGGCCACTCAGGCCTTCATGGGTCAGCGCGCCGATTTCTTCAAGGGCGAACTGATCGCCGCGCTGAAGATCCTGCAAAAGGGGGACGTGTCGCGCCGCACGATGAAGAGTTCCTGGGGCGGTGCCATGGGACAACCCCAGTTTCTGCCCTCTTCCTATCTGAAATACGCTGTCGATTTCGATGGCGACGGCAAGCGCAATATCTGGACATCGGAAGTCGATACAATGGCCTCCATTGCCAACTACCTTTCTGAACATGGATGGGTAAAAGGACGCGACTGGGGCTATGAGGTCTTTTTGCCGGAAACCCTGTCCTGCACGCGTGAAGGACCGGACAATCGCCAGAAGATCTCGGCCTTCGTCAAGGAAGGCGTGAAGCGGGTCAGCGGCAAGCCGTTTCCGAGCCAGGAGCTCGGCCAGCCAGGCAATGTACTCCTGCCCGCAGGCCGCTACGGCCCGGCGTTCATAGCGACCGAAAACTTCTATGTTCTGAAGGAGTACAACGAGAGCGACACCTACGCGCTCTTTGTCGGTCACCTTGCGGACCGATACAGCGGCAACAAGGCCTTCGTGGCCGACTGGAAACCGATGAAGGACACGACAAGGGGAGCGGTACGCAACCTGCAGGTCCGTCTTGAAGGACTTGGCCATGACGTCGGCGGTGCTGACGGCCTGATCGGCTTCAAGACTCGTCGTTCAATCGGCAAGGACCAGGAGAAGAATGGATTCTTCGCGACGTGTTGGGTCGGGTGACTGGATCGATCAAAGTAATTTCCATGCTGCCCTGACAAAAGGCATGCTTACTTTTCAATCATTTGGTAATTCAGAATATGTAGTGTGCGGTAATCTGCTCCAAACATCTGCGATACGGGATGTCAATGAGACAATTACGGCAACAGTCCCTTGGATCCGCCGCGCTCGTATTTGCCGGAGCACTCATTCTTGCACTTTCATTCTTTGCCGTTTCCCTGTGGGAGTTCAGCCGCACTGAAGCTGATGATCGTGCCCGGATCGTCCAGCTTTCCGAAGCCTTCGTGAAACAATATGCAAATTCTCACTCTGAGGGAATGCCACTACCGGCAGCGTTCCGCCGCATGGGACTGGAGAATTTTCTGCAATCAAGGCTGGGAGACACAACGCACGCTCCCATGAAAATACGGGTCCCCGGTCTTCCGGGTCGCGAGCTTGGCTTCAGCGAAACCAGCCCTCATGTTGCAGAACAAATTTCGCAGATTGCCAGGCACAACGATGCGGCCATCCACGAAGAACTTCGTTTCGAAAACTCGAAAGTCATAGGCCGATCCATCTTCCCGACATTCGCCTCGTCGGAGGTTTGTGTTTCTTGCCACAACCGTGAACTCGGTGAAGACGTCTACCAGGCCGGAGACGTCATGGGGGCATTTGTCGTCGAATCCGACCTCACGGGTTATGTCGCCAGAAGCCTTGCCTATTCTGGCGTTGCATTCGGCCTCCTGATACTTGGCTACCAGTTGCTCGCAATCCGCGAAAACCGTCGAACCCGCTCGATTGTAGAACTTGAAGGCCAGGTCAAGCTGGAACGGCAAAGGCGGGAAGCCGAGGCTCATTCAAATTTCGTGCTGTCGCACGATTCGCTCACCGGTCTTGCCAGACGTTCGGTATTCATGGACAGGCTTCAGGCGTTGTGCTCGGAGCATCTTGAAACCGGGTTCTTTCTTGCGCTGGTCGATCTAGACGATTTCAAATCCATCAACGACACAATGGGCCACGATGCAGGGGATGCATTGCTGGTTGCCGTCGGAACGCGACTAAGGCAAATCGCTGTCGAAAGCGGCGGCCTAGCCGCGCGCTTCGGAGGCGATGAGTTCGCTTTGATTGTCCCGCAGTCCGATCAGTTTCCCTCCATGCAGTCTCTCGGATCGAGAATCGTCGAATTCTTGCGCTGTGAAGTGAACCACAACGGATTCTCAATCCATCCCAGCTGCTCGGTCGGCCTCTCGGCTTGCGGCATGGGATACCTTGAGGACACGACCGGATTGCTGAAATATGCCGACGCGGCGCTTTATGCGGCGAAAGACGGCGGCAAGAATCAATACTGCCAATTCAATGATCATATCCTCAGGGACCTGAACCGGCGTACCCTCATAACAAAAGCTCTTGCACAGGCGATCCAGCACGACGAGTTGCAGGTCGCATTTCAGCCAAAAACTGTCTTGCCAGTGGAAGGCCCGTCGAACTTGAGGCCCTTGCCCGGTGGGATCTGGATTCAAAATGCGTGTCTCCAAGCGAATTCGTCAGGGTCGCGGAAGAAACCGGCTCCATTCTCGACCTGGACCTCGCCACTCTCACGAAGGGCGCCCGTTTCGCCGCGACTGCCTCCAGCCAGATCTGTGCCCCTGTCAGGATCAGCTCGAATGTCTCTGCGCTTGGCTTCCGCTCGCCTCACATAGCCGAGAAGATTGTCCAGTGCCTGAAACAGGCCGGCCTGCCTCCAAGCCACCTGACGATCGAAGTCACCGAAAGTGTGCTTGTGGAAAATGTTGCTTCCGCGAACGAAAGCCTGAGCCGTCTTCGGGCCAGTGGCGTCCGCGTCGCACTCGACGATTTCGGGGTCGGGTATTCTTCGCTGCGCTATCTGCAACAGCTGGTCTTCGACGAAATCAAGATCGACCGGTCGTTCTTGCAGGACATCACCACAGACAACGAAAAGCACTTTTTGTTCCTGAAAATTGTCGAGATGGCAAAAGGCCTGAACAAGGAAGTCGTCGTTGAGGGCATTGAGACCCGCGCTCAACTCGACCTGGCCCAACTGACCGGAGCATACATCGGAGTCCCAACTTGGAATGTGTTGTGCTTCAACCGTATCGCCGCTTGCTTTTTCGTGTGCTTCTCATGGGGCATTGCGGTTACCATTCAAGCACAGCGAACCCATGACAACGCGTACAGTGTTAACTTCCCAGGGCTCAAGCGCAATGCATTATTTCTTGATAGGGTCAAGTTCGGGTCATGCCCACTGCCACCTGCGACCGTGAGGAGGCAGCTGTTTGATCCGCAGGACTGCTCATGAAGAACCGGTCGTCTCTTTTGACTTACTCAGTTCTTGAACCGAGCCCGGGTTTCGTGTCAAACGTTGGTTTCTGAACTGACTGCCTCTTCTGATTAACAAGAGTTGCTAGAAAAAACACCTGCGATGAGAGACCGGCATATTTTAACGAGTAAATGGCAACACGTGGCACCCGTTCTCTGCTTAGGACCCCGGCGACGACTAGCAAGTGGACTGGCGGACACACTGACCGGCTAATTGACTGGCTGACCAGTTCGCTGGAATTGACCCCGGATAGATAAACCGTGCCACCACTAAGGGAGGCTAGAGGATAAATCATCCCAGATCCACAATAAGTTGGATCTCCAGGTCCATCAGCGCATGAATCCTGGGTCAAAATTGTTCGGCTTGCTTTTCAAGGAGGGCCCCTTTCTGCAAACCATCCGTACCCAGTGACCCTGCCTTTTTGGGATTGATCGTTAGAAACGCCAGCAGCCCACCAAACATCGCCCCACCCTTTGCCCCGAGAGCCGCGCCGAAGCCCTGCTTCTTGCCCCAATTGAACCTCGGACGTCCGGAGATCGCGATTGACCCATCAGCGGCCGTGTTTAGCAACGATGTCAACAGCTAGGTGTTGCGAATGAGTGCTTTTGGGGCTTCATGTGCGTTTTCAGGAAAGCAAAAACAACCTGTAGAAGGACTGAGTGGAGCAGTCAAAACCATATGCCGTTGTTCCTCACAAGGGATCACAGAAGTATCCACGTATTTTCCATCTAAGTGGCTGCTGGAGTCAGCAAAAAATGAAGAGGTGTATACCCAAACAAACGAATGCGCACAACGTGGTCAGTTACTTGACCATTTTGTCCAGACTTGAACCCGCCAGCATAGTGGACAAGGTGGACTTCCGTCAAACCAAGGGGCAAACGGTGGTTTGGTTTGAGTTGGTTGTCAAACCCACTTTGCAGACATGCACTAGTCTCTCTCTCTCTCTCTCTCTCTCTCCCCCTCGCTCTCCTTCCAAAGCAACGTCTTCCATCTATTTCTCGTATTGTGTTTCTGAAGCAAGCATCGAATCACCTGTCCGAAAGACCTGGCGAGAATTCAGCTTTTGGGGTCATGACCAACTGCGGACCACAACTTGAAATCCCATTTGCTCGGTGAACCTGGTAAACAAACAAAGCACAATGGACCCCGTTTTCGGGTTCTCGGCTCCTCTCTCCGAACAAATGACTGGCCAAAACAGTTGGCTCGTTTGGGCCTTGACTAGAACCATGAAGGCGACCCACACACACACTTTGAAGTTTGCCAACTAAATAGGTCAGTCAGAGAATGTCACCTGTTTTCTACAAAGGGAGCCTTTTGGCAACCCGCTGCAATCCTTTTGCCGAATCCTTTGGGTGGGTCTTTTCTAAGCTTGGACACCCCAAAAATGGTTGTTGTTTCCTTCTGGTCGTCCTTTAAAACCCTACACAAAAAAGGTGCCAGCTCCACAAAAAGACACCCCCGCTTCCTCCGTTTGCTGAAGTCCCCTGTGAAAAAAAACAAACGACTATTCCCACTAGTGATAGATTCCCTTTAAACCCAACAAAGGAAACTGAAACCTCTTCTTGCAGCAAATGGACGTTTTTGTTTGACTGCTTCTCCCAAGCCTTTGTCCTGTGGGGCTCCGGGCTGGCCATGGTACCGAGAGCCGCCTTCCCACTCCTCCACGCCGATGCCGTGCTGAACGTCCTAGCGCACAAAGCCAACAGCTGCGGTAAAATGTGTGCTAGATAGGGAGGCCTGGCAAAAAAAATCGAAACACAGACCCTTGGTTGACGTTGGAAGGGGAGCAAACATTGATTTTTTAGCAGTTAAGTGGGGATTTCCCACTAAACCACAAGAGCAAACATGTAAAATGTATCCCAACAACAACCGTGGACCCATATCCATCTATCCTTTTAGGGAACATTGAACATGTTTTGCTCTTAGGCACCCAGTTCCGGCTGATACCCCCAGGGTTTTCACCTCCACTGGTTCTTGGGAGAAGCTAAATGTTCAGACTGTTTGTTCTGGGACTAGGTTTTGGCTTGGGATACCCTGCCCTTTTCATGGTGAAAGGGAAGGATACGCCATCCAAAACAACAATAGATAAGCGATGGCGGGTGGATGGGGAGAAGAAATGCAAAAACAAACATATCCTTTCTCCCCCTTGTGCCAGCCTGAACAAACCATTGAATTGGCTTGCATTCCATCTCCCTCTTCATCCAAGACGGACAGGTAAAGAGGATGAAGAAGACAGGATAGGGATACATGAGTGGTAGGTGAGAGCTATGAAAGGAAAGGCTCTCACACACACACTCATCCATCTCGCCAATTTGGCCCGGTTCCTTGGCAATTCTCAGACTGACACCAAAGGAAGCTGACTTTGGACTATCAAAACAACTTCACCGCAGTTTGGAAGACAACTTTTCCTGGGGAAGTTTTCTTTAGGCCTCCATGGTTGGAACAAGGGCAAGAGCCCTGTGGGACAGAAAGACTGCAGGTCATCTCACTTTTTGTTCCGCAGCTGGTTCTCTCGCTGCCTCAGCAGACGCAAGGCAAGGAAGCAAACGCAACCGGATGAAATGGTGTTGCTTACTTTCTCGGGTGCGAATTTGAGGGCCTCCAAAAAAAGATGCCTGTCCTGATCCCTTGCTGGTTTCCGTTGGGGAAATCAGATAATATGCGCTATTCAATGATTCCGCACCAAGTTGCCATATTGGTGATGAAGAAAAGGACACCCTGTTTTTGTTGGTGGCAAACGCAGGCAAACGTGTCCGAACCCACCTGTAGGTCACAAGCGGCGTGAAATCACACATTCACAGGCAAGGTTCTAAGGAATGCTGACCGAGCTATATACCAAGAACAGATATGTATACATATACATGTATACAAATATGTATTTGTTACCCTCGTTCTTGACACTTGGTTCGCTTTGGCACGTGCTTCGTCTTCAACGGAACATGGAGGATTCTATAAGCAAACAACAACTATCTGCTCTGCCTTCCGCTAACATTTGTGTCGGGACCGGGAGCAAAGGTGTGTAAAACACGAATCCCTCGGAAGGCCCGTGCGGCTACCTCTTGCCTGCGGATTCGGCAATTGATTGCAGCCCGATGTGCCAACCAAATCCTTTTCGAACACAACACTGCTCTTAAACAAAAGCGAGCATCAAGAGACAGTCCGGTGTACTGATTCCCGATGTCCCCAATGTCCAATCCCAAACCAAAAACTCAAGAACGTGCCCAGTGTACTCAACTATGACTGTAGTAAGCCACCAGGGATATCGCTCACGGATTTTTATGAAGGCGCTTGCCTGGCGAACAAAGCGCTGGCACTGAATTTCCCAAGATTCGCATGGCCAAGGCCCCGACTGCTTCCTGCGGCCGCAGGCAAATCACGGAGCACCTGAGCACAAAATCCCCAGGCTCTGGTGCTTGACTCTGTACCAAGTGGTGGATTCCTTTTGAGGTTCCTGACTTGCCCAAGAGATCTGGAAACAACAGGTTGGCCTGCACAAGTACAGAATCTCAGGAACTCAGCATTGCGTTGTCTGCAAAGGGTTCCAAACCGGCTTGGCTGCTCTTTGGTTCATTTGTTGGTCCATTTCATTTTTCGACTTGTTGGATCCAATTCGTATTTTCCCGCAAGCGAAACAAATTGACCAGGTGCAAAGCCTTGTGAGTCGCTGAATCTAGCAGCTTCGGCAAGGGGTCCCTGCGGTGCCATGACAAGCCATGGCCTGTGCGCCCATTGAAGCCGCTTCCTGAAAGACCAAGAGTCGTGTCATGCTGAACGGGGAGATATTCCATATTCCCTCACGCCCTCAATGGATTTGGACCCGCGTGGCTGCCTAACCATGACCGTGATGCTAAGCTTCCGAAACCCGGGCCATATGCCATCCACATCCCTGATTGGACCATCTGGGTGAATCTACAAGCACCCTTGGTTGGACGCTCACCTTTCAAACTACCGGCCTTCCGAGACGTAGACTCAAGGGACTTAGAAGAAAGAGATCCAGAAGTTGGGACAAAGAGAATTCATTTCTAGAACCCTTTCCCTTTTCTCATCTTAAGGGTGCAACGACCGAGCTGCCGAACGAGCTGCGGAACGAGGCACTTGGGCGAGCAACCCGGATCCAGCAGGCCCAACCTTGCCAGCGAGAAGTCTCGGGTCTCGCCCAACCCACATCGGCGCATCGGGGCATCGGGGCCCCAAACTGCCCCGGTTTTTTTCCTATGGGCTGGTCTCCCCTTAAAAAAACATAATATTATGTGTTGTGTTAATATATATATATATATATATTTACACAAAAAAAGAAACATAGGCTTCTCGCTGTAGGACACACCAAACCCAAGGCGGTAACGCCTGTGCAGGATATGTCCCGCAGGATTCAAGTTGCATTCAGTGTTTGACTTTGCAGGCTTGTGGGCTGTGCTTCACACCGTCCATCGACCCACGGGTCCCCGGCTCTCCTTTGTACCTCGCAGAGATCAAAAGGCCAATGGCAAAACTGCTCGGGCGGAAAGCTTGATTCCCTGAACTTTGAGGGTAAACCAGCCAATGATGCTGGCCTATCTCTTTCCTGATACAAGCTTGGCATGTCCGAATTTCTCAATCGCCCAGCCAGGACTTTTCAAATGTGAATCAACATGTCCGGCCTTGACGCCACACGCAAGCTCACCAAAAGCGTCTCTGACCTTGCTTTCAAAACTCCAAACAAGTCCAATTTCATATCTGTTGAAGAGAGCTAGGGCTGTGCATGTGTTTGTAGCCCGTTTGCTACCGTTTGTGGCACGATTCGGGAGTACGTTGTTTACACAACTTGGTGGTTCGCTGATCCCTTTTCAAAAATGACACCTTTGGTGGGATCGGGACATGTCATAATCCCTTCTAAACTCTAAAGCTGAAAAGTCGGAAGATATGGCTGGGGACCGCCGTAATACTTCGCTGTCCTGAGATCCCCTGCTAAAAATGACTAACTTTTAGTGGGTTAAATGGCCCCCCCCAAACTAAACCAACTAACAAGAACCTAAAAGTCTAAGGAACGGACGATGTGCTGGGGACCGCCAAAAAGAAAAGAGGACAACCCCCCCGGGGCACCCGGATCGCTCCTGGGCAAAGAGCAAGCGATCCGTGTCCACCACTTGCATGCAGCGCAGCGCCTCGCTTGCTGACTTGCTGATGGCGCCCATTTCTTGGGGCTGGGAGTGACGAAACAAGGAACTCCTGTTGTGGGTCATGGCTCCACAAACTTCTGTTTGTGGGTCATCGTCATGGCTCCCGCAACCAAAATGGCTTGCCCTGCTAAAGGGGGGACCATTGCGGGTGATGATAAAACAAAAAAAACTTCTTTGTGTGGGCCACGGTCATGTGTGATGGCTCCCTTACCCTCTTTTCAACAATCATGGAAGTGGACAAGAGGCTCCCCAAAGGACCCTGTCCGCTGGTTTGTTGCAAGCAACATACGGTCGTGTCCTGAATTCGGGAATTCCACAAAATGAACTGTTTTCTGTTGGCTTCCCTTAACAACTATATTAATATTGCGTCCAAAAGAAAATCCCGAAAACTCGCAGGCTCCCGCCACATCGAAGCATCTATTCAAATCACTGGGGTAGTATTTATCTCTGGATCGATGTGGAATTGTGAGGGCGTCACCCGCAACTCTTAACTGAGTGACATGTTGGTTCCAGGTGCTAGAAACGGGGACAACAGGTAGAACACGCAAGTCGTTCTCAGATCCACTGCGTTCTCAAATGTTCTGCTGTCAACAACAGCATATCAGCCTTGAGCTGGTGAATATGCAAGGCGCAGCCAAAGTACCAACTGAACCTCTATAGATTGACACCCTCCGGTCCATTTCAGATAAAAACCCTCTGGCATTTTCCCTCAACCTGATAAGTGGTTCATCCTTCTCCCGCGGTCAACATCCTCCCCAATGCCTCAGTCCCGGTTCCGGCCGAGGCGCCGTTTGAAAGCCAGGGCTTTCAGCATCAAAGGCGCCGCCCTGAGGAGTTCGATTCTGGGACTTCTTTTTTTTGCTTGATGTTCAAAGGCGAACAGCCTTTAAGGTTAAAAGGAACACGAACCATGGGTCTCCTATCTGAAACACCAGGCAGGGGTTCTTAATTCTGAAAGACATCCATGGTCACTTTCCTTGGGGGCCCTTTATTTCTCCAAGCGGATGTGTTTGTTTAAGGAAAGCGCACCCTCACAGGCTCATCTGCTTGCGTCGAACGGCCTCCAAATTTGTTTGTAGTCGTGTTATTTTTCAAACATCCACCTTCACTACTGCGGCCTCAAAACGCACGATTTAGAGTGAAGCCGGCTAACCTCTGGAAATCTCGAGGAGTGATCAAGCAACTATATTATATCTAAACACACTGTCCACATATATATATATATACATACATATATATATATATATATGCATGTTTGCATATATGTATATATATATATCTATACATATATATATATACACATGGTACTGTACGCCCTCCCTGGTGCCTAGGTTTCTCTGTATTTTACCCACCTTGTTCAGGACTTGTTGATTCTTTTTGGCCAAACATGGGCACCAAGGAAGGCGGGTGTGTCATAATTCTACATACTGGTATTTGTTTGGCCAAACATGGGCAGCAAGGAACGGGGGTGTGCCATAATAGCCGTTATTAAGGAATCTAGATCCAGGATCCAAGCACCAAGAGTGCTGGGGGACTTTCAATGTGAATATCATGTTTTGCTGTTGCCAGGCGTTCTTAAAAAAGGTTTGAAACAATAATATGGAGTTCAAGATTCAAGATCCAATATTTTCTGGAATTCTTGAATCTTCAATCAACACAGACATGTTGTGATCCAAACGCACTAAAACACCTCAGTACCAGTTTAAGGAATCTGGTGGATCTTGAATCTTGGATCCAGGTTCTTCAATACCGGGTATTTGGGAATCTGCATGACAGCACCCAGAAAATGGTATACCGGTATCAATGCATGGATCCCAGATTCCCTCAAACTAAAACGTCTTCCGGCAATCTTGGATCTTGGATCTCGGATCCAGATTCCTTAATACCGGCTATTCAGGAACCTACATGACAGCACTAAACCTTAATACCGGTATTCAGAATTCAGGGAGCTTCATGGATCCACCCTCGCAAGTCCTCCGGCCATCTTGGATCTTGGACCCAGATTCCTTCATGCACATTCGCAAGCGAGATCGAAGCCCTCCCAAAGAAGAGTGACCCCCGACCCCAATCCATGTTCTTCTTGAGTGAAACACTGTCTCTCACGGCATTTGGTGAGAGACACAATACCAGGTATCAAGAAATCTCAGTACAGTACTAAGACGCCTTTATACCGCTTGCAGCAATCTTGAATGTTGGGTCTTGCATCCAGATTGCTTAAAACCGATATCAAGAAACCTGAATACCAGTACTAAGAAATCTGAATACCGGTGCTTATAAGGGGGAGACATTCAAATAGAAGCTGTCCCCCAAAAGTCCCGCAGTTCAGCGTGTTGGATCTAAATACTGTCTTGAGTTGAGACCCAGCAGTGATAATTTATTGGCAAGATGCGTGTTTTTCTCTTTTGGTTCCAGCAATGTTCGCATTTCCTTTGTTAATCCCGTTTCTGTACCTTCCCGAGGGTCCGGCGAGTTTACATCTTACTTGGAACGCTTGTTTTCTCGTGTTGTGATAGTGGAATTCCGTTCCGTCCAAAACTGAAGTAAAATGGCTTTTTACGCTACTATTGCCTTAAACTGAGATACAATTGAACCAAATATGGCACCACGGGGGGGTGTATCATGTATATACATATATACATATACAATGATACATGTGTATAATATGTGTGTGTATCATATATATATATATATGTATGTACATGTATCGAGTCTGCACATATTTCATATTCTTCATCGCCGCCGCCGACTCGCCGGCCTTGCCAGGCGTGAAGTCCGCCGCCTTGGCGCACCAGGCGAAGGACACCTCCGCCATGGCCTCGCGCTGCGTCCGCCGCCGACTATGGAATGACTTCATAAGCCATCCAACTGGTGGTTTTTGTAGTTGGAATGACCGCTGTTGTACATTTGCAGCTCTAACGGGACATTTCTGTGAAATGCGACGATGGTGCTTCGGGGCATCTGCCTGATGCACACTAGGTTGATATTCCTCGGAAATTGTGAAGTAATTATCAACTTGCAAACAAATTCGCAATATCACGCACTTTTATCTGTATCACCGGTCATACTACAAACCAACACAGTGTGCGGGGTTTTGTCAAAGTTACCTTGTCAACAGGCATGCCCTAGCAACCGGTCCAAAAACGTCTTCAGCATAGCTGAAACTACAATTTGGGAACATGAGTCAACTGGAACAGTTTGGACATGGAAAAAAGGATGTCATGTAACAATGTACCTCATCTCCAAGAAAGCAACGCCATTCGCACAAGATGGGGCTGCTTGACGATTGAAGCATTTCTTTTTTTGCCCCGTAGCACCGAAGTGCACGGTTTCTGACTTCGGCTTACCTCCAATTGGCGGTTTGGTGGTTAAGGAGGCTTCCCATCCATCCACAGCCAGGGCTGATGGGAGCCAGGGGTTCAACAAACCAAATCCAAATCCAATCCAAACCAATCCAAGGGCTTAACTGGATGGCACCCGCAGGCCATGGGGATTTTTGGACCCAAGCGTGCCAATCGCTCCTGGCTGCAGGGATGCATATGCAGCTCGGTGCCCTGGCCGCGGTGGTGGTTCTCCTTGCTGGACACCTCCGGCATCGCCCCATCGAGTCTCCCGCGTCCCGCTTCGAGTCGGTGGCATTGATAGGTGGGGACTCTGGGAATTCACCTGGGGATTCCCTTAAAGGAAGTTATACAGGATGGGATTCCCTTAACGGAACCAGAGGGGGTGGTTTAGAGGGGAAATTCCCTAGAAGGAAACCAAATCGGGGACGGTTTACAGGCCGCGCTTGATCAGATTGGACATTCACTGCGCCCGTCAAAGAGCACACACACAACGATGTAATCCACTGATTTAATTCAGCTGCCGAGTTGAGGCAGCCTTAACGACCAACGTTGGCCAACAAAAACAAGTGTTCAACTTTGCCAACCGAGGAGGCAGGTCCAAAAAAAGTGCGAAACACATACTTACCAACTGAGGCAGTGGTCAACTGCATTTCTATTGCAACTCCCCTCTTCTAGGTCCTCCAGTAAAGAGGTTAGAATATGGGTACCCTTTTCTCTGTAGTCTATTCTAGTAGGGGACTATCCCCAAAGAAAAGAAACGGTACAAGGGCACCAATCGCTGGGGGACCTAGCCTTCTCGCAGATTGCCCCCCGCCCTCCGCCTGGCCGTAGCAGCAGGGCACCAGGCAGACCGCGGCCTGGCGGCTCTGCGCCAGGCGCAAGACGGCGTCCGCCAGCAAGCCGCAGGTGTGGAGCCCCAGCGCCAGCCCGAAGTCCTCGTCGGCGCTCGTCACGTCGACGCTCGACGTGCGGCGGACTACCGCGTTTCGTTTTCGGTGGCTGGAGCCGGCGGTTTCTGTTTGGGGTCTCGTGCCAAGGGGTGTGTTTTGTTGGTTTTGGTGGGGGCTGGTGCTTTGAAGGGGTGCACCAAAAAGGAAAACCGGTTGGCCATTTTGGGGGAAACATGAACAAGGGCTGGTTGTTGAAAAGCTCGATGGTTGAAAAGAATTGGAACTGCGAATACTAGGAAAATCGTCTCAAAGGGAAGAAGTTGGGTGTCTATGGCAAACTCTGCCCAGTCAGGAAATTCAACTATCACTACGAAATTATTTTTGTCTCGTTCTTACACTCATCTCCTATGTCTGCGGCTTAATCTGCAAGCGCACAACATTCAACTGGCCACACAGTTAATTACGGCCGAACCAAGCTCCTTGGGTTGACGGTGAAAGCTTTCAAACCTTTACCTGCAAGCGGTACGTCCTGACCGGTGCCCGCAAACTCATCCACTGTGCCCTGGAATACCCCGCAGTTGCCGATGCCAGTGTTCCTTGCAAGCAGGCTGATGCAAAGAAAGTCCTCTCCTGTTGCACGGATGGCTCCCCGAACAACCTTACTTCCTTTCTTGTTGTGCAAGGATGGGGCCATGCCCCCAAACGCCAGCCTCAAAAGACTCCAGCAACATGACAGTTGCCTACATCCTGCTTCACGAGTTGATGAGCATCTAGTGACGCGGTGCTTCAGCCAACTGGCTGAGAAGCCACTAGCAACAAGCACCCAGCCGATGGCGGAGCCTGAGCTGATGAAGAAACAGTCAAATATGTTCAACCAAGTTTGCCCCGCCTGGACACGGGAAGTGGCTTCGGAATCAACAAGCCGAATCTTTGGGCACTCAGGAGACTCCCTGTGGTTGGTCCCCAATCTCGACCAAGTTTGCTCCTGTTTGAACATTCAAGTAGTATAATTCACAAACCGGAATACAGGAAATCCCAACTTTATCTTCATGGGTGAGCTCGTTTCACCCCTAGGTGAGCTCGCTATTTGACAAAGCCATTGCAACCATTAGTCTAGAAATGGTTTGGAGGCGGCTTGTGCGGATCCACACCCTCGCAGGATATCAAACAAATGCTAACAGAGTACCACATACAAGGGACACCAGGGGGAAGAACCGGTGAACTCCACCAACGGGCATCCAACGCCGTTTTCTAGGATTCATGGCAGGGCGCTCCACGCGTGCACGCGCCACCTTGCAGGAGTACTCCTTTGCCTCAGCAGCGCGCGCTGACATGTCATCTCCCGTGCTCTGAAACGTGCAACGTGGAACTCACCGGGAGTTACCTTAAAAAGGAAAATGGTCTCCCAGGGGCCTCCAGCCACATGGTGGATGGGAGGGTAAGAACCAGTCAAATGTTGGTGGATGGGAGGGTAAGAACCAGTCAAATGTTGGTGGATGGGAGGGTCATAAAGGAATATCGTGAGAGAAGTGTTCTTACGCAGCGTTCGTACAAGAGTTGGCGATTCACCCCTGACCATTGCAGAAGCAAGTCCCCGCGGACACATGTTGGGTATGTGCTCCGACTGGGCAGGAGCAACCTGAGTGCTGCATTCTCAAACATTTTTGTGACAGAAACAAAGTCATCATCTCGGCAATTGGAATGCCAATCTGCTTTCAGGAGGGTGCCTCATGAGTCCGAAGGGTTCCGATTCTCCGCACTTCCCTTTCCACACAACCACTTCAGGAGGCAAATTCCGCCTCCACCAGCCTCAGTGATACCCTGTGCACAATTCAATTCAGACAAAATCCAAACAACCATTTTTTTGTATATATATATATACATAGAGGAACCCTTTTTGGAGGACCGCCACCATTTTCAGTCTTCACATTAAAAATCCGGCCGTTCAAGTATGTGTCTGAATATGCCGATGCTCAGGGAATGAAAAATGGAATGACCCCGATTAAACCATCCCCTGGTGGTTTCCTTGAAGGGGACAGCCTGGGCTCATTCAACCACATTCCCTACCTATCGCATCAAATTCATCAGCGCCTCCACGAGGATCACGTGACTCGAAGGCGCCAAATAGGCGACCAGCAGCCCGAGGTGCCCGGACCCCGCGCCGAATTCCACCACCTGACATCATTTGGGTCAGCAAGAATTGGACCGCAGGCTTTAGTCAGTTTGTTTTTGAATTCCGCATTTAGTCAGGCTTTAGTCAGGTTTAGTCATTAGTTTTTCGCATTTACCAGGGCAACCCATTTTGGAACGCCTTTTCTTGGCCAGCCATTTAAGACCAGAGCCAGTCAGTCATTCCACCTGGTTGCACCTGGTTGCTGGGACGGTGTTTCTTTTCCTCGTTTCCCCGAAAGTGATTCGGGTGTGCCGTGCATGGACGGAAAGCCGGCTCGCTCCCGTTGACAACTTCAAGCCGCCCGGCCATAGCGCCAGGATCCAGCATGGCCAGCGCATAAGCAGCCAGGCTCTCTACCTGCAAAATCCCAAGCCCCTCTGCGCCGCTGTCTTCCCTTGTTGGGTGGACAGGCCGCACTGGCCAACCGTTCTGCTTTTTTGAGCTAATTCTTCTCTGAGTGGGAAAATACGTACCGAGCAAAGAAGAAGATTGGTTTGTGCAGTTGGTTGATGTTCCTTAGTGACCTGGAACTGCTCGTGAAGCCTGCCCCTACACCCCCACACTTGCTGGAGTTTCAATATGGTGCAGCTGTGGGGATCTGAAACAGAATGTGAGGAAGAAACAAGGGAGGTATTCTCCTTCATTTATCCGGGATGACCTGAGTGCCATAGTGTCCCTAATTCCTTGGGTAGATCATGGCACCGTTCTCCAAACTGGCAGCAGTGTTGGAGTTTCCTATATTCTCAAGGTTGCCCCCGATGATTGCCCAACAAAACGAGAAGCCTGACAGACTTTCTGCTCCTCATTGCTCCTTTTGAGACCTGTTGATCTGCGAAAAGACTGGGCCAAAGCCCTGACCATAGCACTGCAGCTTTTCGACTTTCTTTGATTTTCGGCCCAGCCAGTTTTTCGGTCAGAGTTCCATTGTTTCCCTTTTAAACACCAACCCTGACTGGAAACTCCCAATCAAAATTGGCAACAAACGAGAGCCACTCAACGAGAACCCTTGGTCCATAGATGCCGGACGATTCTAGAGTGAGCTGTCGCGATCTTTTGCAGCTTTTCTGGAATTTGAGAGAAAGAAACCATTGGGCAAAAGACGCCGGTGCAAAACGAAGCATGTAACAAACTTGCCTCATGTTGACTTTAAATACGTATAGACACACATACAAGTGAACCCTCTTGATGGTTCCAAACGGCCAGCAACATGAACCCAAGCATCCGCAGGGCGCCCAGGTCGTGTTTTTCCTCTGAACATCCTCCCCTTAAAATCAACGGGGTAGGTTCTACCGAAGTCTCAGCGGTTTTACCATAACATCACCACTCACGACCGAGCGGTGCCTGCCGGCGCTTGCGCTGCGCCCTGCCCTGGTCCAACTCGCCCTCGGCCGGGTCCAGGGCCTGAAGGCAAAAGGGACACCAGAGGAAGTGATGGTAGCAGGGATCCGGATGCATGAAACACGCCCGAACATTGCGACTTGTGAATGGTGGTTTCCAACTTATTTTTGGTGTCGAAAAAGCAACATGGTATTTTTTAAGGAGCCCTGGGTAGCCCCATGTTTTGGGGAAGCAAAAGGGAAACCAAAGGAACATCACTGCGTTTGGGGTCCAGCCCAAAAAAGCCGGACCCGTTTTCAAGCAAATTCAAAACGAGAGTCAACAGGCGCCGGGCCTGATTCATGCTAATCAAGGTCTGGGGAAAGGAGGGGCCGGGAGGTGCTCCAGAAGTGGATTGGAGAAGCCCAAGCAGGGCAACGTGCTTCACGGTTTCTGCATGGTTTCTGCCAGCCGGGCAATGACTTTTTAGCCGCACGATCAGCGTCACCTACGATTGGACACGTGTGCTTGACCAAAAAACAAACAAACATCTCTTTGGGGATCCGCTTCGATTCAGCCGCGGCGCAACATGATGCCAGCTTTTGCGCTTGCGCACCCTGTCCGTGGAGAAGTTGAGGAGGGTTCTGACACCAGTTTCCATCGGCCCGTGCCACAGTAGTTCTGGACTAAGCCTTCAACAAGCAAAAATGCATGAGTTCCAATCAGGTTCCGGGGCAGGAGCATGCTATCGTTTCCCCCAATCTTCACGATTGGTATTTGCCAGGTTGGGACTTCTTGCGATCGCATGTAGAATCAAAGGGCACATTGAAGGGACCTCAACAGGCATCCGGATGCATTATACACCTGAACATTGCAACTTGTCAATGGTGGTTTCCAACTTGTTTTTGGTGTTGAAAAAGCAACATGTTTCAAATGGTGGCAAAACGAATCTTTTCAGCCCTGTTGACTCAAAAAGGGAGAAGCTTCCTTTGGATGGCGCCCTGCCGCTCCATGTCGCGGTTGGAGCCTTGGGAAGCTCTTCCCAGCAAATGGCGAGTGCAGGCCGGGGGGCCCGCGGAACCGCTTCCACCAGCTGGCTCACCTGGCATACTCTTGGATGGTTGCGAAATCCGTTTCGCGGCACTGGTCAGAAACCCTGGTTTCTGAATGATTCCCTTGTAAATACCAACAAAACATGGCTTCCCATGTTTTCAAGGTGGTGCGAGCAGAGTCTTGTCTACCCACAGTAGCTTGGCCACAAGAGCCCCTGCAACAAGTCAACTGTGTTCCCAACAGCTGGAAGCTTTGGGGTCTTTGCGTGAGGGTGAGGATGAGGAAAGAGGCAACACTGATCTTGTTGCTGTCTTCCAAGACACCTGACACATGTTTTTGCGGCTCCTGTCAAAGACCAAAGCCCATGCTTTTGGAAAGTTGCTTTTTCCGTGCCAAGATGGGCCATCGGCAATGCATGACTACTTTCTCGCTCGGAATAACTCCCTGGGTATCAGAGCATCACTGGCCTGACCAAACTTGCCATGCCGTCTTCTGAGCCCCCCCCCAACGTTCACCAAATGGCTGGCACCCCATTTACTATGCTCAACTCCCATAAGATATACCAAGGGCACCTAGCCCCTTAGCTGACTCCCAGGTCCCAGCCCGCCCACTAGCGCGCCGATTTCCGCGCCTCCGCCCAGTTCCTGTCGAGCGCCGCCTGGCGCTGCTCGGCCTTTCGACGGAAGCCATAGCGCCCGGGGATGGACGCGTCCATCGGGACCAGACGCCCCGCGGCTCACGGCAGGCGACTTGGAGCCAGAGTCGGAGTCGGATACGCGCCCGACTTGGGGCTTGATCTCCATCGACTCAGCCGAATGGGGAATGTAACTAAGAGCTTGGAGCCGATGCAAGCTTCACGTGCTGGCCTACCATTGGATGAACTCTAGAAACACAAAAACTCAGCTTCCAGACTGTTGCTGGGAAAGAGTGGCTAAGAGATCCAACTTTGGCGCCAGTATCTTCAAATTAGATGGTGCCAGTTGACATGGTCTAGCTTGGTCTGTTGCTTTTGGCTTGATTGCAGATCCTTTTAGCCATTCCTGCGTCCAGCAAGTTCAACAAACCATGGCTCAAATTGTGTTGCGTCAAGCTTGTAGCATATCCAAACTGGTGTGCCAAGCATTAGCCGGACAGAAAAGTCTACGCAACACACCTAGGTATGCTTGCACACACACACACACACATACGTGCGTACATCTATATACATATAGCATACATATGTCCACACAGTTACTTGTGAATGTAAATGTACATGCATACGTATATACAAAGATATGTATCTCTACACATGCATGTGTGCTGAGTGCCGTGTTCATTTCAGTAGAACCACATAGCTCTTGTCCCCAAGCGGTGCTCTCAACATGTTTTTGTCGGTTGAGCTTCAAATGCGGCGGCGCGGAGCAACGTGCAGCAAGGTATCAATATATACGAGGCACAGTCAAACGTTGTTGTGGTTTCTACTGACATGGACACCTGGTAACGCTAATTTTCTGACAAAGCGGCGAGTGCACTGTATGCAATCTGAATCTGCTTGTTTTCTCTGCCCCTACGCCGATCTTTCCAAATGGCATAGAGTCGGGGAAAAAAACAAAAAACAAAAACAACAATAAGAAAACCGGACAGCAAGTAAAATACACACAAACCAAGCACAAGCAGGAAGCTGCGCTCGTTTGTCTCGTTTCCATGAGCGAACTCTTAACAAACTCTAAGTTCTTCGAGGAACTCCTGGGGTGCTGGGGCTTCACCTTGAGAATTTCGTGGGACGCACCAAACTTCTGTCAGCTGGATGTTCTGCCAGCGCGTACGTGTGCTAAGCCGCTAAGACCACTTACACATGAAAAGTTGAGCCCCACAAATCCTGAAAGGATGGGCAAGCGATTGGAGTTCGGCTGTCTCAGACATGCACATATGCTTTTTACGTGTGTATATATACATATATATGTATGTATGTTATATGTATGTATACGTTAAAAGCAAAAAAACGATTCCATGGATTGCTTCACCCGGTAAATCCATCATGTATCAACTCACCCTGCCCCAGGTGATCTGTGGTTCAAGAAGCCAGGGACATCTAAGGTGCACGTGGCCTGCACCCACTGCCCGCGGTAGGTGGTGAGACCGTGCTTGTGCACGTAGAGACCTGCAAGGAACCGCGCTTGGCTCTGGGCGCTGAGGAACCACCCCAACTGGCCACTGGCGAATAGAGGGCCCCTTGTTGCCTATGTCCAGTAGAGAGGTTAGAGTTTCTGGTACCAACTTTTCTCTGTAGTCTATGTTAGGGGAACCATCCCCCCAAAAAAGGGTAAAAGGGCAGTACTGGCGGACCTAGTTGCAAGCTTCACTGGCGCATAGAGGGTCTGACACACCCAACGCCCTTCTACTATCTTCCAATTGGGGGAAGTAGACATGGCTTGTTTGAAACCAGGAACCCAATCTACCTGGGCTCCAGACCGTTTGACACACATCTGACTCATTTGTTGCACGGCTTTGCTCCGAATCCAATATCTATGCCACAGTTCCAATCAGGATGTTCAACCAACTGAGTGGAAAAGGAGGTTCCACGCTGGAGTGGGTCAACAGGGCACGGCTGACTGATGGCCAAGAATCATAAACTATGTACTCGGCAGGTTAACTATCCAAGAAAGGCTTTAGCTCAGAATGTTCCGCCGCAGGCTCAGCATTCCAGCCAACATGTTTTTGTTTTTTTGTATTAAGAAGCTGTGAACAGCATTGCAACAGCACTTTCAGGAGGGATCCACGTCACTTTCAGCGCACACCCTCTGACATGCTGGGGTAAACGGTCGAGCGACAAAAGGGTAGTAGGTTCCGATAGACTTCGGCAAAAGAAAACTGAGGCCTGTCCTTGACAGTTTTGCTGACAGAGAAGGGAGGATAAATCTAAGTTGCACTTTGGGCTGAACATGCTTGGATTTTCTGGAAAGCGACCCCCATCTGAAACTTGAGCATCGGCCGAAGTGACTCCCAACCTGAAAACAACCCAAGCACGACAAGGGAGACCACTACCACGTGGCATGACCAAGGAATTATTTGTGACCCATCCAACCTAGCTGGACTGTCCTCGGATCCCCCTGCTGAAAGTTTAACTTTCAGTGGGTTTTGCGGAAACTACCACTGAACCCTAAAAGCCTAAAAACCTACATTAACAAGGGGACAGCCGAGAATCGCCAACCTGACTGGTGGATTGTGATGAGCTCAGGGCGGAAATGTTCCAATCTGAAGTCCGTCCGTATTCCTGGCCTAGGCCTTCAGCCGCGCTCTTCCTGCGATGCGCATCGCTGGCTGGAAATTCGAGCCCCCGGACGAGTCGACAGGATCTTCGAACCGCTATGGGCGGGGGCCCCCCAATTGTAAGGATGACTAAACTAAGAATAGCACCGTGGCCTCAAGAGGAAACAAACACATGGCCATGGGTCATAACCTATGCCTCCATTTTGGGGCGGATGAACACCCATGTACCACCTATTGTGACGTTCACCAGGGGCACAGGGTTTTGACCCACAGCCACATGTGAAACCTGCAGTCGGACTCTCAAATATTGGCGGTGCACCTATCCTGGAAACTGGACGCTTGTCGCAAGCGACATCAGTCCTCCACTGGCCGATGAACACATCGCCGTCTGCATGCACGAACTGCCCGTGGCCCTAGCAAGGCACCGCTCATTTGAGCCCCGGCAAAGATTGCCGAGTTCCGCCTGACTTGTCTGTCTGGAAGATGTGGGGCTGGCCTCTCCAATCCAACAATGGACTAGCAAGACTATGGTCAGTACGTCATGTCTGTGTGTGTGTGTCTGTGTGTGTGTGTGTCTGCGTAATTTGCGAGATGTGCGAAATGTTTTAGAAACTCTTCAATGGTCCGGTTCCCTCTTGGTATCTTGCCGCACCTCGCCAAACAATGGGCGGCGCTGTGAAAGACTGCTACAGTATCTCGTGGTTCGAGCGCTGTATTCAAACAACAGCACTTGCCGTATTAATGTGGCCATGGGTCAAAACCCTGTACCCCCAGTGAACATCCCAATCCCCACAAAGCATGAACTAAATTGGGTGGTGCACCTATCCCAAAATGGTACCGTTGGTTTTGACCCACAGCCATGTGCCAAACAATGGACCCCTGCGAGTGGTTCGTCACTGTTGGCCCTTTCTTTCAATAAACAAACAGGATCCCCTATTCTGGCACGCCGTCCGCAGCTGTGCCTCGGCGTAGTTGTTACGCCACTCGCCGGTGAAAGCGGCACCGTCCGGCCATTCTTGCCGGCCTGGCAAGAATGCGACTCGCAACTCCAGGCATGTCATTCTGGCTTTACCTTAACGACAAGTTGCGAGCCACACATCCCAAAAAGTGTTGAATCAAGTGATGAACTGGATAGTTCTTTGGTTTCACTATGAGAGACGTCATACTGACGGCGCTCAAACACATTAAGTAACAATACGTGGGGTTCCGACATGAAAGCAAACATCCATCTGCGCGCCTGGGACAATGCCTTGTTAACCCGTTTCACGTACCAGCGGCTTCTGACCAGCGGCTTTGCACGGGAAAAAATGTCGCATGTGCCAAGGAAATCCGCTTACCCACTAAGCATGTTCACCTATGTTCACTTTGAACCGGGTTGGGAGGGCAAGCAGGTGATCATTTCTTGCAACTGGAATGGATATCTGTGCAAAGTCAGTCATAGAGACTCTTTTCAACGGTTGTCATGTTGGTCCCCGTTAAATACTGCAGGTTGCATTGCCCTTGACTCGCGAGCTGCGGTTCAGCCGAGGTCTCGCGTCCGCTCGCGTCTGGGTCGCCGGACCGATGCCATGCCGCTGGTTGCCCTTCCATTGGCCCTTGTAAGTGGCACCTGCCGAAGCGAAGGATTCAAAGGCTAGGGGCCTTGGCACTTGGCCCCTGCAAAAGGAAGCAACAGGTTTGCACAGCCATTAAACAAAAAAAACAACAACATGTGGTACATCTTAAGAAACAACTGATTAGCCCCATCCTGGCCGAAGGCCAGGTTGCGCATGGCCCTGGGAGGCATTCATGCGCCACGTGAGGCTCATTTTTCTTCGGCACGGAAACTCACCTAACATTGGCACCGTAAAGTGATGTTTGAAACGGCTTAAAGAAGGGAACGTGGCCATGAGCAACCTGCAAGCACCCGGATTCGGCTTGGATCTTGCCTGCCCTTCACTGCCCTACTATTCTTTGCGCCTTAGGCTTCAGAGTTTAAAAAGAAAATCAGTGGGTGTGTCCGCCCTAAACGCAAATGATTTCTCCACAAAAGGTAAAGCTTGTCTTGGCACAGGGAGCTGAATGCCTTGTCCAAACGAAAAGGCCTCAACCCCCCCCCCCTCCCGGTCCCCGTGAGGGTTGCTGTATTGATGTTCGACATTGTTTTAACATACTTTCTTTGGATTGGAAGCTTTCGCCCTGGGACTTTGTTGTTCGGGCTGCGAATGTGGGCAGGCTCTTCCAAGCAGGAAGTTCAATCTTGACTGCAGCATGGCAACAGAAGTGAGAGGGGGCCATGCTTGCGGCAGTGTTTGTTGTTGCTCCATCGTTAGGAGTGATAAAGAACTCAACAAGTGTTGGTGACTTCATGGTCGCTCATTTGAGGCCAACTCATATGGGCCGAGCACATTTCATCGGAGTTTGCTCAGGTCAAAACATCCTCATTCAGGCGTTCGTAGTCCTACTTCCTTTTCATGGCGCAGCTCAAAGCCCAAGGAAGCGCAACCACCTGTGTTCAATCGCTTCGAACTCAATTGACTTCAACCCACGGCCCAAGAAGCTGCCAGGCGCGCGAATCGCGGACACGCGGAGCGTGGCGACTTTTTTTTCTTAGTGCGTCCGCAGCTCAGACCTCAGCGCCGCCGCCGCTCCCGGTCCTTGCCTCGAGTGGATTGGGCGACTTGGGCGCTGCACACGTGTGACCTGTGACACGTATCCCCAACCATCCACTTGGAGGAGTCTCCATTTAAGCACTGCTCTCCCTCTTGAAAACTGGCAGAAGGAGTCCAATCGCACATGGAAATCATGAACGGCTTCCCCCCTCTGGTTGTCCATAATTTTCCAATTTACCAAGGGAAACCCTGGGGAAACAAGGGAAACCCTGCAAAAACCAGCGGGGTGTGGATCAGGGCGGCGCCTTTCGATGGGCTGCGGCGCCGGCTGCGCCGGCTGCCGTCCCGGCCCTCCCGGCCGTCCCGGCTGCGGCGGTGCTCGCGGCGTTCCCGGTCCCGGCTCCGGTCGCGGCGCTCCCGGCCACGGCGCCCTGGCGACGAGAGTGGCGCAGGTCGCCCAGGTCCTTCAAAAACTCCCAAACATGGCGGCCTGCCTTGGATTGGGGGTGTTGACCCCCTCGCCCACAAAGTGTGTGCTCTTTTTCCTAAAAGCATCTCTGGTGCTTGGGTTCTGCTTTAGGTTTTCTCTTAAGGTGCCTGGGAGCGATACAAGCTGTGACGACGGAGATAAGAAGGGATTTCCATTTCGTTGTGCTGCAGACCGGGCGTGCGATGCCGGCTGGGGGTGCAGACCGGGCGTACGAGGCTGGCTGGGGGGACGGTGGTGTGGGCTGGGTGCGCTAGGCTGGCTGGAAAATGCCCGTGAGCGAGACTGGCGGGGCCCCAGACTGTGTGGTGCAGACTGGGCGCGCTAAGGCTGGCTGGAAAACGCCCGCGAGCGAGACTGGCGGGGCCCAGACTGTGTGGTGCAGACTGGGCGCGCGAGGCTGGCTGGAAACTCGCTTGCGGGCACGGTGGACGCTCGTGACATGCGGAAAGCGCCTGCGAGCGAGACTGGCGCGGTGGACGCTCGTGACATGCGGAAACCGCCCGCGAGTGAGACTGGCGCGGTGGACGCTCGTGACATGCGGAAACCGCCCGCAAGCGAGACTGGCGCGGTGGACTGCGGAAACCGCCCGCGAGCGAGACTGGCGCGGTGGACGCTCGTGACGTGCGGAAACCGCCCGCGAGCGAGACTGGCGCGGTGGACGCTCGTGACATGCGGAAACCGCCCGCGAGCGAGACTCGCGCGGTGGACGCTCGTGACATGAGGAAACCGCCCGCGAGCGAGAGTGGCGCGATGGACGCTCGTGGCAGGCGGAAACCGCCCGCGAGCGAGACTGGCGCGGTGGTGACATGCGGAAACCGCCCGCGAGCGAGACTGGCGAGGTGGACGCTCGTGACATGCGGAAACCGCCCGCGAGTGAGACTGGCGCGGTGGACGCTTGTGACATGCGGAAACCGCCCCCGAGCGAGACTGGCGCGGGGGAGGCTCGTGACACGCGGAAACCGCCCGCGAGCGAGACTGGCCGCCCGCGAGCGAGACTGGCGCGGTGGACGCTCGTGACAGGCGGAAACCGCCCGCGAGCGAGACTGTCGCGGTGGACGCTCGTGACAGGCGGAAACCGCCCGCGAGCGAGACTGGCGTGGTGCACGCTTGTGACAGGCGGAAACCGCCCGCGAGCGAGACTGGCGCGGTGGACGCTCGTGACATAAAACCGCCCGCAAGCGAGACTGGCGCGGTGGACGCTCGTGACATGCGCAAACCGCCCGCGAGCGAGACTGGCGCGGTGGACGCTCGTGACATGCGGAACCCGCCCGTGGGCGAGACTGGCGCGGTGGACGCTCGTGACATGCGGAAACCGCCCGCGAGCGAGACTGGCGCGGTGGACGCTCGTGACATGCGGAAACCGCCCGCAAGCGAGACTGGCGCGGTGGACGCTCGTGACATGCGCAAACCGCCCGCGAGCGAGACTTGCGCGATGGACGCTCGTGACATGCGGGAACCGCCCGCGAGCGAGACTGGCGCGGTGGACGCTCGTGACATGCGGAAACCGCCCGCGAGCGAGACTGGCGCGGTGGACGCTCGTGACATGCGGAAACCGCCCGCGAGCGAGACTGGCGCGGTGGACGCTCGTGACATGCAAAAACCGCCCGCGAGCGAGACTGGCGCGGTGGACGCTCGTGACATGCGGAAACCGCCCGCGAGCGGGACTGGCGCGGTGGACGCTCGTGACATGCGGAAACCCCCCGCAAGCGAGGCTGGCGCGGTGGACGCTCGTGACATGCGGAAGCCGCCCGCGAGACTGATGCGGTGGACGCTTGTGACATGCGGAAACCGCCCGCGAGCGAGACTGGCGCGGTGGACGCTCGTGACATGCGGAAACCGCCCGCGAGCGAGACCGGCGCGGTGGACGCTCATGACATGCCGGCGAGCGAGACTGGCGCGGTGGAGGGTCGTGACATGCCGGCGAGCGAGACTGCAGGCGCGGCGGACGCTCATGACATGCGACAACCGCCACGTGCGCGGCTCCATGTGAACAGCCCGGCGTTCCAGGTACGCCATAATTGTCCTTTTTGCCGCACACCTGACCCGAACAAACGGTGCCAATGTGTTTCTAGGACGAACCCTCTCTTCAGAAGCTGTAGCCTCTTGGGGTTCGCCCTACTTATTTGGAAGCAGCCTGGAAGCACGTTGACATGAATATGCTGAGCACACTCAAACAAACACCCAACTTGCCATCCACACGCATCCAATTGACAACGTGCGCGGCCCTTTCCACAAAGTCACCAGTTGCAATTGGTTGCAATTGGTCGTGACGGGTATCCCGACCCCCCCCCGTTCATCAGCCAGCACAATCGTGAGCGGTAGCTCTCTTCCCCAGCTCCCGGACTTTAGCCACTTTTAGGGAACACGGTGCTGGTGCACAACAAGTGTTTTGACTTTCTTGATCGATCCACTCTGGAAGCATTCGGGATGCCTCAGCTCTTTGGTGTACCAGGCAGACCAAATGGATGGCGCGCTGCGAAAATGGCTCACAGGAAGCGGTCACTGGTTCTTCTTTGCTTGCCTCCAAGATGTTGGAGTTTCAGTCTGGGCCAAAAACACGTCTGGGCCACAAACACGAGCTCAGATGGGTGTAGAGCGAGCTTATGCCTTGCTTCCAATTTGGGAGTGGTAGTTTGTGCGGATCCATTTTCGGATTTCTGCGATTGGTTCTTCATGATGAATCAGATGACTTCGTGCCTTCCATGTAGTGCGGGCCTGTCATGTTTCACCCGTGCCTTTGCCTTTTTCTCTGTGCTTGGTCTGAGCACAGGCTGCTGGCTGCCAATCCGGCTTGAGTCGCGGTTGCTCCCCTTCTTCATCTGTTGTGGGGTTGATTTACCCAACTGTGAACAACTTACATCTTGGTTTGCCTTCGGACCCTTGAGCCGGAAAACAACGGGATCCACATGCCATGGGGAGTGAGGCTGGTTTGCTTTTGGGTTCCCGGGCTCCTCTTGTTTGTAAAAACAAACACACTTGTTGTTCTAGTCTATGCAATCACTGTTCGCTTCGGAATTGCCAAAAGACTCTTCGGCACAAAGCGACTGGTGAGGCATTTCATGCTCGGAACCGCCCATGTCCCGGACCTCTCGGAGAAAAAGCGCCGTAGCTTCTTCGCTCTTAAAGAGAACCCTTTGCGGCTGATGCTAAGCTAACTGGAGGCCTGGAAGGGGAACAAAAATTTAAATTTTAGCAGTTATCTGGGGATTTCTCACCAAATCACAATAATCAGACATGTAAAATGTTTTCCAACAACAACCATGGAAGCTCCGATACGAGTTGAGCTTTTTCTGAAGGCAAGCAGGAGCGCTGCCCCTTGTGCCCCCCCCCCGCTCCCCGGTCGGTCAGCTCGGCTTGTGACGCTGCAATGTGCTGAAACGTCTTCAGCTTGCTTGCCCAATGGCCATTGTTGGTTGGCAGAGTGTGCGCGGGGAGACAACAACAAGCAAAAACATGCGCACAGGAAAACGCTGACAGTGTTACCATCCCCTGTGACTCCCACTTGCTTAGTGCTGGATCCTCGATTTT